TTGATGAAAGAAATTTTTTAGGTTAGTGTACATGAACACAACAACTGCATGGTAGCAATTTTTGCAAATGACTTCGATGTATAATTTTTGATAGCTTTTTAAATGCAGCACAATTTTCATTCCAGTTTGTTTGAAAAGCTCAGAAAAAATAAGAACAAATATAGATACATTGTGTTTCGTCAAAATAGGATCTTATATTTTTGCCCCACTAAAGGGAAGGTGGGGGAGGGTGGGAGGAGAAAAGGGAGCGTGAGTGTGCGTGTGACGTATGAAAAGGTGAAGGGGGAGCCTCCTCACTGGAAGATGCGCTCAGCCTCTTATTCTTCTCTTTGCGGTTTGGTTGCCATGGACGTCTATTCAGATTTTCAGGTTTCTTCTTAATTATCTGCTTTATAATGGGGGCAGCAATCAGAGGGCTAATTGTGCCATCCTGTTCACAAGGACACTGGAATACTTAAGTGCCCCCCCACCACCCCACACTCTCACATTCACCCAACTCAGCGGCAGGAAGAGGAGGATTTATAGATTTGTGTGTTTTTTTTTTTTCTTTTTCAGGAAAAGTTCTCACAGTTGGACATTCTGATCCTGATGACCGCAGCTGTGTGTCACGACTTAGATCATCCTGGATACAACAACACGTAAGACATACATACAACAACACATGCGTAAATATTAATACTTCGTCACATCGGTAGTGGAAAAAGTACAGAAAGACTGAAGTCTAAATATGGGTACTGAGTCAAAATCTTACTCACTTAAAACTGAAAGTATGTCGCTATAAATATACTTACATGCATCTAGAGCTGGACAATATGACAGTATTTATTGTTATTGTGATAAATTACGTAACAATATGGCACAATATGCTACTAATAAAACACTCCTCAACTGCATGTTTGCTTACCGAGTGCAGTTAGTCCTGTTTAACTGGGATTTTATGCAGCAGAGTATGTGAAATGTTCAATATAGATCATTGTGTGCATAGTTTTTGATGGTATTATTTAAATGTGTCACCTGTCTGGCTTTTCTAACTCATCAGATATCAGAAAATATATATATATATATATATATATATATATATATATATATATTGTGCTATGTATTGTATCGTGATTGTAATATTACATTTTTGGCCATATCAGCTGGAGAACTATCTATATGTATCAATGTGTAAACATACTGAAGTATATAAAAATAAAAAATAAATGTTTGAACAGATAACATAAAAAATCTTTTTAGTAGAAAATAAAAAGTATTTTTGTTGTCTGTGACTTTATGTAACTTTATGCCAGTTGATTGCCTCCATGTAACTATACTAGTGAGTCCACTTGATCTTATCTCTTTTCAACAAACCCAGTGTCTGACGTGATGACTAATAAACAGTACTGTTTCTTGCACAAGGATGAATTAGTATAGATATGGTCAGTTTCATTTTACACTGATATAATTTTTTAAAAATGCATGGAAACAAAAAATAAATACAAAATGAGTGAAAAATGTAACAGCCTTTGATATTTGTGACCAGCACGTTGAAGGTCTAAACGAAAAGATAAGTAAAAATGATGTTTTTTTTTCTCCTGGAATTGCAATTGAGTATTAAACAAGTATTAAGTATTTCAATAATATTTCAGCAAAGTACCCAAGTATACTAACAAATCCCTTCAGTATTTTCCACCCTGATTAACATACATTCAAGTTATGAAATGTTCCTTAGAGTTTTTCAGAGGTTTTCTTGAAACAGTGATTAACTGTATTTTATAGAATATTAATAGCTCATCTCCATCGTTTATCTCTCTCCATCTGTGTCTCTTTTTCTTTTTTTCTTTCTTTTTATTCTGTGTCTTTTTCCTGCAGATATCAGATCAATGCGCGGACAGAGTTGGCAGTGAGGTACAATGACATTTCTCCGCTGGAGAACCATCACTGTGCTGTGGCCTTTCAGATTTTCTCTCAGCCGGAATGCAACATATTCTCCAACTTCGATGCTGAGGCCTTCAAACAGATCCGTCAGGTGTGTCTTAGTGTGTGCGTCTGTGTGGTGTGCAAATAGGTTCATGTGGATGGCCCAATTAAAATGAACACATATGAATTCTTGTGGAGTTGCAGGTGATACTATTTATTCTTTCCACATGCCATGTGGTGCTGAAGCTGCCCTGTCTGGTGTAGTGCAGTGGATAATTCTGCTGCTCTCCATGTAGCTACACCATGCTACACCAATAAGAGTCCTTGGGCAAGACTCCCAACCCTACATTAGCCATTAGCTTACCTCTGTAATAAGATTAAAACTGTGAGTCGCTGTGTGTGAGAGTGACTGCAGGAAAGTCCTGCACATGAGAAGAATTCCACAGAACAGCAAGATCCAAAAGTTTCTCTTTGTTAAAAACATCATTCTTTTTATTTTTGGACAGAAAAACTTTAGAAAAGCTTCTTATTCTTATTCAAAGGTCATAATCTTTAACTCTATCTTTGCTTTAATCTGTCCTCATGTCCACAGTAATCAGGGTAAAATGAATCAGCATGTGGAATCGGATCTTTCTGAGTGCTACCGTGTTTCTATCAATATATAAAAGTGATAAACGAAAAGTTATGGCTGTATGCACTGTGAAAGTTTATGGGCGCACATTCAGAACACAATACACATTGCTATGGAAACGCTTTTTATTGACTTGTTTCATTACAGTTACAGTAAAAGGAGACTGAAGTGTGGAGCATATTCCTGTTCATATATCATATATGGTTTATGTGTTATATGCTGGCTCAAAATGTTAGTTTGTCACACTGTAAAAATGTTCAGATGTTAGATTGTATTTATATATATACCAAAATAAATGTGACAACTGCATTGAGAAATAGCACTATAAACATTAAAAGGCAGAAGTGTGTATTTTTGCTTACAGTAGCAGACATTATGACTAATTAGTGCATTTACCTTAGCTCATCATTTATTTTAGACATCCCCTTTTCTTTCACAGGGTACTATTACTCTTATACTAGCCACAGACATGGCTCGGCATGGGGAGATTCTCGACTCCTTCAAGCAGAAGGTGGACAGCTTTGACTTTACCAATGAGGAGCATGTCACCTGTGTGAGCATTAACTATATTCTTCAGACTTTTTTTTTTCCCAGCAGAATGTAGTATCTCTTATAGCACATTTACTTGGCTCATTAAACGTATTATACTGTGTAAAGCACTTTCAGAGCACTGATTACTATTATTATTATTATTATTATTATTTGTGGTAGTAGTAGCAGTATTGGATTATGACTGTTTAATGACACTGTTTTATCCATGCCTGTGTCTCTGATAGCTGAAGATGGTGTTGATAAAGTGCTGTGACATATCTAATGAGGTTCGGCCGATGGAGGTGGCCGAGCCGTGGGTGGACTGTCTGTTGGAAGAGTATTTCATGCAGGTGAGTATAAGACACTTGTGGCCTTTAACCTCATATTCAGAACAGCTATGGTGTACACAGTTTTCTACTTACACTTAATGACATCAACTAAGACATGTTTGTTGTCTGAAGTTTGCTTCTTTAGTTTTTGCACTGGAGCTACTGGGCTAATGTAGCTAACAAGTACAGGAGACCACCAGTTAGCACAGTGCAGATTGCATGCCAAAGTCAGCATTCACTTGCTTCAAAATGTTGAGTTGTTCAGTAATTTCAAATAGACCTGTTTGTGTTTTCTGACACTGTATTATATAGTAGTATCTTTAAGTATGAAGTGTGTCTATACTATTGGTCCATTTCTGAAGCATGTCACATATAGTTAGTGATGCGTTCATTAAGTTTTATTGCTGTCACATTTTTCATCATTTTGAATTTTCTCTTTATACTACATACTCTGGTAATTGGAGAATGCTGTACTCAGGTTTTTACTTACTCAAGGTGTGTTTGAAAAGACTTGATTGTGACTACTTTCCTGTATTTATTTTCTCTCTGTGTATAACAAGAGTGACCGGGAGAAGGCAGAAGGTTTACCTGTGGCTCCTTTCATGGACAGGGAAAAGGTCACTAAACCTACCGCTCAGATTGGCTTCATCAAGTTCGTCCTCATCCCCATGTTCGAGACAGTGATGAAGGTGAGAACATGACTTGCTAGATTGGGCTGATGTTTATGAAAAGACACTGAGTGGCGTTTGCATAGAGACTCCACTGCTATGTTACAAGGAGCAAGTAACACAACCATCAGTGCTAATGTAAGCTCTGACTGGATTGACCTTGTTTTAGAAAAGCTCATTTTATCCAATGAAGTTTACACTTAGTTTCAATGTAATCTTTTTTATTGAAGCAAAATAGAATTATAAAATAAACAAATCAATATTCAAATTCTTCCAAATTGACATTTATCTTTTCATTTAAGTATTTAGCAAGTGCTTTTATTTGTGAAGCAGACAAAGCAATATTCAAACCAGACTTTATATTGATACTGTACCAAAAATGCATCATTGAGCCCTGTTCTCTTGCCGCATTATACACTTCACTATTAAGACGTTTCTAACGATATACCCAGAAAGAAATGGTGCCATCTTGTGGATTAAGAAAGTGATGTGTTTTCTTATCCTATTAGTCTAACAGTGGGCTTAATTAACATGCTACATATTAATAAGTAATAGTATCTGTGTATTGATTCTGTTTTACATCCAAAATATTGCAATTTTATACTGTATTTTTGTCTCCTATCCCCTAGTGCAGGTGCTTGTCACAACAATGCTATAAAAAACAGACCCATGTTAAACAAAGCAGTGCGCCCTTTGTGTAACACATAAAATATCTTGTTACTGTTTGCTTCAAAGAAAAGTCTTGAATCTAGTTTTTAGCTTGATAAGCAAAAGTTCTCTGTCGGACTGATAAGAAAAACATTAATATTAACATTAATATTAACCGTTTGAATAAGGTGATTTGTTACCGTATACAAAAACACACAGAGCTGATATCATCAGAGTGTAACTGACCAAATTATCACAGTTATGTTTGATATCTGTGGACCTCTGTGGGTGATGCATCCAGTCCGAGGCTTGGTGCCCCATGTAAGTTTAAAAAGCATCGAATAATAGACACAACAGCTCAGCAATGACAGTAATGACACTTTCCTGACTGACTAACACAGGATTTCTCAACCACGTGGCCGAGGACCACAAGTGGGCCGCGAAACATCCGTTGGTGGTCCTCTGACCTATACTAAGGAGAGCCAGTGGTCTGTAGTGGGCCTGAGACAGCAAAATAAGTAACTTAACAATAAAAAAGAAATATAAAATGTTTTCAGGCTGTTAACAACATTAATACAAGCCCAAAGTGCACAAAGGCAGCTTTGTCAATTTTTTTGCCTTTTGCCTCTAGAAGTAGGTCTTCATTCTTTCTAGTTATAAACAGGTGGGTCTTGAGGTGGCAAAGGTTGAGAACCTCTGGACTAACACTGTTGCCCACCGTTTGAATAAGGTGATTTGTTACTATATACAAAAACTGGTTAAGATAATCAGTGCTGTTTTCCTGTGTGTGTTGCAGCTGTTCCCTCAGATTGAGGAGGTGATGGTCCAGCCACTCAGAGAGTCCAGAGACAGATATGAGGAACTCAAACAAATTGACGATGCCATGAATGAGGTCGGACATCAGTAGTGGGGCGCTTGGAAACCAAAGCTTTGTTTTTCGCCCTCTCTTTCTCCCTCTGTTGCTCATCCTGTCTCTTCTCCCCTACAGGTGCAGAAAAAGAAGAGTGAGAATCTCACCATGGGAGGGAAAAAGAAATGAGGTTAGTGTTCACCAGTACTGTTTTGCATGAACTCCCCGCTGCGCAGGTTTTATTAAAATGATTATCAAAAGTCAATCATTTGTCACTGAGAGATTTAGTAAAATGTGTCAGACACTTCAAACTTCAGCAGAAAAAAACAAGTGCTGAACAATTTCTCTGCAACTCATGAGTAACTTTCAGTGTTCAAAGCAAAACTAGGCTACATAGGCTTAAAATCACATACATTTTCATTGGTTTTCTACCTGCACAAGCTAATAAAGTCTTGCATTTCACTTCATCAATGTCATCACTGAAGTGAAATGCAGGATTTCATTAGCTTGAGCAGTTGCCAGTGGTACTGACAAAGCAATATAGCATCAGTTTCAAACTGCCTAGTCCTGCAGAATATTCTGCAGCAGGCTGCAGAAGGAAGAACAAAGCTTCTGGTGCCCCTTATAGACCCTTATTAAAAGCACTTAAGAAAACTATGCCAGTACAGTTACATGTTGTTTGAAAAAGCATGTGTAGGCTCCAGTTTTCTCAGAGCTTCATAAAACCTGTTGGTACATATACCTGTTGTGTTTTAAGTGATTTCATTTAAAGAAATATATTAAAAATTGTTTCTGGGTTTTTTTGTGTTTTTTTTTTATTATTATATCCTTACAAAAGTATATTATACTGCATCCCAGGAATGTGTAAATGATGCCTACATCTAGTTTATATTCTGAAGAGGCCATAAATGAGCAACACTTACAAACTGCAGTCAGAAATGGATCCACTGTAAGGTTCTAAGGGTTAAAGCGTTTATCTAGAATTTGCTAAAACAGGACAACAAACTGCTCTTTACATTAGAGTTTACTAACTTTGGTTTAACTCACCAAGTACTTTTTCATGTTTTCACCCAGTAGGACATGCCATAACACAAACGCAAATAATAATACAACTGCAATAAATCCAGTTCAGGTGCTGCCTCACTGATAGTGCTAATACTGTCTGTTAAAGGGGAATTCCACCAGTTTTGCTAAATTTCAGCACAATTCAGTCATTGAGATTCAGTTGTGATCGGATGGCTCTAGCATGACTTTGTTTACATCTTAATGATTTAATTATGCATAAATTATGAAAAATTGATCAAATTCCCCTTTAATATGCCATAATTATAATGTTAATATTAATACACATAATAATACTACTGATAACAATAATAGTAGTATTAACACACACACACACACACACACACACACATATATATCTTCTAAGCTGCTTATCCTCCTGGGTCGTGGGGGAGCATATCCCAGCACTTATTGGGCAGAAGGCAGGAAATCACAGTTCATTACAGGGCAGTAGTAACAGTAATAATTCCTTATTTTGAGAGTTCATGCAAGATGCTCTGCAGATTTTTTCTTGTTTTCAGTTAGATTCAACTAAATATCTATGAAATGCAACTGAAGTTTCACCAGATGATAATGACAATAATCATAATAATAATAATAATAATGATAATTGTTTAGCAATCTTCATACGTAGAAATGCAAGTTAAAGAGCTTCACCAAAACAGATAAAACAAGCGCAAATGAAAGAACAATGACAAAGACAAAAGCAAAGGTAATTCAAGGTGAACATTTTCTGCAGTTTGTTATTAGAAAGAATTTTTTTTTTTGCATAAGGGAAGTGCAGTTATAATTGCATTGTCTTTATATGTTAACACTCATATGTTTGCTTAGAATGTATTGAAATGTTCAGTAACATAATTCTAATGTTTTTTGTGTTAGATTTTCAGTCATGTGAAGCCACTGAGGGTCCGGTACACTGCAGAATGGACAAACGTAGAGTGAAGTACTGACCAGACAATCCAAAGCCTCTTTCAGGGAACATGAACCGTGTACAGCACAGACAACGTCACCTGTCACTATTCTATAGATATTATTCTCTATTTGCCTTGTTTTTATTTGGTTTTATATATAAGATATAAATATTATTCAGGATGTACAGATTTTTAGTCACTTTTGCTCTTTACTACAAAAATAAAAAGTTTTACGTATAAAATGAAGATGGGTCTTCTGAGTCTTTTTTGTGCCTTTTGTCAGCATCAGTTGTATGTTTCGGTCTTTATTTCTAACACAATCTGGATTAATGCTTAATCTGTGTTTCCATGTATCAGGTTAAATACTGCTTAAATACTGCTGACAAAACAGTTTACATCTCTTGGAGTTCAGAAAATGTTTTGTTGATAAATCACTGGGTGGTGGTAGTTATGATGCTGTTATTATAAGATGACCAAAAAAGTTGATATAATCGTATGAATGAATGTATGATTGGTTGCACTTGTTGCTTATGCCAGTGCATGCTGGAACAATGTGAGTGGGAAGTAAGCATTTTGAATGAAGCTCAGAGCACTATGATGAAAACATGGTTATGCTATCAGTACCATATAACTATGCAAAGAACATTCAAATAGTTATCTGAGCTGTTGTGGCTCTATACTTAGTCATATGCAAAAGTTTGCCAGAGTCAAATTACCTTTTGTTGAATGTATAAGTGAATAACGTCCTCCACAGAGAACAAACCTGAATATGCCATTTTGTGCAAACTTTAGTGCACAATTTACATTTATTTTCTGAGTTTAACATATTTGGAAAAGAAATGTAATATTAAATGTGCCATAACATTTGCACAGGCCACATTTTGTTGTGTATTTCCCCCAATATGTTAATACAGCAAATAAACAGTAATTGTGTGTTAAAACGTGTAGACGTGTGTTCTGTAGAGGATGTGTTCACTTATTTCCACTTAGAAAATCAATTAAACATGTAATCTGACCAGAGGTGCCTAAACTTTTGCATATGACTGTGTATACTTCTTATTACTAAATCTTATAAGACCCCCCCCCCGGGTGTGTAATTGCTAAACTTTCCAGTTTATCTCTGCAGTTCCAGCAGGCACAACTCAGGGGCAATTAAAGGGGAATTCCGCCAATTTTTCAATTTTTCTGCATTATTCAATCATTGAGATGTAAACATGTATCTGAATGACATACACAAGTCATTCAGAGTGGTTTCATGTGAAATGGCACATTGTAGAGGAACTTACCAGCTTGGATTTCTTTACAGTGGTGGTGATGATAGGAAGCAGAGGTTGTGATATGTTCACCTCAAATATAGCCATTTCCTCAGAGTTTAGTTCTGACCTGCATCCAATAAGCTGCCCTATTCTAATACATCTGATCCAGCCAATCAGGGACTTAGGAAGAGGCTGATCAGCTGGAGCTGGTGAGGCAAACTGTGGTTGGAACTAGGCTCTGCAGGATGGTAGCTCCCCAGGACCGGGGCTGAAAAACACTGATCTACACCATTCAGACGTCTAGTTCCTATGACCACTACTGTGAACTATTCTGAGTCAGCAAGTTTCACATCAAACTAGTCTGAATGACTAACATCTTAATGAGTTAATTATGCAGAAATATTGAAAAATTGGTGGATGTCTCCTTTAATAATTGAAAATATTAACGCGTGTTTCGTGAAAAATCTAGTCATGAGCATAGAGACTTCTGACGGACACAAAGCAGAGCACCGTCATAGACAGGAATATGTGAAGTCTACAAGGAAATATTGAATGAAAAACATTTATTTTAAAAATTGATATTTCTATTTGCCTTTGTAAAAATAACAATATGCATTTAAATGCAGATGAAGGGAAGCAGAACTGAGATCTATACACACCAACCAAACCATCACTGGAATGTTCATCATCAGTGGGGTTAACATAAAAATCTAAATGCATCTCCCCCGGGTTCTAGCTGCAGTTTGGAGGCACTGGTTCACTTTTATTCTCCTTTTTGCTCTTCTTTGTTGCCCCGTTGGACTGCGGGCCATTTCCTCCTGTCCTCTTCTTACCCTCCTTCTGACCCTGCTGCTGCAGTCTCTCCTGCTTCTTCTGCAAATACGAGGCCATGTTGTCAAAGTTGACCTTGTAGAGGTGCTTGAAGCGGCTGTCCACCCCCACTGAGTCTGAAAGAAAGAGAGAAAAAAGGAAAGGAAGAGGGAAGCAAAAGAAGAGGGTAAGGCACAGACAGAAAGAAAGAGAAAATGAGGTACAAAAACAGATGGCTTAAAGTAGCTTAATGTAGTGCTGCACAGAGTGATAAAAATCAATAATGTGATACGTTCAGATATAATTATAGTATCAGATAATATTTAAAAATCTATTAATAAAGTACCTTTCATCCTCAGTATTGATCCTCTACGCTAAATGTCTCACCTGACATAGCTTGTTTTTATTGGACAATTTAGTTCAGTTGAGCTTCTCTTACAATTACAGTAACACCTTACACAGTGTTGTGAACAATAAACAAACTAAACTCATGATTTATTTAGTTTATATGCATTTAAAACTTCTTTTAAAACAATCAGTATCAGTCAGCAAATAACACACAGTCATATGCAAAACATTTGGGTGCTCTTGATGCATTCTAATGCAGAATTATTCTTTATTTGCTGAATTTAACATATTGGGGAAAAAAAATGTAAAATGTGACCTGTGCAAAAGTTATGAGGCATTTTATATTTATTTCCCAAATATGTTAGATTCAGTAATTAAATATAAATTTACAAATATCTGAATGTGCACTTGGACAAAGAGCTGGACTTGAGCTGTAACACTCTTGCAGCTCTAACAGTCTCGCAGTGTACAAGAGAGGCCAAAGCCATCCCTACTCCCTGAGGAGGCTGAGGTCTTTTGGTGTGTACACTAAGCTCCTATGAACATTCTACCAGTCTGTTGTAGCGAGTGCTTTATTCTGTGCTGTTGTGTGCTGGGGAAGCAGCATTAACAATAGTGCTCTGAACAAAATGAACAAACTTATTAGGAAGGCTGGCTCTGTTGTAGGAGTCAAGCTGGACTCTCTGGAAGTTGTGGCAGAACAGAGGACGCTCAACAAGCTGTTAGCCATATTGGATAACACCTCACACCCTCTGCATGCTACACTGGATAAACAGAGAAGCACATTCAGTGGCCGACTGTTACAGCTACGCTGCGTGAGATCTTTCTTACCCACTACTATAAGGCTCTACAACGAGTCTTCGTACTGCAGAGGTGGTACTGATCTCCTGCTGTGTGAACTGTGCTGAATCACATCACTATATCACTTCTCCTGTTAATACACACTGCAATATATCATAACCACTACTGTAATGTCACTTTCACTGCACACTTTACACTGTAATATCGATGCAACTCCGAGTCAGTTATGTCTATAATCATTGTGCTTTTAGTTTACCTCATACCACTGAGTGCCTGCTATCATGTAATTACAACAGTTTGTCTCATATGCCATGGGAATATGCAAATAGATATACTTTTATTTCTCTTGTACTTTAACTTATGTCTAGATTTATTTCTATTTTCTATTTTTCTGCACAGCATATGTAAGTTTATGTGCAATTATATGTCTTGCTACTGGAACACTGCAATTTCCCTTCGGGATTAATAAAGTTCTGTCTGTCTGTCTGTCTGTCTAAAATGTGCAAAAAAAATCTCTGCAGAGGATGTGTCTCATATTTGCAACATGGCGATCAAAGCAAGAAACTGATACCTTTACCATAATAGTAAAGTATAATAAAGTAAAATAAAATAGAAATAGATAAATAAGTACATAATTTATCAAACTTTAAAACCTTTGAGATGGCCCCAAATAACTTGAAATACTGAATAATCATCTGACAAACCATTTGGTGTCCAGTTTATAGTATTTCAATCTTTACTGGACAAGTTATAATTGAATAAAATAACAGCAACTATTAATACAACACGTAATTCCAAAGTTTAGAACTGTAGTGCATATTGTTAGATATATCAGCCAGTACTAGCATGAAGGACACAGCGAAAGGAGATTTCCTTTACAGTAAACATGACCAATGGGTCATTCTTTGTGGTTTCTGATGCAGTTTCAAACTTAAACCTTCTTAGCAGACACCTTACCTTTAAAGACGTCCCACTGGGTGTTGAGTGCTTCTGTTACTCTCTGTAGATCAGCACTTTCTGAGTCATTCTGCTCCACACAGACAAAGCAGCAACGTGAGAACTACATCACCAAATCAATTTAGCAGCTTCTACAAAAGTGAAGCGTGTGTGTACATACCTGCCAGCACTCCTGTGAGTGAGTGTACAGAAGGACGCTGTTGTCCTTGTTCTGCAGCAAGACCCAGAGTCGACCTTGATGGTCAAAGGTCATGTCCCAAGGAGCATGAGGCAGGGCAAGTTTGTTGGTAGGGGTCAGGAGCCCCCCTGACCCATCCTCCACCTCAAACAGCTGAATGCAGGGAAACCTTTAATGAAATAGAGATGAAAGCATTATTAATTACATTAATGCACACATTAAATCTAGTTATCATATTAGCATCATTTCTGGTGCTCTGCAAATGATCCCAAAAGTTTGTTTTTCAGGTGTTTTCAATTCAATGATATGTTATGAGCAGAAAAAAACAGTAATACACACCTCTCACACTGGGCAGCAACATGGCGTCCATCTGGAGAACTGATTATCCGACTTACAGCAAACCTCTGTGGCTGAAAAGGTGACATCACAATGTAAGTAATGTTTGCTGAAACGAAAACAATATGTTTGTCCATCACAACAGTACTAGCAATAAATCGATTAATCATTCAAATATATATTTTGAAAACTAATCCAAGCCCACTCTGAGCCCAAAGTCGTAAGTGAAACCTAATATGTTGTCAGGGCTCGTCGGTCTCGGTTCTGGTAGAAGTACATTATTTCATTTCCCTGGTCATATTAAGCTCAATTCATCAACCATTTAAAACTGTACCATTTAAAAGACAAAGCTTTTGTTTTCCTGTAATGTTAAAACAAAATATAATGACTTTTGCGTAACTATAAAAAGGCAACCCAATCCATCAGTGGGTAGGGAAAATAATATTAATAAATATAATATAAATAATAAAATTATGCTGCGCACTTCTAGATACTGTTTAGAATAATAAAATGAGTGATAATGAAAATAATTGAAATAATAAAAGATCATTTAATAGTTCAAAAATTATTATAAGAGAAAAAATAATTATCACATCGGTAATAAAGAGAAAAATGTAATAATAATAATAATAATAATAATAATAATAATAATAATCATAACAGAAGTAATATTAATGGGAAAAAAAAGTTTATGTCTGTGGAAAACATAAGCCATTTTTTTCCATTAACATAAATAAAGCACACTACCTCCAGTGAGTTTGTTGGTGGATTTAACGTTTATGAACAGCTTTGACAAGCCAGGAAAAATGTTTTGTGAAATTTGTTTAGTAAAACATTAGAACTCATAGAAACTAAGTGGGGGCTGAGGATGAGATATACTTAAAATATCTACACCTACTGTTACTGACAGGAATGCTGAAGTTCAGTAGATCATGGCTAAAAGCAAAAGTGATGTAGCTGCTCTGTCACCTTTTCAGTGTCCGTTTCGGAGCTCTGTGAGAAGCCGAGCTGCTTCAGGTCGAAGCCCTGTAACCTCCGGCCAGTCTCATAATGCCAAAGCTTCAATGTGCCGTCCTGCCAATGCAACACTGTCAGACTTACTGAGACTTAAATAACAGCTATTTAAACCTGTAAACGTAGAGTTGATATATACTGAGCAGTGAAGTCAAAGACAGATTTGATTCCTACCCCTGAGCCAGATAAGAGCCATTCAGGATGTCCAGCAGGGACTAAGAGTGCACTGACAAACCTGCGAGAGAAAATGAGAGAGGTACTCATCAGAAGATAAAAAGACAGGTGGCTTTACGAATGACCTCAGAAAAGGAACAGACACAGGAAAAACTGGTTTGGTCTGGTAGTTGTGTCTATTGATATAGTATCAAACATAAAGAATATGGGGTGACACTGCACACTATGATGTGCAAACTGTAAAGAGCATCTCCCCCAGTTTTACTGTTATATTTGTTGTGAATGAAACAGCAGAGGGCAATCATGCATGTCATGCTTACTCTGTGTGGCCCAGACAGAAGGCCTGAATGTTGTAAGGAGATCTGCGGAGGCTCACTCTGATCTTCTCATCTCTGTCTGCTGTAATGATGTACTTATCATCCGGAGACAGCGTCTGGAGAAGACATGGGTTATATTAAACCAAGCAGCACACAAAAGTTCTCAAGCTAATTCTGGATAGCCTACACAAGCTGCTTTTACATGGCTTATAGCTATCAGAAGAGCCCAAGACCTGTTTTAAAGATCCACCACCCTGTGGAATTCAGTCCCAAACAACTACCACTTCCTGCCAAGGTCTTCATGAGGAGTTTAATATTACAGGCGAATTCCACTGATTGTTCAAAATTTCTGCATATTTCAGTCTTTGAGATGTACACAAAGTCATTCAGAGTGTTCTGATGTGAAATCGTTCACTGTAGAAAAACTCACAGACTCATACATGTGTCTTCTGAGTTTTTACTAAACCTCAGTTCAAAACCATCATAAAACAATGTCTCAAGCATTAGGCAGTGTATTCAAAATTATTTTATGTAATAACTTTCTGTATGTGACCTCTTAGAGGCATTAAACTCTTCAGATGTCTGATTCCTATCACCACCACTGTGAACAATTCTGACTCAGCAAGTTTCTCGAGAACAGAACATTTTACACGGAACCACTCCGAATGACTGTGTTTACATTTTAATCACTTCATAATGCCAATTTTTTAAAAACTGGTAGAACTCCCCTTTAAAGCCAAGAGACATGACAAGGCATATCTTCAGAACATGGACTGGCACCCTAGTACTGTTTCTATTATACACTGCCTGGCAAAAAATTGGTAACATTGTGCATTTTTCAATTTTTTTTTTTGAAGGAATGTCTGATTTTCACTGTGACATTTCTAACAAATTTAAAAAAATAAATACAGTGTTTTATTAGCCTAAAACTATTTACTAATAATTTAAATATGTTGTTTAATTCTCAAGTTCATGTTCTTCAACGTATGAACAGTAAAAAAAAGGGCAAGATTTGCCTAAATAATGATTTGACAGTTCTGTCTTCTAAGCTATTGTTAAAAGTACATATTAAAACTCTTTTGGCCAAATGGTTGTTTAGACAAAGACAGGCTTGAGTGCTGAAGAGTGCAGACATCACAACAAGGGGATTAACTGTGTGGGGTTTGGCATTATTCCCAAGGTAGGGAGGATGTTCCTCCGTTTTTGTTTAATATATTAAATTAGCACCATCAACAAAGAGCTCTTGCTTATTTGTTTTAAAAACATTTTCAAAAGCAGTGTAAACAAATTTCTAAAGTCAAAGAAACCCAGTTGCTTACTATGGCCAGGAGCATCGAGAGATGGCCCAGCTTCAGCTCGCCTTGTTTCTGCGGCTCCAGAACAGAAAATGAGTAGACATCACCGGACTTATCTGCCACAAACAGCTCATCCTCAGCCTGACTGAACGCCAGGGAGGTGCACCTCCGCACAACCCACCTGAGGAATGAAAACATCAACATTCACTCTCTAATTAAATTTTTGATTCTAAAGAATTCATGATAATTACATATGAAAAGGAAACATTTTCAATGGACATTTCTTTAAGAAACCATTACTGTAAATGAGTGTGACTGAAGAACCTTTTCAAAGTTTAATGAACCTAAACATGATGTAAAGGTTCTACACCAATTAAAGGTTTTTCCTGGAACCGTAAGTTGATTTCGACCAGGGTGTCCAAACATCTCAGGAGGCCAAAGTACAACTTTCAAATTGTGTTTTTAAAACAATATTTTATTACATTATGCTATGTTTTTAAATACTTCAATATAAAATATTATTATAAATATAATTATAAACTAAAATAAGAATTTAACACATTATGCATAGTAAATGTTTGCTCACAATATGAGCCGTGGACCACACTTTGGCAGCCCTGATTTAGGCCAATAAAATTGGCCACGCTAATATGATTAGGATAGGCAGAGAAACACCCATTAGCATGTCTAACACACACAGGTAAAGAGTTTTGTTCAGTAACATGTCTTACAATCCTATAAGTAATCAATATACAGTATAACCCATCCTGTATTTTTATTTTTGTAACAAACGTTATTGAATTGTGTCATCTCACATGCTGAATGAGGTCATGCAAAATTATTTGACTTAATGAACATTTTGGTATCAAGCACAGTGATACTCTTATCAACATGGAGATAAAAACTGTTGTATAATGATAACCCTTATGCCAATACCTCGTACTGATGCACTGCCATGACGGTTGTGTGTGGAACAGAATGAGCCGTTTGTTGTCGTCTGTCAGAGCAGCGTATTTTCCTGAAGCTGACATGGTGCAGGCGAGGATCCGATCACTGCCCTTCTCCTCAGAGCCCCCTCCATCACTGTATATAGAGAAGTACCAAATATGACCATCATCTTGATTCAGCTCTCTAAGTTTTTTGTGATTTGAGCAGCCACTAGGGGAAGAATGTTCAGGTCATTTGTTCTATATAGAAAAAAAAACATTTACCTTTTATTCTCGGTTTCAGCTTCCTTTGGTTCCTGCTCCGCTTTGGCACAGTCAAACACGAACGCTTCCCTTTTTTGGAAAATATTACCAGACTGTGATAAACAAGCTAGTCAAAATCATCCAAAATGATGTAGTGATCAAGATGCATTGTCATATCAGGACTGCATGGAGTGCTGGCTTGGTAGGGATCTCAAGCTACAATCCTATTGACAAAAATAAGGACTGTCCCATAAGAGGACAGTTAAGACAAACCTCAACTTTTGGCTCAGGTTATCTATCCAACTGAGAAACTCAGGATATAAAATATTCTCCCAGAGGATCACAGCACTGTGCAGCTCAGTGTTTCCACAGAACTGTGTATTAGACACATCTCTATTGATGATCTATACTAAAAGAAATGCTACAGATATAGTTTATGCAGAACTATAATACAGACATACAGTACTAAAGACATCTTATCATTTAGTGTGCCTGCTCTAAAACATCCAACTCAGCTCTTTCAGCAGCTGGTTATGAACGCAGTGTTAGAGCAGTAAACAATATTCATGCACTGCAGCTCCTCCTAGTCTCCAGCTTGAGTACCTGATCTACAGTAGCGCGACCTCCATACAGAGAAAACCACTGGAAAACCCAATAACACATAGAACTGCTGACCTGCTTTCTCTGATGTTTACTGCTATTAAATATTGTGAGCTGCTCGTCAGCAGCCAGTCTCCAGAGCAGCACACGGCAGCCATGATCACTGCGAAACCACGTGGGGAACTTCGGTCGCCTGTTTAATACGCCATAAAAAAACCAGCTCTGCGGGGCGCGTCTCAAACGGAAGGCGGTGCCTGCTCCCTTGCTGCCTAACGAGTCAATGTCTAAGGAGATGTTTTTGTATGAAAGCTCTAAAAAACTGGTTTGAGACGGTGTAAATGTTGCGTGTTAATAATTAATAATATTTATATTATTAAGCAATAACATATGCACTACATAACGTACAGAAAGTTATAAACAAAACAACAGCACGCGACATAAATCATAGAAACATAGTGAGTGAACTGTCATATGTAACATTTTAACCAACAAAGGATACTTTCAAAAACATAATTCGGAGCCTCACATAATAGATTTATGTCCTTGCTCTTTTGGGTAAAAATCATATTCATGTTTCTAAATGAAAAAAAGTTTTTCAAAAAAATGTTGATTTGTGTCTTCACTCGGTTCCTTCAAAGATTCACATTTATGAAGAAATTTAGCAAACAGACAAAAAACTGTATATGTGCATGACTAACCTATACGCTCCATCCCCTTCGCTCGTTTTTCTTTCTTTGTTATTTATCAGTCTGTTTCTGCATTGCCTTGCATTCTTTCACTGTTAGTTGTAATGATACTTGTGTAGTTTCACTTTGTTCATCCGTTTTCATCAAAGTGTCCCATTTTTCGCACTGTAATTTTTGTTGAAAAATACAAAACTTCCAAATATCGTCCAGTTAGTGGCCCCTCAGCCAAATTAGGGCACATAAGCCCCCCATTTCAGAACTGTTTAACCACAAACAAATAAAAGAACAGAAAAAGATCAGTGTGTGCTTGTTTTAGGGCGGAATTATTTTTATTTTATATTTTATGTTTGTTTAACACCGCATTTAAATTTTCACTACAGTGAGCCAAGATGCGCAAACTGATAGACGCTTCATGGCGTCCTGCTGAAACACGGGCTCATTTCGGTGTCCAGAGTCGCAGCAAACACAGTTACGTTGTGACGAACTGTTGTTTCGGTGCCCACGACGTTGTCACAACATTGAAATGTTGAAAGTTGTGACAACGTTGTCTGACAACATTGTGACGTAGTGTCGACGCCGTCAGTGCGCATTCACAACCTTCCAGAATCCTCAGAAGCTCCATGTCGTGCATGGAACTCTATGGAATTTTGCTACGGCGACGTTCCTGAATAATGACGTTGTGACAACGTTGTCCGGACAACGTAAACAGCACCACCTTCTGACAACGTTGTAGCAACGTTATAAGGCAGCAGACAGCGTTGTGACTGTTGTGTGTTTGCTGGGCTGTAAGGGTCTCAGATAAAGAGTTCTCTGTTATTTCAGAATGTCTTGATTCTTGATTAGGCAGCGTTTCCTCGGTTTGAGACGCATCCACAGGGCCGGAGCGCGACCATCGGTGTGTACGGGGGGGGGGATTACAAAAATAAGAAATCCCTGAAACCAGATTCGTGTGTATTTAATGTTTACAGAAAGACTTACAAGTTTGCTCTATAACGAATTCGTGAGTGGGAGTTAATAATGACATTTAGGATGAGTTTTTCTGTAATCGTTGTATTAAAGAGGCAGGAACGAGAGCACTATGGAGGGGGAGGGGGAGGGGGAGGGGTCCGTAAATAAACAGTGAAAGGGGGCGTTCATTCAGTGTAGAGGCATTTTCACACAAGTGTGGACAGTTAATGTCTTAAAATCTTCCTTTCCGCTCCTACACGCAGTTTGGTCATTTTTAGACGTCCGTTTAAAGTCTGTCCTTGGAGGACTTGCAGCAGAAGCTCTCATCTCATCTGCTGTTTGTTGTTGGATTGGAGGGTAACGTTAACTTTCTTGGTCCAGCTAAATTGAATAACTTCCACAAGAGCCAATTCAGTGCACACCGGATAGTTAAAGGAGAACATCCAGAACACAGAACATCCCACACTCACTGTGAGGCATATATATTAGTATTGTATAATGGAGTTGTCTCTCATTTTCTCAGTTAAATAACCTAGCTAGGTTAGCTGGTTGAAGGTACTAATGCAGCAGCATACTGATAAACTGACTAATATCCAGACTAATATAATTCAGATGGCTTTTGGAAAGAAGGACGTTTAGCATTAAGCAAAATCGTCATGTTTCCACAGGGAGAGGTTTTTAGAGCTCAATCATGGCGGCTTCCTTGCTCAGAATAGGTCGGCTTGGATCTCTTAAGGTAACAAATTTATGTTATTTTACGCCTTTTTGGTAGTTGTGAGTTGCCTGTGAATGATTTGTAGTGTTTATATATGTGAATGCTTGTCTTAACGACTGTATGCTTTTTGAATGAGCTCGTAAAGCTGTGTCTGAAGTTGGATCACTATCCGCCAGCTTCTTGATCGAATTTTCCCGTTCCACCTTAAATGGTGCAGCAGTTACATTCTGGCGCCTGAGGCTGGGAATGTAACTGTTGACCCATTTAAGGTAGAACGGGAAAATTCCAATAAGAAGTTGACTTCAGCTTCGTACTGAAGAACCTGTACGCTATGGAGTCCCGTCCAAGAACAAGAACAAGCTGATTAGTGAGCCATGAACCGGTGTGAACTGTCTGAAACCCTGACCTTCTGTAACAGTAATGCATTCACACTTTGATAAACTCATAGCTGACAGGTTGCCTTGGTTCTAAAGTTTGTACCATTACGAAGCTCTTCCTCTGCCGTGTGAAGAGAATCAGACACAAAGCAAAGACAAAAGAGCCCAGTTTCACCAGTTTCACTGCAAAATGACTTGCTGTTTGCGTCCCACAGTGCAATACCTTCCATGTGCTGCTGGTGTTTGCAGTTTATAATGCATTCCTACGCCAGAAGAGCTTGTTTTGCTCTGAAACTGTAAAGGAACACGCTGTACTTTTTTTGGCTGGTACTGACCAACAAGCACAGAGCAAGTTCATGTTTATACTGACATCACTGTTCAAAATTTGGGTTCACATTTTTCAGTACACACTTAAAAATGATGGTTCTCCAAGGTTTATGGTAAAGAAAGTGGTTCTATATAGAACCATGAACTTTGCATGATTGAAGGTTGCTTTGCATCATTAAAGTGTTCTTCAAATTTACGGAAAATGTTCTGAAAAGGGTTCTATCCAGCACCAAAAAGTGTTGTTCTGTTATTACGATGTCAAGCCTGTAAAAAATAGAAGAACGATTTTTGGTGCTATATAGATCTATATAAAACACATTCTTCATCAAACTGAAGAACGCTTTAATGATGCAAGGAACCCTTTAATTATGCCAAGTGTTCTTTGAATGTTTATGGTTCTATATAGAACCATTTTCTTTACTAAAGAACCCTTAAAGAACCACCTTTAACCAGTCCTTCATTATGAGAGTATGAGTCTACCACTCCACAACTTAGGTTTCAGCTAATTAACAGGAAATTGTTTTTAAAAAGAAAGAAATTTAGTTGTGTCCATGATGAACAGAGCTGTAGAGTTCATAATGACTTAGAAAGCTGTATAGCTTTGAGAATGAAGTTATAATAGAAGTAAAAGTGGTGGTCAAATCTAGAAGGAGATCACAAAATTACTATGAATAAATAACTCTACTGTTTATTGTTTATCATTTAATAACTTATTGGTGTTCCCAAAAAGCTTGAAATGCTGAATCAAACATCATAAAATACATTCTAGTGTATTATTATTATTATTATTATTATTATTAAGTAAAATAACTAATATACTAATATTTTTGCTCCTTTAATTAGGTTCTGCAGTTGGAGAGCTGGAGCGTGTTAAGAAGAGCGCCAGCAGTTGCTCTCAGTTCAAAATCTGGGGACAGCAAGAAGTCCAAAAAGACCAGAGGTAAATACCAACAGATCATGGTTTACGTGTTTCGAGATCACTTTCTAACTGGATGTACATTAAAGGTGTAATTGTTGTTCCAAAGCTGGTACCAGCAACCTTAATATGTGTGCAAAGTTTCTCTTTTATATATTTGCAGAATAGTTGTGTTTATTTCTCTGTATCTGTAAATGCTGAATGCAGTTTGGGTTCTGTTCCACTAGTTCAGGAAAAATCTGTTTAAAAATTGAATTAAGGAGACTCTGTGGTGGGGGGGTGGGCTGCTTAAAATTGATCTGCTAGATTTTTTGGCTAAACTGAACATGAAGAAACACAACGCTTAGCTGAAGACCCTTTGTAGGCCACCAGTGGTTCAAAGGTTATACTACTGAAGAACTCCTTTATGACGTGTGCTATCTCCCTCAGATAACTTTAAAGTGAAGAGGAGCCTGTCATGTTGAATTTCCTTGGTGACTGTGTGAGGAAGCCTAAATGAAGAATACTCTTGATCTATGGGCTGGACATGGCCTAGGAGAAAGTAAAAGCTGTATTATTTTCCAGTTTGGGAACAGAAGACTTCAGAAGCAGCCCAGGTGGAATTATTTAGGAACCACTATGTTGTACAATGCCAAAGATAGTTGTGGAATGTCACACCCTGTATGGTGCTCACTTAAATGCCATACCATGTTCACATAGCAGTCCCAACTGCTGCAAACAAGTATTGGGTTACCTATGGTTATAGCCCACGTTCCGTAGCAGAAGTAAAATACTACATCACTGAAAAGCATACAACAGTTTGAGGACTGCAGTATCTAAAGATGGCAAGTGGTACATATAAGGTGGTGATGTGTTCTGTTCTTCCTACTGGGGGGTGACTACATGTTCATTAGCATGTCACAAGAATGGCCTACCTTTGCCACAAAGTTGGACAGGCTTTGATAAGCCACTTCAAGATGATGATTCTTTGGAAATACGAGCAGTAAAGACAGCAATTATTCAGCCAGGCTGTACTATTCTACACTTTATGAACAGATGTAGCCCAGGTGGAATTAGTTAAGGCATATATGTTGCTACATTAGTTGTGGAATGTTACTGACCGCAAGGGATTGTCTTCTGTGAAACACTGAAAGTTTTAGCTAGGAGTGTAACAACACTCGAAAGCTCAATTCAATGTGGTACTGCTGTATCTCGACACCATACATTTTTCAATACAGCAAACTTAAGAAGTGCCTGAAAATATGCCTTGCATTCGTATGTTAATTATATGTTAAAGTTAAGATGTTTGCATAATGCACACAGCTTACATGTATGCACACTAGGGGGTGCAATGATACACATTTTCAAGTTCAGTATGATTTTTATTTTGGGGTGATAATTCGATTAGATTTTCAAATTTCGATTATTTTATGTGTTATAAATATATTGATTCTAGAGAACTCTAACTGTGTACTACACAGATTGGTTTGGCTCTCTAACTAAATAAACCCCAAAAATCTCAACCCCTACAATTTGTACACGTGCTGTAGGAAAACAAAAAAACAGTTATTCCAGTGGGTGTGGCCATATAATCAGACCTGCCCACTTTATTCTGATAGGATGCACCCAGATACCAGTTTTGATCACTGACAGTGGTTTCCATGAAAGACTGTAATAGAAAGACACTCAGAAGTCACCAACAGGTGCATCGGTGCCCTTTATTTATTTATTTATTTATTTAGATACAATTTCAAATTCAGTTTCTCAATACTGCGTTGAAATTGTTACGCCTTTAGTTTCAGATGTGAAAGAAATGTTAATGGAATACTGATGGGCTAATCTGGTTAATTCAGAGAGGCCAGTGAGAACTCCTCCTGGAACAAGACATGGAAAAGGGTAGTGTTCCAACATCAAGGAATACAATCTTCCGTCCAAATGTGGAATTTCGAATGAGCAGCAAAGTTGAATTCAAGTCTGAATTCCACAGTGATTTTGTGAAGCCAACACCTAAACTGCATTCCTCAGTTTTTGCAGTCTTCTGTATAGCAATGAGAGAACAAGTGAAGTTTTGTTGTTTACCGCTGAAGCACACCTAATTACACTGATCTGTTAATTGCCAGCTTTAGTGGGTGTGTTTGAACAGGGGAACCACTAAATTGTGCTGGATACCGGCCCTCCAGGACCGGAGTTGTACTCACCTGAGTTAATATCTACTTTTATTCCAAAAACTCAGAGTATATTTGTTTTCTAACAAATGCGATGTTGTCTCCCTCTTGCTATACAAATATGAATGATTGTGTGCTGGTACCATACTTTGATTGTTTTGCTTTGTGTTTTGATGCACGTTAAATGATTGTTTATCTCGTTCATGCTTATAGTATATATGGCTTCTTTCACACTATTAAGATTTCTTCTCTACAGTTACAAGGTTTTTTAAGATTGACATGTGTAACCAGTAACAGTACAATGGAATTCTTTCTTCCACAGTTTTTATTTCTTCCTCAGCCAGGATGATCTACTGGGGCAAACTGTTTTAATGTTCCTTTTTATTTCTCTTAGAATCGATGAAAGACTGTATTTTGGTTTGCTGTCTCATTAATCTTCTTATGATTTGAATTTATCCTGTTAAATTGTGTTTTGTAACAGTGATTGGCAAATATTTTAACCAAAAGTGACTTGTTTTTAGTCACATTCTTAAAAACTTGGAGGGGTATGTTGTAAAACAGGTTCTTGTTGACCAGATTTTTCATATATGCAAAGCAGGTATCAAGAAGGTAGACATTTAACAGCAGGACTGTTGAGATTAATGAAATTGTACTATGACTTTAAAGAAGGACAGTTATTAATGTATCTCTCTGATGATCAGCTCAGTCATCTAATTGTTTTGAAGTAGTTTAATTGAGCAGACTTCTCTTAGTTCTTTTAGTTAGGGAAAAACTTGAGAGACTAGGCTTAAGATACCAAAGCTGCAAATATTTGCCAGGAAAAAGATCCCTAAATTGGAAAAATTAAGCCACTAGACATGGACCATGGAGTTAACCCTTAAAGCTAAGTTCACCAGTAGCTTTTCAGTTGAGTCTCTTAACCTTTTGTAATTGATCCCTCAGTTACCGTACCAGAAGCACCCAAAACTACATTACTCCTGTTTTATAATATACCCCTTATGCCTTGTTTGCAAATGTGTCAGGGCTTAGATCGTTGATCTGATGACTTTTTGCTGATGGCAAAATGATAAATTACTTGTGTCCAGTGGTTTTCAGTGATTCAGTCGGGTCAGATGATGCAAGACATGAATAAAATACTTGCCTCATGTTAACCTTCCTTCCCTTCCGTCTCAGAAAAGCCCACAACGAAAACGTACTTCGATATAGAAAAACTTGTCCAACACAAATCCTACGTGGAATTGCCCAAGAAGGAGAATGTAGCGTTAGCTGCTGCCGCCGCTGCAGAAGCCGCACCTGCTGTTGCTGCCCGTGTGTCTGAACCTGTAATTCCTGAGACAGTTGCAGCTGCTGCAGCAGCAGTACAAGCTCCACCTGTTGAAGCGGCTGCTCCTGTTGCTGAAGCAACTGCTGCCCCTGCACCTGAAACTCAAGCTGCTTCAGCCCCTGCTGCAGAACCTGTAACTGGGCCTGTTGCAGAACCAATTGTAGAAGTCGCTGCAACTGCTGCCGAAGCTCCCGCGCCCTCTGCCGAAGCTCCCGCTGCAGAAGCTCCTGCGCCCTCTGCCGAAGCTCCCGCTGCAGAAGCTCCCGCGCCCGCTGCCGAAGCTCCCGCGCCCGCTGCCGAAGCTCCCGCGCCCGCTGTGGAAGCTGCGCCGGTTGTGGAAGCTGCGCCGGTTGTGGAAGCTGCGCCGGTTGTGGAAGCTGTCACTTCTGAAGCTACATCTGCAGAAGTGGCTGAGGAAGCTACTGCACTTAAGTCTGAGATTGGTGCCTCTACAACTGAAGCAGTTGTCCCTGAAGCCCCACCTGGAGAAGCAGCAGCACCTGCACCAGAACCTGTAGCAGAAGTGGCAGCGCCTGCCCCAGAGCCTCCCGTGGAAGCAGCAGCACCTGCACCAGAGCCTCCTGTGGAAGCAGCAGCACCTACACCAGAGCCTCCTGTGGAAGCAGCAGCACCTACACCAGAGCCTCCTGTGGAAGCAGCAGCACCTGCACCAGAGCCTCCCGTGGAAGCAGCAGCACCTGCACCAGAGCCTCCCGTGGAAGCAGCAGCACCTACACCAGAGCCTCCCGTGGAAGCAGCGGCACCTACACCAGAGCCTCCTGTGGAAGCAGCGGCACCTACACCAGAGCCTCCTGTGGAAGCAGCGGCACCTACACCAGAGCCTCCTGTGGAAGCAGCAGCACCTACACCAGAGCCTCCTGTGGAAGCTGCAGCACCTGCACCAGAGCCTCCTGTGGAAGCTGCAGCACCTGCACCAGAGCCTGCTGCAGACCCTGCCCCTGAAGTTCCTGCGCCAGCCCCTGAAGTAGTCCCGGAGGTTGCAGCCCCTGCAGAAGTTGTCTCTGAAGCTGCAGCAGAAGCTCCACCTGCCCAAGAGGCTGAAGCGGCCCCAGTTGCAGAGGCAGTGGTTGATGCAGTCATAGAAGCTGCTGCTGAAGCGGTAACTGAAGTAATAGCTGAAGCTGTCCCCACTAAAGCTGTTGCAGAAGTAGTGGAGGCCGTGGCTGAAGCTGTAGCCGAAGTTGTTGTAGAAGCTGCTGCTGAAGTTGTGTCTGACGCGGCCCCTGCAGAGGAGCTGGCAGACGCCGCTGCCATTATAGCAGATGCTGCTGAAGCTCCTGTTGAAGTCGTGGAAGCGCCTGAGGGTACACATCCTCCCCCTTTAACCCCTCTTCTGTCTACTACTTTTTTGGAGTCATTGAAATATAAACAGCTACTTTTTTCAGTTTATATATGGGTCATATACATTTTAAGTGGCTTAACTTCAGACAGCAAGGCTTTTAATTTAGCTTGTCATAACATTGTGTTTTTAGCTGTCTGTAACACACTCTTTAGACAAACTAGTAGTACCATGCAGCCATGTAGACTCAAGCCGCTCGAATTAGGCTGCGCTCATAATCTAAGTTGTGATATGGACAGCAGCCTGTTTGTCCCCAGTGTTCAAAGGTCATTTCATAACTTTTGGTCTTCTGCTCTGTGTTGCTATACAAAATATGGAAGTTTAGATAAGAACTGCAAGCTGAACAAATCTGACCTTTGAACTAGGAGACTCTTCCAACAGCGGACAGTTCTTCTGTCTGTGTCGTGGCTTGGGTCATGAACATAGTCTAGCCAGCCCCACTCACTTTCCCCTCCTGCATTCCACTCATCATGCATTTACATATTGGTGCATTTATGCATTTCTGGTGTTTGTGGCTTTCTCACACCCCTGCCCTTTTCATTAAGTGATTGTTTTCACTGCATTAGCTCACATTGCATCATTTGTTAGTCATTGATTTGCATCGCATCTTTGATTTGCATTAATCTTTGCTTTTGCTCCATGTTCTGCTTGATGCCAGTAATTTGCAAAACTCATTAAAGGGGAAATCCAACTTTTTGCTAAATTTCTGCATAATTCAATTGCTGAAGTGTAAACAAAGCCGTTCAGAGTGGTTTAATGTGAAATGGTTCACTGTAGAGAAACTTATTGACTCTTATTGACTCTTATTTCCTTTACATCAGTGGTAATGTGAACCAGGGGTCACAATGTCTAAAGCTCCAAAAAAGCTATTTTGTTAGTATCCAAAGCCACCAGTGAGCGTACGTGTGTCTTTGGAGTTTTTATATGTAATCTTGAAAATCTGAAAATGGTAGTAAATCAGAAGAAATTAAGTTATCAGTTTGCCTAAGAATGCCCTGCATGTATCTTTGCACTGTGTTTTAGGCCTTACCTCAAAACTGTTGTAAAACAGTGTCTCATTAGACAGGCATTGTATTTGTAACCATGTTGTGTCATAACTTTCTGTTAGGTGCCGGTTAGAAGCATTAAACATTAAACAATAACTCTAATGAGACATTTATTAGAACTATATCCATGTAGATTTGTCTTACAAAACAAAACGTTCAGTACACATGTAGCATGGCCTTAAATTTGTTGGACCACTTTTGATGTGGCACAACCCTATTATGTTCCAAAGGCAAATATCAACTATTAACCACAAATAACTGAGATAATATAGATATTTTTTGTATTATATTAGCTATTTTAAAAATAAAATGTGTAATTCTCCTGGTAAAACAGATGGCATGCATTTATATGACCCATGAACAGTACATGCATTGCCAAGCAGCAAACAGAACACAAGGGTTAAAAGCTTCAGAGGTCTGGTTCCTATCACCACCACTGTGAACAATTCTGGCTTGGTACGTTTCTCAAGAATGGAGCGTTTCCCAACAACCCACTCAATTACTGTGTTTACAAACAACTGAATTATGCCTGCATTTGGTGGAATTTCCTCTTAACTGCAGCTTCTTTGTTTATCTCCCTGTCTATTTTTTCCTTTCCTCCTTTTTCTGTTATTTTTCTGATGCTCTGCTTATTTGCTTTAATTTCTCCACCTTTGCATCCACTGAGCAATTCTTATACTTGCAGTTGTAAACTTTCTGTTTTTGCCGTAAATATACATATTGTTATTATATATTTAATTGTTATTGTATAATTATTATTTTTTGCTCTGTAATGCTAAAAGCTAAGTTTCCTTTTCTTTTTTAATGCTAAAGTTAAACTTTTCTTTTTCATGTCATGTTAAAGGTAATGTCACGGTTATGATGGTGGCCCTGAAGTCACTGTCTTTCATGTTCATTGCTTTTCTTATAGCGTTACCTTGAATCGGATGCTACAGTATGAGTATGATATGGAAGTGTTTTGTTTTTTAGGATACAACTTCATACTCATCCTCTCTTCCTCCTTTGCTCGCTCTCTTAAACATTTGTGTTCGTACCTCACTGTTCTTCCCTGGGAGTCGCATGATATCAGTAACCAATAATATAGCCTCTTTCCCTCTGTATGGTGGTGTATGTGTGAAAGATGGATATGAAAATGTCTACTGTTCCTCCCCCACTATCCCAAGGTGGTGAATCACACACTCAGTGAGTCTGAGTTTGCACTCTGGTTGCTGTGTATGGAATGCAGGTTATGTTTAATTCAAAGGAGTTTCATTAAATTTAGTTTAAAATGCAAGAACTAAACCACACATAACTACGATGAACAAAGCAAGTTTTTTGCTTTTACTCTCAAACTGCTGCAGTCACTTTTCCTGTAGATGTAGATGACACTGTTACTCACAGCCTGACCTGGCCTGGTTCCCCAAAAGTTTCACAGCATGAACATCATTGTTAAGTGGTTGAGCTACAATCCGACTACCTTCTCTAATTCTGTGGAGCATTTGGGGAATCAAGCCTTTGTTCTTTACTTAGTCCTTTAGCGCCCCAGGCCAGTTACTGCTTTTCTGTATCTACTGCTTGCAGTAGATACTTGTTTTGTGCTTGTTTTGTGCAAGGTTTTATATCGGTTTTCTGAAAAGTGTTTATGTAGGAAAATAAAGATTTTGTAATTCAATGACATGCCTACGCATCAGTATGCAAGAATTAATAGTAATTGTTGTTTTTCTTTGACCATCAGCTGGTTTGGATCCCATTCAGAAACTCTTTGTGGAAGCAATCCGTGACTACTCCTCAAGGAGCATGTAAGTCTTGGGCCCAATCCCATTTCTTCTTTTTACCCCTACCCCTTGTTTTCGAGTGTCACCCTAACCCCTTGGAACAGAGTTACAAAGGGTAGTGGATAAAATCTTGCCCTACGAAATGGGACAACCCTCAAATTAAATGACTTCATTAACAGGCTACTAGCGGTGCTCTGTAGGCGACCCGGCCCGACTTCAGTGATAGCAGAAAAGGGAAAAGGTCAGCGACCTCGCTGCTGGGCTTTAGTTACATTTAAGGCATCATACACTTTCAAAGAGGGGGATAAGACAATTATTTGTTATTGCCCACCGCTAATTCATTGGTGATATGAAGCTGAACTCAGCTATTCACCAGGTTCTTGTTCGAATTTTCCCGTTCCACCTTAAATGGTGCAGCAGTTACATTCTGGCGCTTCAGGCGTCAGAACTGCTGGACTATTTAAGGTGGAACGGGAAAGTTAGCTAGCTAGCTACCAAGACATTAGCATACTTTTAGCGATTTCATTTTTTATGCTTGTTATGAAGAAAATGACCATAATACATTAAAACGACATTAAACTAAGATAATACAAAGGTTATCGTAATTTTTTAACAGAGAAAATTCTCACATTTGTAGGTTTCTTTGGTCGCTCGCGCAGCCATCTTGCCGTTCATAACACTGTTTGGAGTGTTGCCTGTGAAAAACCTCCGTTTGGAGGGCCATATAGCTCTAACACTTCGCCCTACCCCTCTATCTTAACAAAAATTGGGACACCCTACCCCTAGACGTGAACGTGCAAAACAGAGGGCTAAGGGCTAAGTGGTAGGGGCAAGGGGTGAAATGGAATTGGACCTTTGTGTTCTTTCGTACAGGTGATGAATAAGACTGCTTATTGAAATTCAGCACTTTTGTCGTACTCACCAAATTATTATCAAGTAAATTTCCATGTCATTCAGTACAAAATTTTAATACTAAGGTGGTCGGTCTTGTACTGTGTTCACATATTGGCGTTGAAAACCCACCGTTCAATGGCTCATAGCAGAATTGATAAAAGTCCACGACCAACAGCTGCATGTGGCCATGTAAACGTTGACTTGGTGATAGCATTACTGCCTATGTGTGGGGCGATGCCATTCATTTCGTTGAAGTTCAGGATGTGATGTACATAATTGAGTATGCCTTGGATTTAAGTACAAGCATTTAATGCCCTAAAAAATCGACAACCACTGCTGCAGCCCATAGCTACTGTTGGGAAAATTGAGCTCTTGTTGGAACATGGCGACTGGCGGTGGCAAAATTTTTCATCACTGTTCAATTAAATACAATAGAGTATCCGGTTTGCTGTTATTTATCTACCAGCAACATGTAAGTGCAGCATTAGCATTAGTGATCCAAGACCTGCTTGCTCCAAAATCTACACTGCTGATTGACTCTCTCAGTTGTGGACTATATGCGTGTTATTAACATCAGTGCTTCTCGATTAGTCTGCAGTCAGTTACAATCTGTAAATATATCCAGCACCTCAAATTCATTTGTCCTTTAAGCCACACCCCCTTTCAGTTTGTTATTAAAAAGAAGGTATTGAAAAATAACCTTTTCAAGGAATCAGTATGGAAGTCAAGGTAGTGGTTGTGGCGTCAGTGTTGGTATCTGTACTGATACAGAACAATACACCCTGATGACATAACTATTGCATTTTTTTCTTTAATTTACTTTGCATGCCTGACTGCTTTTTCCTCTACCATCAGGTCTACTGGTGGCCTAGTTGATGCAGGTCCTGAGTACCAGAAGGCTTTGGCTGAAGAAATTGCCAAACTGCAGCGGTTATATGGTGGTGGTGACTTGACTTCCTTCCCAGAGTTCAATTTCCCTGGTGAGTCAACACGGACTATCTTAACACCATAGACTGATTTCATTTTTTTCCCTTGCTTCCTGAAACTGACCTCAGCTCTGTCATCATTTATTAGAGATTATACACTGTAAGTCCAAAAGTATTCAGAAACATCTAATTAGCGAATCTGGAGTGATGGAGCACAATCCAGTACCTTTGAGAAGAGTTGGAGTGGCACTATTGATCCAGAGCTGATGATCCAACATCAGTACCTGACTTCAGTAATGCTCTTGTGACTGAATGCAATCAAATCCTCATAGCAGTGTCCCAATACTAAGTGTAAAGTCTTCCCGGAAAAGTAGAGGCTGTTACTGCAGCAAAGAGGGACAAACTCCCTATTAATACCCTTGATTCCAGAAGAAGCATTGGATAAGCAGGTGTCTGCAGACTTTTAGACATGTATGTTACAGGGCTGTCCAGTATAAATATATAATATGAATTTGCAAAATATTGGCCTCTGTATTATTCACACTAATAAGCTAATAGTACCTACCATATAGCTGCACTCTGTAGGTGTACAATTACTGACTGTAGCCCATCAGTTGCACAATTTCTCAGCTGCCCTGTACCTCATTCTTAATTGGAGAGGCAGCCCCTGTTGACCAGAGATGTCGTTTGTATGGTGGGCCATTCTCAGCACACTCCCATGACACTGATATGATAGTATGTATACTGCTGGTATAAGTGTGTCAGGCATAGCAGCATTGCAGAGGTTTATAAACACTTCACTTTCTGTCCACCACATTAGACACACTTAGAGTAAGGCCTGGACTAAAACTACATTGTCTTTTTATTTCAGAGCCCAAACTGGATGAAGTCTCTACCAAGTAAAGAGCCAGTTCCCGACGTCACCCTCTCCTGTGCCTAATTGCAATAAATATGATGTCGTCAACCCTCTTTACCCCTGTCACCCTCTTGCCATAGATTTGTTACAGATATTTTTGTGAACCTTTCGAAGCCTTTTTCAACAGTCATATGCAACTAGTTAATAGATGTATTGAGTGCGCAGTTTGAAAGGGATTAGCACTGTAGCTGTGAATTAATGCGTTTGCACGCTGTAATATTAGGCAGTATGGTTTGAACTATGTGGAAAGGTTTTCTGTCTGGTCTCTCTGTGTATCTGACCTTGCTGGTGATCTAAACTGTGAAATACAATTTTCTGATCTTTATCTTAAAGTCTCTTTATTTCATATCTTCCATTTGTTTAATTTTTTTAATCTCAGCCTGTGAACATTGTTGATCCAAACAATTGGAGCAAGTGATGTATTATGACAATAATGATGAATGCCAATGTAATATAAACTACTAATAACATACTAATAACTACTAATGTACATGCATGCTGAATTTGACCTTGTCTATATGAAAGTGCTCTTACATGGTGAAATGTACAAAAAGCTGTTGGTTTTTGAGTTTTTATAGCACTGCAAACATCATAACATGGATTTTGATATCAGAGAGAGAAAAAATGTTACATTGGTATTGGTATTAGCCAGTACTGAAAGTGTCAATATTAGTATCAGAAAAGAAAATGTAATCTCATGCCTAACTAAACAGACTATAACATCCTCCACAGCTAGTAGCTTTATCAAAAACCTACCAGATCTATCAGATTCTATCAGTTGTCTGCCTGAACCTACCAAATTAGATATGACTGAGTGCTTAGCAGATACATTTTGTGCTACTTTAGATAATGTGGCTCAATTAAAACGTAAAGGAATAAGGCAGAAAAGCTCACACCATGATACAATGATCATACCCGAGCTCTAAAACACTGTCAGACAAAGATTTTGAAAAAAGCACACCAATCAAGTTCCTTTTTGCATAGGAATCACATACATGAAAAATGTCAGTCTAGACTGAGGCTTCAGTATAGTAGAGACAGCACTAGTGAAAATTGTAAATGATCTTTTATTCAAGGTATAACTGCTGGTTCTGCTTGATCTTAGTGTGGCATTCAATAAGACTAATCTATCTTACTAGATAAGCTATAAAACCTTGTAGGAGTAACAGGAATAGCTCTTTCCTGGTTTAGGTCTTAACTGACTGACCGCTGTCAGTTTGTGAATGTAAACGGCAAACCTTCTGTTTGTACAAAAGTGAAGTATGGTGTTCCACAAGGCTCTGTTTTAGGACCTCTATAATTTGCATTATATATGCTACCACTGGGTAGTGTTATCAGTGAACACGGAATCAGTTTCCACTGCTACATTGATGACACGCAATTGAATATATCAACTAAACCAGATAATAAACTTCAATTTAATACGACTGAAGGCTGTGTAAAAGACATAAAAGACTGGATGTCAAGTAACTTCTTCCTACTCAACTCAGAGGTCCTTCTTGGTCTAAAAGCTGCTAGAAACAAAGTGTCTTAAACTTAAAAGCTTTTTAGTTACATCAGATACATCTGAAAAAAAATCTCAATCTGTCCTTAAATGCACATATAACCAATATTACTAGAATAACTTTCCTCTATCTTTGCAATATTGCCAAATTAAGAAATGCACTGGCTCTACAGGATGCAGAAAAGCTAGTTCATGCCTTTATACCTCAAGACTGGATTACTGTAATGCCCTGCTGTCTGGATGTTCTTGCAAAAGCCTTAACAAGCTTCAGTTAGTCCAGAACGCTGCAGCCAGAATCCACACAAGAACCAGAAAGTTTGACCATATCAGCCCGGTTTTATCAATACAACATTGGTTGCCAGTTAAATTATGCATTGAGTACAAAATTATAATACTGACATATGAAGCTCTAAACTGCCTCACCCCTCAGTACCTGAGTGAGTTTATCTCTTATCATGGGTACTTAGATCACAAGGTGCTGGCTTACTATTAGTACCTAGACTTAATAAAGTTACATCTTTATATGTAGCCCTCATGCTTTGGAATAATCTTCCAGTCAGTGTTTGGGACTCAGACAGAGCGTCAGTCTTTAGGTCTAGGCTAAAAACTTACTTGTTTAGTCGAGCCTTTGGTAATTAGTTTTTCCTATTAGATAAAAGATGCAGATCTTCTGGCTCTCCATTAGGCTGTAATAGCTCAATTATTACACTGTATACTGTTCTCAGTCACTCCTAACAGAACTAACTCACTGTGTGTGTGTTTTGCTGAGCTGAATAACTGCCCATCCTGTGCGGTCTGATGCTTTTGCTTAATCTGTCTTGATCTGGTGTCCACAGCTCGTCTCTTTCTGGACCAGTCTGACCATCATGGAGCTTCCTGCTGTGCAACGCTGTGCAAACCTGGCCTGCATGTCACTGACCCTCCTGATGATACTGCTGCATGCACAGACTCTCTTTTGCCCTTTTCTTTATTTTAATATTTTATACTAATGGTAAAACCTTTTTCTGTTCATATAGCTCTTGTATTATTGTTTGGCTATCTGGTGTCGACCAAAGGAGGATGGGTTCCCCTTTTGAGTCTTGGTTCCTCTCAAGGTTTCTTCCTCTTGCTCTTAGGGAGTTTTTCCTTGCCACTGTCACCCCTGGTGACACTCATGGGACCCAGATTTGGACCCAGATTTTTCTGTAAAGCTGTTTTGTGACAAGTCCTATTGTAAAAAGTGCTATATAAATAAACTTTGCTTTGACTTGACTACAACGTTTTTTTGTTGTTCAGCAAAACTACAGACAGATTTTGTTTTTTTCTAAGTGTACAAAGTAGTATTTCATGCAATGAAGTCTGTTGTTGCATGATATACACATATGCTGACAGTTGGTTTCAGAGGTAGAAGAATAAATTCTTAATCAAGTTTATGTGACACAAACAAAAAGTGTTTTGTATTGTATATAATCATAAATAAGACTGTCATACTGTCTCTCTCTCTCTCTCTCTCTCTCTCTCTCTCTCTCTCACACACACACACACACACACATACACATATAAGATCATTTTAAGATGATATTATAAACAACAAGTTAATGTAGACATATTTCTTTTCAGCACAGCAGTAATAGCAGCTCTCTATCTCCATGCTGTCGTTGCCCGGAACCTCCTACATGCAGTTCATTTTTCCGTCAGTGTGATATTAGCGGCTGTACCGAAATGGCGACCTCTCTGCTCAGACTGGGACGACTCGGGTCGCTCAAGGTAAAAATAACAGTAATAACAGTAAAAAAGACTCTGCAGTTAATAAGAGTTTGGTTTTAAGAGAACAAATCTGATGAGTTTAGCGCTATTTCGACTGACTGTTCGCGGCTTGTGGGTTCCGGTGAACCGTTAAGCAGGCTGATGGTCGCCGTCTGTGTCCTTGTTGAGCTCATAAACACCGAGGACCGAGTTAAAGCTGATCTCGCAGCTGGAGATTCAGATGCTGCCTGATAATGTCAGTGTCGCTGAACAGTACAGTGGGTCTGGAAAGAGTTAGTTTAGGTCCGTGCTGGGGGAAACATCGCTTCACCGCAAGAAGTCGTGTTATTCTCCAGTTTCTTCTTCGAATTTTCCGGTTCCACCTTAAATGGTGCAGCAGGAGTTATTATAACTCATGCGCCACAATGTAGCTGCTGCACTATTTAAGGTGGAACGGGAAAATTCGAACAAGAAACGGGTGATATTGATGTGCTCTAAATGCTGCTTAAGCTGCAATTTTTAGCGATATTTTTGCGATACTGGTTATTTGGTAGGTAATGATCACTGTTTTCACTGTATAACGCCCATAAGGCAGCAGTGCCCCACTTAGCGTTTTACTGCTTAATACTGTTGTGTGCAGTTTATGCTGCATTCTCCCACTGCGTTTTAGGGCCACTGTTAATAAAAATAAAAACAGTAGACTTCGAGAAAAAAGTCGCACTATTTCGAGAAAAAAAGTCGTAATATTTGGGGATAAAAGTGGGCTAACTATAGGGGGGGCTGCCATAACGCGGATCGATCGATCATTTTGATCATCATTCTCACTGTGAAATTCGTGCCCTCTTTGGATAGCGCGGAGATGAAGCCACCGATGGCCGTGTAGACGACCCTGCCTGCGAAAAATGCCTTCATACATCACGTTTGTACGCACAGATCTGTGTAATTACATTTCCACATTAGTGAATTGGCACCAGCAGCAAAATAAGAAATATTATAAATCCGTTGCTATGTTAAAGCTTTTCAATTTTATTTAAATCCCAATGGTATTTCTTTATTTTTTATTTTGTTTATTCTGGGATGTGAAGGCTGTAAGGCATCCTATTGTTATACTTGTCTGTATATATATGGTTATATGCTTGAAATAATAATAATGATAATAATAATAATAATAATAATAATAAAAAGACCCTGCCTGCGGTTCTCTCTCAACAAAACAGACAGACAGTTTCCTCCGAGTCCGTCCGGCTCTTTATTCTAGATAAACAGAGTTTCCTGCTCAGCCGTTTCAGCCGGTTGTTATACTAATAACAGGCTGGTGCTGATGCGCAGGAGAGACAGGGAGACTGAGTGTTTCTTTATCGGTGAATCGATATGAAAGTTTAACTCCACCGACTCACCGCCCCTCAGTTAACACGAGGAGGGGCTGCCTTCACTCTGCACAATATTGTGACCTTTCCTGATATTAATGCCACTTTAATGTCGTAATTCTACGACTTTATTCTCGAAGTCTGCTGTTTTTATTTTTATTAACAGTGGCCCTAAGACGTCGTCATTGTTCACACGTTTGCGTTGAAAAACGTCATTCCGCACCTCATAGCGGTTCGCTGCCGACGGCGGCGTGAAGCTACGCAGACGTTGCCATGGAGACCGCGGTGCCGGTGTTGTATCCAAAACAGTCAAAATAAATAAACAAATAAATAAAACAGCACGATAGCTTTCTGAGTAAGAATGACTAGGTTCATAATGAGCATTGCTTTATTAGATGACACAAACGTACTATTACTGGATCTGTTGTTGTTGTTGTTGTTGTTGTTGTTGTTGTTGTTAGTGTGACACAGACTGAAGAATGGTCTTTGTAGCTAATTATCCAGATGTGGAGACAGTTTTAGGAAAACACGTTTACCCAGCAGAAATATCCAGATCTGTTTCTCCTACCAAATACAGCTAAGTAAAACTCCATAATAGACAATATACATGTGGATGAAATATAGTCGTATTAATTTATGATACACTAGCAGTAATTACTTCAGAACTAAGGAGATCAGTTAAATTATGGGCAACATTTACAGACAGGTAAAAAGCCCCGTTCAAGTCACACCTTGCTCCCAGAAACAGCAAAGATAAGCCCCATAATAGACATAATATTGTGTTAATAATAATAATAATAATAATGATTATTATTAGTTATTATTAATAATTATTACAAGTATCAAATTGGAACTAAGCAGCCCAGATTTGCTTCCCTTCCTACACAGCTCAGAGATGTATTCTGAACCTAAAATGACAGTTTTCCATTAAGGAGAACAATTATAGACAGGGAATAATCTGTCCAACTCTGTTGGGAGAAGCTCCATTGTAAATGTTATTCATTTGTGTTACATACCTGGTTTAATAATCTACATTACAGTTATTATTCTGAGTCTTTACAGTCCAGAGTTTAATTAGGGAGAACATTTATAATCAGTTAAAATGCCTTATCTGAATCTGTTCCCCCTGCTAATTACAGCTAAGAGAAGCTCCATTATGGAGCTCTTAAAAAGAGAAGAACATAGCCTAACAGACTTCATTTTGCTTTTACTCATGTATTACTTTCAACATTACTTTCCTGTAACCAGATGAATAAATCAGACTAAATTGCTGTGGTGGTGTTATAAGATTATTTAATGTGTGATTTTAACATTTGTACATGACAGATCAAAGTTGCTTTTGAGCTGGCATGCTGTGCACGTGTTTACAAAAGCTATATGTGAATAGTTTGATACCAGCCCTGGTTGATATCCTCAGGAATCCCAAAAATCTCTAACTGTTCCTCTCTGTTTTTTATTCAGTGTCTCCAGCAGGACAGCTGGGGCACTCTGAGGACCCCACTCACTGCAGCACTCTGCACGGAAGCGAAACAGCCGAAGAAACCAGCAAAGAAAGCAAAAGCTGCAAGTAAGAGTAAGAGCATGCTTCCTTTTTCCTCAAAGCATTATCTTAGTTAGCACTTGGATACTTAAGCACCTAACAGCAGCACAGGAACTTGTCTTGTAGTGTTCTTGACATGGATGTGGGTTAATAAGTTAAAGTACATTTCAAAAGTTACGTTTTTGTCATTCAGTGTACAAGAGAAAACAAACCTTATCAAATTTGAAGATGTACCTCTGAAATGGCACATAAGAGACTTAGCAAAGAAATCCTTGCATATCGCTGTTGTCGGAAGAAAACCTTGTATCTCCAAAATGGTCACTTTACAGGAAAAGGAAAAAAACATACTTTACTTTTAGTGTAAGTTAATGGAACGAGAATTTTTTCCAAGTCATTTTGGGCCATTTCTTTTTGTCCATTCATCATCAAATTTACAGACAATGTAAAGAGCAACAGGTATTTTTGAATTATGTCAAGAACTGAAAAACGACAAAAATGGAGATACAAGGTTTTGTTCCGACAGCAGCGATATGCGTCTCTGCACAATTAATTAATACGTTTTGGCCAAAACCTCAGATCTGTCACAAAACAATATTTGAGGCGTTGTTGCCACTGTAAATGATTCTGACTTAAGAAGTCTTTCAGAAAGGCTCGTTTCACATCAAACCACTCTGAATGACTTTATTTACATCTTTACAATTTAATTATGCAGACATTTTGAAAAATCTTGGGAATTCCCCCTTAATCAAAGCACTTTCAGGTCACTGATAAGACAAACTACAATATTTTACTGTATTATTAATACTCCGGATGCACTCTTATGGGAATTGTGGTTCAATGCTGATATTTTTCATGTACGTATCTGCCAATGCCTGAGACTAAATCTACCTGGATTAGCATTGCAGAGAAATGCATTGCTCATTTCTGTTTGGCTACAAATGCAGTAAAATTAAGAAAATTCAGACATCATAGCACAGTAGCCTAGAATTGCCTAACCATTCTGTTATTTTGAAGTACATAACTTCACTTCATAAAATATGGATTTGAAATGTCAGTCAAATCTAAACATCCAGTGCCAGTATATTTTTTAAAGCTAGTATGTGTCAATGCCGATTCGAGTCCAATATCATTGTGCATCTATAATTAATAATGTTGACTGCTCTGGACATTTTCACAAAGTTAGTGTGCATTTTCAAATACGATACTCCAAATACTGATACTCCAATCATGCTTCTGCGGATGTTTTTTTGTTGTGAGTCAGATGATGTCAGTAAGGTGAGTGTATAATTTTTCCTCTTCACATTGGTATCAGCAGGGCTACTGGTTCCAGCGTTCATCATCAAAACAAACTCACACTGTTTGTCCCATTTTCTCAGTCTTAGAGGCCCCTGAAGACAGGGCGGCTCTACTAGCCTACAAGACCGCTGTTGCCTTCCCTACTAGACTTTCTGCCCCAGGATTTGTCAGTGCATTAGGTGAATCTGACCTGAGGGCAGCTGGAACTGTAGAGGCTGCAGGTGCCACTGAAGTTTCAGCTGAGGCTTCAGCCACAGGAGAGGCTTCCAGCACTGGCCAAGGTGAATCTGTCACAAATCAACCTGAAGCTATACCTGTTGCAGAATCTGTGACTACAAGTGATGCTGCAGGTGCCAAGGTGGAGGCATCTGAGACTACTGCCACAGATTCTCCAGCCCCAGTAAAAGAAGCCAAAGAAACAACAACCCCAAAGGATGAAGAAGCTACCGCTACCTCCTCCTCCAGTGACTCAGATTCTGATTCTGACTCGGATTCTGATGACGAAGCACCAGACAAGACTGAGAAGACTGAAACAGTGGTCCAGCCTGAAGAAAAAGCAGAACAGGAGAGCGTTCCAAAAGAGTCTGCTTCAGAGGTAAAGACTCCTGAAAGTGCTCCTGAAGGTGTGGCTTCTGAGCCTGTCTCAAAGGAAAAGACTGTGCCTGAGGCCTCTGTTGAAGGAGCACCAAAAACCACTAAAGCTGTGACTGATGCCACATCTTCAGAAGTGCCAGCTTCAGGTGCTGCACCAGAAACCTCCACAGACGATGCCTTTGCTGAGAAGATTGTTGACCCTGCCCCAGCTTTATCCACACCTGTTGCTAAAGCAGTTCCTGAAGCACCTACTGAATCCCCCCTGGCTGCAGCCCCAGAGGAGTTGGTTGATACTGCACCAGAAGTTAAAACAGCAGCCACAGAAGAAATTGTATCTGAAGAAGAACCAAATGTGGAGGTGAAGACTTCAGAGGCCAAAGCTGAATCTGTGCCAAAGGTTGCAACTGAGGTAATTCCAGAAGTAGCTGAAACCGTAGCTGGAGCCGTTGCTGAAGGAAGCCCTGATGTAGAGGCTAAAGTCACATCAGAAGTCGCCCCTGACTCTGCTAAGGAAGTGGCATCTGAGCCCAAATCTGAAGTGCAAGCTGCTCCACCCACAGAGGAGTTGGTCGATCCTGCTCCTGTAGTTGTCGACGCAGCAGAACCTCCACCGGAGATTGAAGTAGCGGCAGCACCTGAGGGTACTGACCACACCACCTTAAATCTTTTTCTATCCTTTATGGAGCCTTCAAACATGTTCTGTGATTTACAGAATACTAAAATCATATTGTTTTCCTGGTGTAGGTTTCCCCACTTAAATGCCATTTTAAAAAATGATTTTCTTTTTTTTACACTATTCTTCTTTTAATATATAACTCTCTGCCATCCTCAGTACATTTGCATTGACCTGCATCATTTTGAGCTATGAGTTGCCTCACTTTTTTCAAGCTTTTGTGCATGTCTGCATTTAAGGACTCCAGATTAGAGCTTGAAATTTGTCCAAACTCGTCGGGAACCGATTGCTCACGTTGTGTTCGATCTGCTTTCCTAAATATGGTGTCAGATGTTAACAGATTTCATGTTCATGTTTATTTTAATGAATTTCGTCCCATGTTTATCCCTGCTTTAGTTGTGATTGTCTTTTTTTTCCACTGTATGTTAATTATTAATGTACATGACTGAAGTGACGGAACTGGCTGGTTAGCTAGCTGTCAATGCTTAATAGCTCCCAACTATAGATAGAAACAGCACCAGCTCAAACAAACAAACATGACTCACTGTTGCCCTCTAGAGGTGTTATAGCACCAATCAAAAGTAAGAACGTTGATGTTTTCGTAAGACCTCATGACGTGTCTCGATAAAAATGTTTTCTATTTTCGTTTATTTATATTATTTGACCCAGCCCCACAGATAAAAAAGCACAGAATTCAAATTCTGTCTGTTGTGATGTAAACATATGATTGTGAAGGCTAACAACTGTGGAAATAATTGCAATCAGCTCAAATAATTGTGATCAGGCAGTTACCTTATAATTGTCACAGGCCAATTTAAAACATTTTAATGTGGCATGCTGAAGTCACCCACTCATGAATTTAGCTCATTAAGATGTTCAGAAGCATTGCTTGATGAATAGATTTGCTAAAGCAGAGTTTAAACATAATTTTCCACAGCTGATTCATTAATTGTATCATATTATTTTAAATATATGTTATATATAAATATATACCATGATCTAATGATGGCAATGCACTATGCAGTAATGTATTTGTGGCACTATCCTGTCAACTTTTTTTGACATTTTGGGTGATTGTGGGCCAGTTTGGGTCAGTTTCAGACAGAATTTTCGTCAGGCTCACATTGGGTTCAGACTCGTTTTGATGATATGGTCGGGTTAGATTTGGATGGAGTTCGAGTTCAGGTCAAAAGATCAAGTCTGATAAAAGCTCTACTCTGCATACAGAATCCTGAAATGCAGATATGTTAGGCTGTTCTTCTTTCTGGTCTGTTCTTTTACTCTTTCTGATTTTAGCCAGCTGTTGCACTAAAGGTCTTGCAGTTAATCTTCATAAAACCGTTTGGTGATTTGATGTCTCTTTTCCCATTTACATGCACAGGCATTTAGGTTTTAAACACTGATGTTCCAGAATGTGTTGTCAAAAATGACAACTTAGAGAAACAGTGTGTAAATGTGTAAAATATGTCATAGAAAAGTGCCTAAAATTTAAATATTTGCATTTACAGTGTAGAGGTTCAACTAATGTATGATCTTATAATCCTTTCCCCTCAAGACCTGCGTATCCAGATCTGGCTTGGTATTTGTCTTGTATGAGTGTTCTTGGGTAGAATGAATCCTCTGAATGCATTCCTACTAACATAGTCAGCTCATACACTGGATCACAGTTAACCCCTCAGGAGTACATGGCAACTTACTTGAGTCTGACAGTTCATTTCCATTGTAAGGAGCATCCACATATTTGGAGTTTCTATTGTTGAGGCTCTTATGGAAGTGTACTCTTACGTAGTAGATGTTACAAGAGACTGTAGGGGTGCTTTACAATACATTTAAATCTAATCTACCTAACCAATGTAGAAGGACTGTTTTCTTACATTTCTCTTTTTGGCATCTTTCACTTTTTCTTTCCTCTTTCCATCCTGAAAAGGGTTGTTTGCTATGTCTTATTATGTTAACAATATTATTTATATTATTTTATTATTTATTTTATATGCTCACTTTATTTTGTCTCCTTGTGTTAATGTCACAGTTAAATTCAGCTTGTACCAGAAAATAGCTAATGTTAATCATCATTAAATGTAAGAGTGTCAGAAAAATTGTCAGTGTTGGTGGAGGTTGTCTCTTTCTTCTCTTGAGTGAAGAGCAGTTCTTCCATTTTTTTCTGCATTACCCTCCCGTATGTTGGGAGTTATTTCGAGATGCAGCCAATGACCCCTCCTTACTGACCGCATGCCTGGATCCCTTCACCTTCTGTTGTCTTTTCATTCTGTTCTATTAACGACACAGCGTGAATGCTTCTCTGCACACTTTTGAGTGTACATTATTCCTCAGCCTATGAAACTGCTCTACCTGTTATTGGAGCTAGTTTTGCTTTTTAACAGTAAAAAAGTTTGTTTTTTGTTTTTTTAAATCATTTTCAACTATCACAGTCTGATACAGCTGACTGACTAGAGCTAAAGTGATGGAGGCTGTTAGACAAGCAGCCTTAGGCTGTTCACGCTCCTTTGAATTTGATCTCTGTGACCACAGGGGGTGGAATCACATGACCTATAATAGGAAGTGACTACTGTAAAACAATGCAGCCAGAAGTGTGAATATTCAAACAAATGCTCCTTTCAAGTTAGGATGTAAAGAGTAGTTAAAGGCCGTGTTAAGAAGATAAGCTTTAGTGTTAGTTTTTTTACTCATGACAGACCTACTTCCTGGGATTATTCGTGTTACATGCTAGTGTTAACTACAGATTACTTATGTAGATTTGTTATCATTATTATTGTTATTATTATTAGTTTCTTAACATTTCTTGATGAATGCTATGTGTATAGTGGATCTAGCTGTTTATATGGCTTCCAGTGCATTGTGCATGGTGCTATATTATTACCAGCGTCCACAGATTCCTGTCCCCGGTACCTTATATGTTAATGCATTTAGCATATGTACAAACACCTTGCAAAGTGAGTAACAAAGCCATTTATTGGCAGGCTCCAATTGTTGACCATGTTACCAAATATATATAAATATAAAAATATATAATATATAAAAATGTTAACATGTTGTATGTGATCTGAATAAAGTATATTTATACTTCCACATGTCTTAGTTTGTTCTCACTTCTTGCTCTCTATCCTCCCTGTCTTCTCTAGAACCTGCCCCAGAGCCTGAGCCTGAGCCAGAGCCATTCGACAACACTACCTACAAGAACCTGCAGCACCACAGTTACAACATTTACACCTTTGTAGATATGGATGTGGAGATGGCCAAGCACCGTCTGCCCCAGCCCTCTTCAGGAAGACCTTCACCCAGGCACTGATCTTCCCCTCGCAGAGGCCGACGACCTCATTCCTCAAAGCCCTGCCGTGTTTGCCGTGCTCCTGTGTGTCTTGGATGATTGACTACACTGTGTAGGAAATGCTTGTAATTCTATTAAAAGTATATGATATAATATCAAAATTATTTGGAGGTGTCTCTTAGTGTTGTTGCTGTAGCAGAGAACATTTGTATAAACAGTATTATAGAACATTATGTAGAAAGGGGATATCCTAGTGTTGTTTAGTGTTGTTTTAGTGTTGTTTTAAATGCACCTCACTTAGCGTCTCACTACAAACTGCTCTAATTTAGCTCTATTGAAGCTTTTTATTTATGTACAGTTGAAGGAAGAAATAATATTACACACATAGGTACAGCATTCATGGAATTTATTATAAAGTTTCTAGTTTTATTTAATTCAGCTTTGCCCACTCTGTGGATGGAACAAATTAAAAGCCTCCAGTGAATATCTTGATGTGTAAATATTGTAATTGAAAGCAACAAAAAAAAAAGCTGAAGAGCATACAAGGAAAATGGGGAGTACACTGCATTTTGAGTTTTATAGTAGTGTAAGTAAACTTTTATTTCCAATTTATGCCAGTAAATTATAATTATGAAAAAAGGAAAACATAACTACCTTGTAGTATAAACAATGTGGCACACCTGTGTCAGTGAGGAGTGTGCTGTATTTTAATTTTTTTATAAGAGAACCCTAGTTTTATTCAACCTTTTCTCTTGTTACTTTTATTATTGAACTGTCATACAGTTTCCTCCAGGAGAGGCACCAGGTTAACACTTAATGTTGAATATATTGACTGATGCCAATTAAATTGAATTATGAGAATGAGAATGAAGAGTAACTTGATTTTGCAAAGAGTGGAGTAAGTGTACTGCATTCTTAATTTTGTTTAGGGAAACATAAATTTACTAGGTTTATTGAGTTTTCCAATTTATCAAAAAATGAAGATGGTAAAAGAAAACAAACAAAAGTCTAGATAGTAAAAAAAAATTGCATTTGTGAGTTAGAGCGTACGTTCTCTCGCTCTCCAAGGGGGGGGGTCACATCACAGCCCCGCCCTCTTTATGAATATGCATAAGAAAATATTTTGATGTCCTTTACGATCCCTCGCCGCTGCCCCGCCCCTATATAAATATTCATATTCCGAACGCCTTGCGTCCCCTTGACGTGATGACGCAGGGCTGCCACTGCGGATCCCGATTGCTGCAGCCGCTTGTCAGTGTGATGGAGATTGGCACCAGGTAAGCTGTCACTCAAAATCCTTATTTCACCCCGATCACTATCAATCAAACTAATCTACAGCAGCAACGCTATAAAAACCCTCGGCCTGAGGGAACCAGAGACTCTGGCAAGCGTGTGTGTGTTTATGGGGGGCAGATATGAGTCTCTACCGGGCCTTAAATATATTGTAGATCAAAATCTAAATATATTTATGTCTTTATTGGAGAGGGAGAGAGAGAGAGGAGGTTTCTATTCCAAGGGCGAGAACCGAAAGCAAGGCCCGGCTGCGGTTTCCCAGTTTGGCTAAAGACGAGAACGCGACTGTGGGCTTTTTTTCTGGGTTAACTTTTGAGTGGACTGGTTTCAAACCACCCCCCAAAAACACAACTAGGTCGGGCTGGTAACATTAGCGTTTTAAAATAAGCACAAATCGGTGATTTAAAAGTCTGTGCTGGAGCAGAGAGCGCTGCCGGATTCACGCTAATCTCCTGCAGTTGGTCAGCTAAGCTAAACTAAGCTAAGCTAAGCTAAGCTAATTTACGAGCTACGAAGCCAAAACACCTCGGCACGTTTACAGGCTGCTGCAGAGCTACAGCTAATTGACCCCGCTTTATTTTATAGTTTGTGAATTAAAATACAAGTTAATCGCTGCTCTTTTCCGCGTTGCCATGACATCGCCCTGCCGACGAGGCTGAAGTCGGCTTGTTGCAATTTTCCCGTTCCACCTTAAATGGCGCAGAGGTGACTTTTATAACGCCGAGGCGCCAGAATGGAATTGCTGCTCCATTTAAGGTGGAACGGGAAAATTCGAATACCAAGCCAGCTCCAATTTGGTAGCTATCTCGTATCGCCCTGCCAGTTATTTTGCCGACTATAAGCTGCCGACAGCCTCACAAAATGCGAATATTTGAGTTTTATAACTAAAAACGTTTTAATGTTTCTCAAATTTATAGTTATCTAACAGCTAATTTGTGCTAAAAAGGCTAACTAGCACCGCTAGCCCGGCCTCAGCAGCAGCGCTCCGTTTACACTCATCATTTGCAGGCTAGACTGGCTGTTTATCAGAGTAACATTAGCTATCAGATAAGGTTTTAAAATTGCTCTGTTGATAACGTTCAGTTTCGTATGAAATTCTGGCAGATACAGCTAAGCTAAATAGTGCAAATGAATCAGATATGGGTTTGTAGCTCCGTGATATGAGCACAACACGTGTATGCAGCCGTACATGGACAGTAATGATAGGAAAGGATAGAAGAGCAAAATAAAACGTATACAGCCGCCTGTAGCTTACAATACAACAGTGCTGTAAACGCCTATAATACAGCATGTCCTGCACTGGACGCCAATGTTGGCGTAGTAACAACAACTAAAGGCCATTTGTGAAAAAATGTGAGGAATCATAGTTTAGCAAACAACAACTTTCCACTTCTTCATGACAGCAAGTATTTAGTAAGTTACAGCAAAACAGCAAACAAAGAACTTCTGCCTGCCCAGAGGAAAAAATATTACTTAAGATTGTCTCAGAGAAATAAAGCGGATCTCAGTATTGTTTTAATGATCACTGATTTCTGAAAACCACCCTTAGCAGAAAAGAGGAGATTAACATCAGCACTTCTCTGTAAGAAGTTCTGGTGGTGAATGAGAAAAGCATGAGTTCTCCTTCTGCACTGACAGGCTGCTGAAAGAGATCTGTGATATAGAATAGAGCTCTATAAGAAAATTATGATTGTATGATAATTATTACTTATTTATCTTAAGTTTTTCTTATGGAAATATTATTCAGCTAAGACCAGGGTGAGATTAGTCAGATATAAACGAGTTAATCCGTATATGAGACAATATTTAGATCACAGTGAGAAAATCTGAGGGTTATTTTTTAGGAGCCAAATTTCAGAGACATGAGAATATGGCTTTACATCTAACTCTGATTTCAAACAGGACTTAATCATTTATAGAAGTACACGAGATGTTGATGAATATTTATTTCCTCTGGGTGCACACATGACAACAGTATTGTGGGACGGATATTACAGCAAACAACCTTCCACCTGAAACCTACAGGACAAACAGACTTATACCTAATTAGTAAATAAATTGTGTTTACTTTTTTGGTGGTGAGAGTACTGATGTATTGACCTTAGATTTTGTGTATTCTAAGAAGTTAAAGGGGAGTTCCACCAATTTTTCAAAATTTCTGTATGATTAAATGTTTAAGTTGTGAACAAAGTCACTCAGAGTTCTTTCATATGAAATGCTTACATTTACAGAATCAGAATTTTACACAGTGCAGGTGATCACTGGGCATTTAAAACGTTTAATGCCTCTAAAAGCTACGTCACAGACAGGTGTAACATGGAATAGTTATGAATACGCCACCTGATGCCTGAGACATTGTTTAACAATACCTTTGAGAAGGATTTGGAGCATGAAAAGCATAACATTTGTAGTATATGTTTAGTATATTAGGTTTGCTGGTCATTTTGTACAGTAAATAAAATGACTATGTTTGCATTGGAGACACCACGTTCACTGTTTCTTACCACCCCCACTGTAAAGAAATCTGGGTGGGTAAGTTTATCTGCATGTACCATTTTGCATTATACCACTCTGAATATCTTGGCTTCCATCCTAGTTATTGAATTATGTAATCATTTAAAAAAATCAGTGGAGTTCCTCTTTAACCCTGGTGGCAGCAATTTACCAACACATGGCATCATACCATGATGCCAACTTCTCGTGCATACCTTTCATCTAGGTTCCTGGTATCTAACAATTGGTTGTCTCAATGTCGTTTTTAAATAATGTAATTTACTTAACGTTTGGTCATTGTTTTGTGTATGTAATAGCATCGTGAATGTAATAACATGTCTGTGAAATCCAGAATGTTTAGAATGTAATCAGTATAACTAGAAGCAAATTGTATGTTTATAGTGGATGGTGGTAGTTAAAGAAGATTTTTTTGTGTGTTATTTAACTGGTATATCCAAAGTTATGCTAGAGCCACGACAAACAGCACTCAGTATTTTCCAACAGTGGGTGAAATTTGGATTTCTTTAAGTGTGTATGTGGCAATGCCAAAAGTGTCATTGGTGTATCTGCGAAACAGTGTGGTTATGTGACCAGTGAATTTTTCAGAAAAGCTTTCTCAACAAAGAGACTTTTATAGGAAAGTTCCATTTTATTGCCAGGACAGCTCTTACATGCGAATATTTAGAATTAAAACTAAAGCGATGTAGTGTTAATGCAACTTCTCATAGTCCCAAGGGATGACTAGGCTAACAGATTCTCTTCTAGTCATTCGTTCAGAAGACGTTTATAAGCTTTTAATTCCAGTATCTTTGACTACGTTTTATTATGAATAATATGAGTAATATGCACATGTTTTGTGTGTACAAACAGGTGATTTGCTGCTACCTGCCCGTATAATGCTTCAGTGTTGGCTGTGGATAAAGTGAACATGATGGCAGCCCAGCCTGTGTCATTAGACAAGTACCAGGAGGGAGTGCAGCAGGTAGGCTGGTGGCATTTACACACAACCTTTCCATTAAATTTATGGTTAAATCAAAGTTACATTTGCAGGCCAGCATAAATAATCCCAGTTCATTTATGACATACAGATGACTGAGAGCTGTAAGGTTGTCTCGTTAGCATTTGGGCAATGTTGATCATGTTTTTCCCCCCTACAGACTGTTGCATGGTATTTACAGTGTCTGTGTTGATTCTGCTGGTTTAGATGCAGGGAATGGAGCAGACCGATGGTGATCCAGAGAAGAGTTTTGTAGACTCGAGAATCTGCAGCCCTGCTCTTGCTAAGCCTCAGACTCCAATGGACACAGACAAAGCCTCCATATACAGGTAATGAGCCAAACTTGGAGGCCTGGAGGCCCACTTGCATATTGTCACTGTTGAAACTTCATAGGAAAAACCTTCTGAATTTTTCTGAACTTTAATATATATCATGAATTATTTTGTTCTGTTAATTTGCACCATTTTTTAAAATCAATCTGTTATGATATCTGATCACAATATAAAGGGCAACTGGCTTTTTCAAATGGTGTTAAAAAAAAAACAAAACAAGGTTTTATACGTTCTGATTCATGTGATATGATATGATTGCTCAGAACCATCTGTTAATTTACAAATTTAGTCTCATTTTAGAGATTTTGATCTTGCTTAATTCCCTTTGTTTCTTATTTAATGTTCTCCATTCCTTCATTACATTTCAGCTCTAAGGTATAGTTTGTGTTTTCTATGCAATTACAGGCATCCCCTCTTTCCTCTCCTGGCACTGCTGTTTGAGAAGTGTGAGCAGTCTACTCAGGGTCCGGAGTGTGTGTCATCAGCAAGCTTTGATGTCGATATAGAGAATTTTGTTCGCAGCCAGGAGAAGGACAGCAAGACTTTCTTTAGCGAAGACCCTGAGCTGGACAACCTGGTAAGAAGTACTACCTTAAAGTCAAAGTAAACCATAATTATAATGCATTTTCCTACTAAATCAAGTGAAACACGGTATCAGGGAGGGTCTCTGAGCTAGCTGCCTGTTTCTCTCGATTATATGTGAGGGTAGGGCGAAGAAGATGTAAAATATGTTATTTTTTCATATTATTTTCCCTGACCATAAGTGCACAGTGACATAATCAAAAGTTAGAAGACCTTTTAGATGCAAAAAGCCATTACATTTTGATGGAAAATTATGAGAAAACAAAAAATATGTCTCTTAAATGATATAATTTGATGAATTGTGCTTAGTATGACCAGACACTTGAACTAACAAGGTAAAAGTTGTCCATTTTGATTTCACATTGACTTTAAGGACTCCTTAATTTGAAAATGAGTCCATTGTTGACCGCTGAGGCTTAGGTTATTGTTCAGTTATTAAATCTTATTAGTCATTAACCACTTTAAGTGATTCAGTAAGTACAATGAAGCTGATATATAAGTTGTGCAGTTGTGATGAGTGAGGAGATGAAGTGTGGACCCACATATGGGCTCTTCAAAGGATTAAAGGGTGTTTTCCACGGTTGTGAAATAAATCAAATTGTATACAGTCATATGCGAAAGTTTGGGTGCCCCTGCTCTAATTGCATATTTTATTGATTTTCTAAGTGTAAATAAGTGAACGCAGCCTCTACGGAGAACACACTTGTGCACATTTTAATACACAGTTACTATTTATTTGCTGTATGCAATATTGCAACTAAAATTTGCAGGAAATGCCATATTTAAGTGTGTTCTCTGTAGAGGATGTGTTATTATTTTCACTTAGAAAAGCAACAAAACATGTCATTTTTACCACTGGTGAGCCTTTATCAATATTTACTGACTTTGTTGAACTTAACAGCCTAACAAAGCACAGTGTAAAACCTTTCCCCTGTTATAAAATCTGCCTTTGAATACAATTCATGATCTCCTCTTGCAGTCAGTGACATCAATACAAACTGACTCTGAATGAAAACAAGCATTCACACTGCTTATAGTTCAGAGAAAGCTGCAGTCCTGGCATGGGATGCTGTCGTCTGTAAGCTGTACGTATCTGAAAGATCTCAGTGGTGTCGGCAGTGATGACGTGTGTGAGCTGTTTTCAGAACCAGAATCAGGCTTTTTTGGGCAATTATATTTGCATACAAGGAATTTACATATGGATACAAAGTTTTTCACAGTACAAAAGTTACACTTGTGCAGTCACAGACATTCATTCCTCCATTCCTTCATCCAGTTTTTTCATGTGTACATGCACTGATAGACAAATAGACATTAAGTACTGTAAACATGGACACGGGCACACATTTATAAATAGCGAGTATTATAATTATCAATCAGAATGTGTAGTGCAGTATTCAGCAGCCAGATAAAATGTTACAAATGCTGAATGGTTCAGTTTGGCAGTGTGCTTTAATTGTTCGTAACTGTTTTATTGTTTGAGATGCCAGTAATCATGTGCCTGCGTATTCAGATGGTAAAGGCCATTCAGGTGCTGCGGATTCACCTGCTGGAGCTGGAGAAGGTGAGTGACCTGTGTAAGGACTTCTGCAGCCGCTACATCTCCTGCCTCAAGTCTAAGATGAACAGCGAGACTCTGCTGAGTGGAGAGCCGGGCAGTCCATATTCTAACATACAGATGCAGGTGAGTCACCTCCTACCTCACATTACTCACCTGTACCTGCATATGTGCAGTCTTATCTGCATTAGTTTCCAGCTGAGAACAGCTTATATGCCCTTTATTAATCACATGACTGGAAAGTGTCTCTAAATGCTTAGGATCAGTCACTGAGCTGCTCTTTGAAGAAGCGCTGGAACAGTACTACACAGTGGCTTCTTCAAATGATCTGCCAGACAGCATCTCCTATGTCATTGATAAATTTCTCTACCGTGCTTGTGCATAACCTTACTCAAAAATGTAAATAATAGAGAAATTTCAAACAGATTTTGTTTTTATTTCTCTTTGGATTACCAGTAGGATTACATTAAGGATCCTCAGACAACAAGGCTTTTAATCTTGACTGTTCATTACATACTGCTGAGGTTATTTTTCATTTATTATTATTATTATTTTTTTTTTATTTTGTACAGACACCTAACTTCTCCAGCACAATGAGTCCCCAGGGCATTGTGGTCCCTGCCTCAGCTCTACAACACGGCAGCGTTACCGTGACAACAGGAAATACGCAACAGGTGCTAGCAGGTACGTCTCTGGAGACCAAGATCACCTCACAATGTTTTGTCTGCATCTGCTCTACATGTACTTAAAAGCCTTAGGAAAAGCACTAATAAAATACACCAAATGCATGCTGAGGGTTTTTTAAATATATAAAAATATTTTAATTAAACAACAAATATACAATAAATACCAACATATTCCTTTTTATTAAACATCATAATTTTTTATTTTATTAAACATCATCGTAATTCGTTTTTCCTCTGAATTTATTTTTTTAATTTTTTATTATTATTGTATGTTTTTGTGTGTATATATATATATATATATATATATATATATATATATATTCTTATTTTTTTGTATTTTGAGGTCCTCCAGGTGGGACAGTTTATCAGCCGGTCACTGTACTCACACCAGAAGGTCATGTGGTGACACAGGGACTCTCACCGAGCACTTTACGCTTTCAGAACTCCCAGGTATGGACTTTGCTGCTCTGTATACATGCAAAACAGGATAACAGTCACACATATACACACACACACACACACACACACACACACACACACACACAAAAATATATTTACAAAGCAGTTTATCTGGGCATTAAATGTGCATTTGCTCATAAAAACGCCAACATTACAGTAAGTTCAAATAATGTTCATGGTTCAGCACTAACAATTGCCTGAATGCCTGGGCAAAGCACAATATTAATTTGTAACAGTAGCATTGTAAATTACTTATCTAGGCAAGCTTTTTGCACAGTACAGTATATATGCAATATAAATATATGAATATATGCAATATATCCACTGCCGTTGAAACGTTTGGAATCACTTGCTATATTAACAATTTTAGTTACTTTACATACTGTACTTTACTCTTAAATTGCGTAATTTTTATTTACAGCTTACTAGTGTTCTGTTGATTACTTGAAACGTGTGAAATTACATAGGACCTATATTACAGTCATTTTATACACTTGTCTACCGCCATGTTGATTGTTTATATTTTTGTCAGCCTTGATTCCAAATGTTTGAACAGTAACTTTTGAAAGGTAGTTTTCACAGAGATTACACTCAAATCACCTGTACAGACTGACTAGCTGAGGTTCTTTTCTCTAAGCAGCTACAGCTGCAGCTGAATCAGGATTTGAGTTTCTTCACCGCTGATGACAGCTCACCTAAAAACAAGCGCGGTGTTCTCCCCAAACATGCCACCAACGTCATGCGCTCCTGGCTCTTCCAGCACATCGGGGTGAGGATGTCTTCTGGAGGAAAAAAACCTGTTTTCTCAGGTTATGATCTCGCCAGTATTTTCTGTTTTCAAACTTTCAGTTCAAAAGCTCTTTATTTTCTTTTTAGCACCCATATCCTACGGAAGAGGAGAAGAAACAGATTGCTTCTCAAACCAATCTGACTTTACTCCAGGTCAACAACTGGTATGTTACTGTCCAGGTGGACACACATTATTGATTTTTCTTTTTTCTTTCTGATGCTGCCCAAAAATGTTTGAGATCTGATGTCCAGATCAGAAGATAGTATCACAGAACTTAAGTGGAAAAATTCTTATGCAATAACTATAATTCATATACATTGTGCTATAGGTTTATTAACGCACGGAGGCGGATCCTGCAGCCCATGCTGGACGCCAGCTCTGCAGAGACACCGAAAACCAAGAAGAAGACTCCACAGAACCGCCCCCTTCAACGCTTCTGGCCTGACACCATCGCCTCCTCCGTATCCCAGCAACAGCTCACCATGGCAGATGGTACTGCTACTAAATGAAATCAGTTTGCAAAACTGTTACACAAAACAAACAAACACAGAACCACAACAGTTCCTCCCTTCCTGTATGTTTCACAGAAACAGTGGAAACAACAGTTTGGCGTTTAGCCCTTTAAATGGCCAGAGGCTCGAAGTTTTATCACACGCTTCTATAACCTAAGAATAGCTCAGCCAGTTTGCACTGAAGTCCCTGTAGATACTGAAAAATAAGCCTTAGTATGTAATGAGCCTGGAATTTTAAGGGGTAATGAGTGGATAACATGGATTAAAAAATCATGTAGATAACAAACTAACTCAAAACAGTTTGAGTTGTTGTTTCTAATGGACTTCCTTGTGTGGTTTCTGACAATGTATGACATACTATTTCTTTACAAATGGACAAAGTCTGTTAATAGTCATATGCAAAAGTTGGGCGCCACTGTCCCCTGGTCAAGCGCCCCTGGTCATGTTTTGTTAATTTTCTTAGAGAAAATAAGTTAATACATCCTCTACAGAGAACATATTTCTGCACATTTTAATAAGCACTTGCTGTTTATTTGCTGAATTTAACATCTAAATAAATAAATCATAAAACATGGCTTGTGAAAAAGTTGACACACATTATGTTTTATGTTTTATTTTTTGCCTGTATGTTAGACTCAGTTAATGAATGAAAAGAAGTGCACAAATATTTGTAGAATATGCCATATTAAAGTTTGTTCCCTGTAGATGGATATTTTCATGCACAATTACTGTTTATTTGCTTAATTTAATATATTGGAAAACAAAGTAAGAATAAATATGGCCTGTACCAAGTTATAGCACATTTTATATCTCATGTTTTATATTTTTCCTATATGTGAAACAGCAAATTAATAGAAATTGTGCACTAAAATTTGCAGAAAAATGCCATATTTAAGTTTTCTGTAGAGGATGAGTTAACTTATTTCCGTTTAATAAATCAAGAGAACCTGTAATTTGATGGAGTGGGGAAGTTTAAACTTGTGCGAATAACTATTAAAACAAAAATAAGATATTCCAATTTGGTAAAAATGCAGTATTAACTCTGTGTTTAGGTACCATGGTTACGGTGGGGATGAGCATAGATGGCTTCCAGACTCTTTCGGCAGACGGAGCGATCCTCGCCGTGCAGCAAGTCATGATGGATGATCAGAGTGAGGAAGAAACAAATGACAGTGGAGACGAGGACGACACACACCTGTCCTCGGCTAATATGACCGCTCTGGGCCTGGATCCCAGCGACTGAGACACACACACACGTAAACTTGCACACAGAGACTTGCACAAATATTCAAGCCATTAAGTTAACCAGCACTACAAAGAAAAAATACTAAAAGGAGGTTCTCAGTAAACATCCCGTAAAGTACTGTACATAGACGTTTATTCTCCCAACACACAGTTTACAAAGAGCACAACCTTACAGACAGGTGTGTAAAGTGGACAGACTCTTTTTATTGCGTAGACGTGTAGATGAGTGCACTTTTTTGTATGAACTCCAAAACAGCAGGCAAAAAAAACAGAAACAAGCAAGTGTTTGAGGCGAGTTTTTGAAGCTGTGTCTGGTTAGCATTTGGTAGTAGTTTTACTTCTTTTTATGAATTCATCTGGATGCCAACAGTTTGTGAGTTTGTGCTTGTGATGGTTTTCTTCTGCATGCTAGAGTTTCCCCCTCCCCGTGTCCTCACTCTCTCCCAAACAGGCCGAGGACAGAAAACAAACTAAAACAGTAAAAGATTATTATTTTTGTATATGGAAAGTATTTGTTTTCTTTTTTATTCGTTTTTGCTTTGTGTTTTCTAAGAAATATAAATGTAAAAAAAAAAAAATGCAAAAATTGTGCAACATAGCTGCCCAGTTTTCAGGGCCTGATGACCTTTTTTAGGAAAAAAGACAAAAAGTGCAGAGAAGGTTTAGAATTTTTTAAATATGTAGATTGGTTTTAACACAATCCATGAAATAATGCCTTACATGTTTCTCTTTTCTAAAACGTACTCGCCAGTAAGCACAGCCCACTTAAAGGTGCTTTTCTGTTTTACTTGCTATGTTGTGCTCTGTAGAGCCAAAGCCTCTCAGTACTGAGGTCTGAAAGAACTCAAGTCTAATTTTTGGAACTGACATTAGTCTTAGCTCTCTTTAGACATTATGGGCTTGGACATGGATTAAGCTTCACCTTGGACTAAATTGCTGTGCCAATGGTGAATCACTATTGGAAGGTCTTTATAGTCTAGGATTAGGCTTAATCTGGGTGAGGGAAATTGGCCTTTTGAGATCAACTTGGAATTAACAAAAGGCTCCAGTGGGCCGTTACCAATGTTTTTTTTATATATATATAAAAATGTGTTTTGCAAATAAAGATGGCATCAAATGCCACAAACTTTTAAAATGTTAATTTTTTTATGAAATTACCATCATTGGCAAAAACTATTACTTGCTTTTACCTCTTAAACATTTTTATTGAAGCAAAGGTAAGAAAAGTAAACCTATTGCAGGAAAGAGAATGTAATAAATATACGGTTTCTTTTCTCCACTTCTGATTTTATAGATTTCTTAGCAAAAAATCTTATTTCTTCTTAAAGGGAAGAATATTCCACACTACAGAATCACAGAACAAAATGTGAAATTCACACCTTCTTATTTATTTACATGGAGTGACTATACAATTTCTGATTTGTAGCAGTTTACAAAGTTAAAACACTTGCTTAGAATGGGTCTTCCACTTCTACCACAACTCTTATTACTGTCTTGTACCTATTCAAATGTAGTTTTGTTTGAAATATCTTTCTGTTAAAAAGACACAAGCATGACGTTTCAATCTTGTCACACTGTTTTCTATGGTTGGCAGCCCATTCTAAATAATGGCAGTCTGTGTATTAGATTAAAGATGTTTTTCTAATGAATAAAAAGTACAGAAAAAATGCTAAAATGCTTTCTTTTCTTTAAGATCAGTGAAGACAAGCGTTTAAAAGTTTTGCAAAGGAACAAAATGTCAAGAAAAATCCATCTCAATTACTGTCCTCATTTCTTTGTAGACTTTTTGTTCAGATAAAGTATTAGTGATGCACCGATATGGAATCTGTGGGCTGATTTCCAGAATTTTTCGTTTACATATTCACTGAAATGCACTGAAATTCACTGTTAATACATACATGTTTACAAAATGTAGAAACTGAGTCTAGATCCACCTGGATTAGAAAAGAGTTTATAAATGGTTTAAAAAGTTTGTTAATGGGTATTAATTGGGTTATAAACACTTCATGAATCATTAATAAGCAGTTATAACACATTAATAAAAGGGCAAAAGTGAGCTGTTATATCTGATGAATATGAATATGTGATTAAGCTGACGGGCTAACTGATGAAGACAGCAAGATCAGTTTGACAGTATAAATGAACGAGGGTTCACTGTTAGGCAAACGAGAGGTCATTTTTACCCTTTTTATTTATGTGTTATAAATGCTTATTAATGATTTTAAAGTTCTAAGGATTTTAAGGATCTAATAAATATCCATTAATAAACTAATTTTAAACCATTTTAAGGGTAGTCTTATTTTAAAGTGGTACCAAAATATCTGCTGATATATACCAAATATATTTGTGCATCTCTATGCATTAAGCTGATGGATGTATGGTTTAACATAAAGGCAGCAGTAGTAATAATGTTTGGCTGAGTTCTAGACAGCAAGATCTGAAAAGAAATAATGGTTTCTGGAAGCTCCTGAAGAAATCCTTCACCTGCATGTCTACTCACATGTGATGAAGATCTAAAGATTTCCCTACACTTCTGTGTGGTACTGTTAAGATGTGATGAAGTTGTGGAGTGTCACCCCCAACATGAATCACTATGATAACACTTTTCCTGAAACCTGTAACATAACATTGACATAACCATGCCGTTACCATGTCATGGCAGATGTCATGCTGTCTTGCTGATCTGCAGGAGGGTGCAAGTAAAGTGCTACCGTCTCCTTTAAGACCAGGCCGAACCAGGCTGTGAGGCCAATTAGGGGAAGCCTGCAAGTTTCTATATAGCCTGATCCAGGTTTTTTGGCAGGAGATCATCTCAAGAGCATAAGTTTCAGATTCACTAAATAGAAGACTCTCTGGATACTTTTGGACATTTGGTGCATAAGTGACTACAGTCAAATCTGTCCATGGTTCTACAGTAACACACTCACTAACTGGTCCATTCAGAATGAAAGCGGTCCAGTGGACTCGTGGAAGCATTGTTTGAATGGCAAATACACAGCCTCCTTGTTCCACACAGTCTCAGTTGTCTGAGCTGACTGGAGAGGGGTTCAGTGTTTCTTCTCTCTGCAGGGGAAGACATTAAACAAGTTATAATACTGCAACTGATAATAAAAATAACTCGTCCTTTGAAATTAAGGGACAAAGCAAAAGTCAGAGACCATCTTTTCATTCATTAAGTTTCCAGTCAAAATGGCCAATAAGTTATTCTATTTTTCAGGGTCTGAGAAACAAAAGCAGAACACATATTCAACAGAAAATTACACAAAAGCTGCAACAGCTAAATATAAATTTTAAATATAAATTAAGTGTGTCTATATTTTGTCTTTAAACAACTTGGTTTGTTTTCAAGAGAGTTGCTTTTAGTTTTCTGCTACTGATGAGCCAAATAATCCCAATTACAAATTTGACTTCTAAGTCCACAGACTTTTCAGATCTGAAGCAAAAGTAGAGCTTGATTTTCTCCTGTCTGTCAAAGATGATAGTGTTACTGCTTTTTTAAAAGTTTTTGCTTTGGATGTGAAGCAATAATGTGCTGGAATATTTGCTGACCTGGCTAAAGCCTTTGATTCTGTTATTTCTGTTCATTCCCTCTTAATAAATAGGGTAGCATAGGGTTCATGGATCATTCTTTAGCTTGGTTTACTTTCTCTAAGGTAATAGCATGTAAAGTTAGAAAATGTTTTTTCTCTCCCCTGTCCAGTTACTAAAGGTGTCCCGCCAGGGTCAATACTAGGTCCTACATTGTTTTCTATGTATATTAATGCTGGTGATGCTTTCATTCATTTATATGCTGATGATACTGTCCTATAGTTACTGGTGCTTCCCTGGAATCTGTGCTGTCAACCTTTATCTTCCTATCTTCCTGTCTTCCTCAAGTTCAATGCCTTTCGCAACCTTAAACTGTCTTTAAACATTTTGAAGACCGAGATCACTTGGTTTGGTCAGAAAGATATCACAACTGCCCCTACTTTTAAATTCACTAAATGAGGTAACCATCCTGGAACAGGTTACAACGTATAAAAATCTAGACATGTGGTTAGACAGTTCTTTATCATTCTCTAGCCATATTGCCAAGCTACAATCAAGGGTTAAGGCCAAACTTTTTATTTATATAAAAACGTTCCTCTTTCACTCATGCTGGCAAAATTACTCCGGTTCAAATGACTATTCTTCCTCCGCTTGATCGTGGTGATGGAGTTTACAGACCGGCATGCAAGGGAGCACTTCAGAAGCCGGATTTTCTTCATGATTCTGCTATCTGCTTTGCTATAATGCCCCTTTTAGAACACACCACTGCTCTCTTTACTATCAGGTTAATTGACCTTCTTTACACACTCCTAGCAATACACAATAGACTTTTCTAGGCCAGATGCTCATTATTCATTTCAGTCTGCAGCTGCATACGATTGGAACACACTACAAAAACACATGAAAAACATGAAATTTAGAACCATTTATCTCAAGTTCTAATTTTAAGAATTATATAAAGGATGTTTTTGTTGATACATGCACCTTTTTCTGTTAAATGACTATTTCAAGCCCTTCATGTGGCTGCTGCAGCTGCGCTAATTTTTGGTGGGGTTTGTCATTTAATGTCATCAGCTCCCATTTACTTTTTTTTTTCTTTTTTTTTCTTGTCTTATTGGGTTTTTTGCTTTCCTGTTATTATTTTGTCCCTGTTTTGTATCTCCCTTTTCCTCTAGCGGTTACTGCTGCTTGCCATACTTTTAAAATAAGAATATGTTCTTAATGAGTTACTAATTAAAGGTTAAAAAAACAGGATAGTTTGTAATTGATGGCCTTTTTAATAGGACAATTAAACAAACGAAAATGTGGTCGCTGACTTCTACACAGTAGGGTATACAAACCTTATGCAACGTGTATAAGTTCAATCTGTATAACCTGTATAAACCTATGTCAGTTCCATGAACTTTAATTTCATAATAATTTTTCATTTCAATCCAATGTGTTGGAATGCAGAGCCAATACGACTTTTTGTACTGTCCAAATATTTGTGATGGCACTGAATTTGCAAATATCAGCTCCTCAAAAACATAAAATAATATTAAATTCAAAACTAGTCTGTTTTATTGTGTTTTAAACCACCAGGGGGCAGTGACTGTTCTAAGCAGCTTCATTCTGAAAGCACTCCAACCTCATGTCTCCCGTCATCTCACTGGCTTCTTGTTCTCACTCAAAGCTGCAGAATCTTTGCCAAGTTAACTTTCCTTTCGCCTTTACTTTCACGCTGTTATTTATTCGCTCACCTCCATTTGCTGGTGTATCCAGGTGAGGGCCTGTGTGATGCGTGTGTAGACTCCAGGTTTGTTTCTCTCAGCACAGCCTTGACCCCAACTCGTGGCCCCCACCAGCTTCCACACAGAGGAGTCCTCACAGGCCAGTGGACCACCACTGTCCCCCTGTGAAGAATTTTGCAGGGAACCAACTTGGTAAACAAAAATCCCCTTTCTGCAATACAGTTTTTAAATGCTGTCTTATTGTTTAATGTAACGATAATGTAATAGTGATTGTCATAAATATTAAAACAATATATTTGTATATACATATTAGTAGTTAAGCACAAGTTTTCTGAAGTGCATCCACTGCTGACACAGGTGTTCAGTTGCACACAGAGTGTTGTATAATCTCCACAGGAAGTCAATAGAATAGGATGCTCTTTAGCAGTAAATGAAATGCTCTTAGTTTCCAATATTTAGTCTTCCCAGTAGAGGCTGTTGCTGCAGGCAAGGAGGACCAACTCCCTATTAATACCCATCATTTTAGATGAAACACTGTGCAGGTGATGAACAGGTGTCTACCAACATACAGGGTTGGTTTCCCAGGTGGGGATTAAGACTTGTCCTGGATTACATTCTACATTTTCCTTTCTATGGAGAATCTCCATACCAAAAAAAATAAAATAAAATAAACATGATTGACTGTTTCAGTAGTGGCAACTTTAGCTGTTTTTGAGCATAACTCGAAATTGCAACCAGTCCATGACTGGCAAACACAGCTTTGAATACTTTTCACACATAACATGAAAAAATCAGTCAATCACAATCAAAAAAATTGTTTTGGGACACAATTACTTCAGACTGACTTCTCACAATGTGGTCATGAGGAACAGGAATGTAGTCTCACTTCCTGCTCTAAAATGCAGGGATGTGGCTATATTAAGGCTCTGCCTATGGACTAAAACTGTTTGTGTTTTAGTGACATGAAAACGTGGGACAGCATTTTTTGAAGTTTTTTTTAATCTAAAAATTAAACTCATGATAAATCTGAATCTTTCAACTTCAATTTGAAAAAAAAAATCACAACCAAAATTGACCAAACAAAAATCATTGAAACCAAAAATTAAAAAAAAAAAATGTGTCTCAGGTGATTAAACCCAAAACATGAAGAAACCCATGTAAAATGTAACACTAAAAGTCCTCTGTAAATTTTTCTGCTTGATTTAAAGTACAAAGGTACTTGCATTTCAATATACTTATGTATCAAAAGTAAAACTACTAAGCTATTCTAGCTATTATATGTTATTTTAATGAGCGGTTTATATTAAGACCTGTATAGCTGCAGACATGAAAAACAGGATTATTAAAAAATAGACAAACTTTTTCCTTTTCAGTATTCGTTTTTTTTTCTATCAGGCCTACTTATAACATTTGTGTACAACCCCAATTCCAAAAAAGTTGCGGCGCTGTGTAATATGTAAATAAATGTAAATAAAAACAGAATAAATCTCATAGACCCATATTTTATTCACAATAGAACATAGAACACATATCAGATGTTGAAAGTGAGACATTTTACCATTTCATGAAAAAAATTAACTTGATGCCAGCAACACATCTCAAAAAAGTTGGGACAGAGGCAACAAAAAGCTGGAAAAGTCAGTGGTACTAATAAAAAAACAGCTGGAGGAGCGACTATCTCACATGACTGGGCATAAAAAGAGCATTTCAGAGTCTCTCAGAAGCAAAGATGGGCAGAGGTTCACCAATCTGCGAAAAACTGCACTAAAAATTGTGGAACAATTTCAGAAAAATGTTCCTCAACGCTAAATTGCAAAGACTTTGGATATCCCACCATCTACAGTACATAATATCATCAAAAAATTCAGAGAATCTGGAGAAATCCCTGTAAGCAAGGGACAAGGATGATGGTCAATTTTGGATGCTTGTGATCTTTGGGCCCTCAGACGGCACTGCATTGAAAACAGGTGTAATTCTGTACTAGAAATCACTGCATGGGCTCAGAAACACTTCCAGAAATCATTGTCTGTGAAAACAGTTTGCCGTGCAATCCACAAACACAAGTTAAAACTATATCATGTAAAGAAGAAACCACATGTAAACAGGATCCAGAAACGCTACCAACTTCTCTGGGCCCAAGCTTATTTAAAATGGACTGAGGTAAAGTGGAAAAGTTTCCTGTGGACCAATGAATCAAAATTTTAAATTCTTTTTGGAAATAATAGACAATGTGTCCTCTGGGCTAAAGACCTCTCAGCTTGTTATTAGCACACAGTTCAAAAGCCAGCATTTACGATGATAAGGGGGAGCATTAGTGCACATGGCATGGGTGTCTTGCACATCTGTGAAGGCATCATTAATGCTGAAAGAAACATACAGGTTTCGGCAACATATGCTCCCGTCCAGGCAGCGTCTCTTTCAGGGAAGGCCTTGCATAATTCAGCAAGATAATGCTAGACCACATACTGCATCCATCACAACAGCATGGCTTCGCAGAAGAAGAGCCCAAGTGCTGAACTGGCCTGCAGTCCAGATCTTTCACCAATAGAACATTTGGCAAATCATGAAACGAAATATCAAGCAACTGGTCTCCTCACTTCCTAGATGTTTACAGATTGTTGTTAAAAGAAGAGGGGATGCTACACAATGGTAGACATGGCCTTGTCCCAACTTTTTTGAGATGCGTTGCTGCCATCAAGTTCTAAATGAGTTAATGTTTTTCATGAAATGGAAAAATGTCTCACTTTCAACATCTGATATGCGTTTTATGATCTATTGTGAATAAAATATGGTTCTATGAGATTTGCAGATCATTGCATTCTGTTTTTATTTACATTTATTTACATTTTACACAGCATCCCAACTTTTTTGGAATTGGGGTTGTAGTATTATGAACCAAAAACAGTCAGAATAAATTTTTACATGACCATCTTCCAACTGATAAGACTGACTTCTTATTGGCTTCCTGTATTTTACCTCATTAAAAAAGTAGTCCAGGCTGAAAAACTCCTTATAAATTTAGTGTGAATGGGCGGGGCTAAAATGCTACTTTTTAAAATAAGTGATGATCTGATGATCTTATGTTACCTGGCAGGAGTCTGTTCCTCCCTCCAGGTATCCAGCGCAGATCATGCCGGGGGAGATGTAGCCCTGATAGACTTCAGGCTGGCTGCAGGCTTTGGCGGAGATAAGTGGCACCCTCGCAGAGTGCAGAGACACACTGGCTTCTCCTGGGACACAGCACACAGTGCATGGCATTATGGGTTTAGATTAAGGAACAATCAGATCCAGAACTTCTACTCTGACTCTGATTAATGTGACAGTGGAAATGCAAAGGAGTGCTGTGCAGCACAGCACAGCCTGCAGTACAAACCAGTTTTTCAATATGCTCATTAACATGTAGGTCTACATATCGTTGACCTACAATCTCTTCACTGTTACAGATGGATTACAGTAGTACAGCTAAGGTGTGAATACTTCATTGTTTTTATTATTACATGAGTAAAAACTGAAGCTGCATGTCAACTTCAGTTTTTACTCATGTAATTACACAAGTGTGTCTTTATAGCTATAACAGCATATTTTCTAGATATGTATTTTAGTTTTTGGTTTGGTTTTCCTGCTCCTCCCCTACTCCACCCCTCGCCTGTGTCTGGTCTGTAGCCCGCCCTGTTGTTGTTCCCAGGTGTTTCTTGTTTATTTTTCCCCAGTATTTTCCCTCCGTCTTTGTCTTGCCTTTGGCTTGACAGGGTTTGTTCCTTGTAGCCCTGTTTGCTCTATTAGCTTCTTTGTTTTTGCAGCTTCTCAGTTTTCTTAGTGTACAGTTTCTGTCTTTGTTGTTTTCCCTGATTACAGCGTGGGACTACAGACCAGACACAGGGGAAGGGCACAACAAAAGGGTGAAGCAAGGGAGGAGCAGGGAAACCAAAACAAAAACAAAAGCACATGGCCAGAGGCACAAGTGAAGGTAAACAAGATGAAAAAACAAGCAAAGACCAGGGCAAGGCAAGGTAGGATGATACTAAACCATGTGATTATTGTTTCCAGACTCACCCCCATCCTCAGTGGCCCCCCAGCCTGAGATCCAGCACATCTTCCCATCCTCAAATTCCTCTCCGAAGTTAGGCAAACAGATGGGCTCAACGTAGCCTGAAGAAGAGAGGTCAGAGAAGGAGCTGAGACTGTCAACAATTTCACTTTTAACCCCTTAATAAGCCACGGGCCTGCTGGCGGCCCAAAGTCTTATTACACATAGAAGGCGCTGCTACAAAATGAAATCAGTTTGCAAAACTATTACACAAAACAAACAAACACAGAACTACAACAGTTCCTCCCTCCATGTATGTTTCAAAGAAACAGTGGCAACAGCAGTTTGGCATTTAAAGCCTTCAAACAGATATTGGATAAAGATACACCTTAATGGATATGGAAAACAGCTCCAAGCAGTAGAAGCACAAAGACATTGACTAGTTCTGCACAGGCCACTCAGCTAACTGCACTACACTGAAACAGATCCGCACAGAGTACAAAGGACAAATGTATGTTGCAGTGCCAAAACAGTTGTAGCAATCTTGAAACCTGAATTTTGTCCATGCATTTTCCCATTTCTACAGAAAAGAACAGGCTATATTTTGTATGCAGTTGGCAAACTGGGTGAATTTGATTTCTGTATGTATCTTTAAATGGAGAATAGGGAAGCATTACCATTGAAGGTAAGAGGCTCCACCAGTTTCAGCAAAGCAATATCATAGTCCAGGCCTTTAGGCCGGTACCGGGCATGATAAATGATCTTCTCCACGGAGAGATACTTGGCCCTGCTGACCGGCTGCTCTGTAAGTCCAACAAGAACCGTCCACAGCTGGGGGAAGGCAAAGCTAAAAAAAAACAATAATAATAATATTTATTTATAGAAAAAAAAAAACATTTAATGACAAAATATTAAAGTGCTTTATGTAGTATAAGTGAAAGATTGGAAAGATAAAACACAATGGTCTAAATAAAAGAGCCGCACAATTTCAAACAATACTCTAGGCATACAGTGTTGTGCAGAAGTCGGAGACCACCCTTCATTCATTTTATTTCTAGTCAAGACGACTATTAAGTACAAGTTATTTATTTTTCAACAGCCAGAAAAAAGCAGAAACCTTTTGTATTTCCACTTCTCAGTGAAGCTTCTTAACAGCTACACATCCTTTTAGACTCACAGTGTTGAGTTGGCTTCTCACAGTGGAAGGATGGACAGAAACACCTGTGAATTTGTTTCAGATCTGAAATGAGAGTGGAGCTTGATTTTCTCCTCTCTCTCAAAGATGAAAACTTTAAGTATTATTCTGATGGTGACAGTTTTGGTGGCAAGACCAATGGCTGCATGATTGTTAGCAGTTCCATTTCCTCTGTTATCTATTAGTAATACTAATAATATTACAATCTATTTAGTTATAACAATTAATAATGATCATTTTTTGAACATTTTTGTTATAATGATAATTTTCCATTTTCTTTTTAATTTATTATCCATTGACTTCTCCCTTCCTTAAGCTAATGGACTATCTCTTGAAATATCTCTTGAAAAATGAATAACTTGTTTTTGTCACGATTTTAACTGGAAATTAAATAAATGATGGTCTCTGACTTTTTCACAGTACCTAAACAAATATAATTTTAATTTTGGTAACACTTTATTTGGATGGTCCACTGTAGATGCTTTGTAAACGCTCAGTATATCTTTAAGTAACGTTCAACTAAATATCCATTAAATGCAACTGAATGTCAAGTTCAGTGTGAAAGAGTTTATTAAATCTATCTCTAAACCTAAACTTAACCTCAAGGCAAAACCTACATCTACTCCTAAACCTAACCCTAACCATAATGTTGTTGATAATCAACTGAACATCACCAGAAAGTGTATTAATGATTTAAGTATCTGTAGATCATCTATATTGGACCATCTAAATAAAGTGTGACTTTAATTTGGATTTAAAAACACGTATTGAGCTTGCATTCCTAACATTCTCCGGGATGCTTTTCCAGAGCTTATTAGCTATATGAGAAAAGGGTCTTCCACCAACTGAGCTGTAAATAATCTTAGTCAGGACAGATATCGTATGCAGAGGTGCATGGCATCTGTTTATTTGAATTTGTGTGTCAGGTTCGGCCACAGGTCCATGGCACTTCATTCACTTCTAGAATATAAGCTGTAATGCTGATACATTTTAAAGAAGATTTTTTAAATTACTGTATTTATGAACCTACAGTCATTTTTGATTACTTAGTTAACTTAAGTTCAGTTTATCTTAAATTGATTGATTTGTGTGTATGTATGTGAGTGCACTCACCCATAAACACAGTGGGCAGCGGTTAGTATCCAGCGTGGTGCTACAATAGATCCTCCACACAAGTGTTCACTCTGGAAGTGCAAGCTCACCTGCCAGGGAAACTGGCCTTCTCGAGACAAGTTACCCCCAACGATACGTGTGCTGAACTGAGGCCTGGAGCCACAATCTACACACATACAAACAATATTAGAAGGAGAGATAATGTTCAGACTGGTGAGAGGGCATGACAAGGAATGTTGTACTATACATGGTACGTCCAAAAGTATCCAGACAGCCCTTCTAATTAGAGAATTCCACTTTCCACAGTTGCACCCATTGCTGAGCGTTTAATTGTGCACAGACAGCTTGTAAAATTTCCATAGAACAGCATTGTCAACAGAATGGGACGCTCTGTAGCAGCCAAATGTGAGCCTAAGGTCACCATGAACAGACAAGCATCAGCTAGAGGGGTATAAAACCCCCCAGCATTGGGCTGTGGAGCAGTGGAACTGTGTTCTCTGGCTGAATGGGGCCCCATCCAATACCTTTGGGATGAGTTAGAGTGATCCAGAACTGATCATCCAACATCAGTACCTGACCTCACTAGGGTTCTTGTGGTTGAATGCAATCAAATCCTCACAGTAGTGTTCCAACATCTAGTGTAAAGTGTAGAGTGTAGAGTGCAGCAAAAGGGGGTGATATACTTCCTATTAGTATGTTTGATTTCAAAAGAAACACCAGTATTTCCCACATACTGCAGTTTACTGTAAACAATGCTGTAAGACTCATTATGTTATGAATCGGACAGAATAATAATTTCTAGGCTATTAACATCAGTAAACAGTTTAAAGAAAGCATCCAAAATGGGCTTTTTGGAGAGATGTTCTGTAAAGTTTGGTTGATTCTTTAAAACACTGGTTCCTAACTCTGGTCCTGGAGAACCCTACCCTGCACATTCTAGTGTTGTCCTTGCTCCCAATACACCTACCTGAGGTCATGACAGGCTTGTTAATGAGCTGATAAGTTGAAATAGGTGTGTTGGGAGGAGGAAAACCACTAAACTGTGCAGGGCATCCTCTAGGAACAGGGTTGCAAACCACTGTTTTAAACCCTTAAATGGCCAGGGCCCACCAGCAGGCCCAAAGTTTTATTACATGCATCTATAATCTAAGAATAGCTCAACCAGTTTGCATTGAAGTCCCTGTAGTTACTGAATACTAAGCCTTAGTATGTAATAAGCCTGGGATTTTAGGGGGTTAAAGAACCATTTTTGTAAATAAGATATTTGAGTGTTTAGAACCATTTTAAAATGTAAAGATTCTCCACATAATGTAAAAGATCTATACCAATTAAAGGGTTTCCTTAGAACCTTGTGAGATATATATATATATATATATATATATATATATATATATATATATATATATATATATATATATATACATATATATATATATATATATATAGATAGATAGATAGATAGATACATAGATAGATAGATAGATACATAGATAGATAGATAGATAGATAGATAGATAGATAGATAGATAGAACAAGATATTCATTTCAATAACTACAATGTTTCAAAACAATTTTTGCTCTCAAAACAAAGTCATATACTTGAAAACATAGTTAGCAATATGTAGTTTAGTCCTATACATAGTCAGAAATGACTGTGACTGTTTACATGTTGGAAAAGTTATAGATAAAAAAAATTATGTTCATAAATAGATTGAGAATTTTTTTCATTTTTCTTACCCAAACACTTCAGAGTTATCACTTCTCCTGAACTGCATTCAGTTTTACTGGAGAGAGAAAATTAAAGGGTTAATTTATCAGCCATTACCACACTGTCAGAATAAGGCCATCAGGAATTGTAGTGCTCTCATGGTTTGCACAGTGGAACCAATGCTCTTATTTGTTTGTGAAAACAAATAAGAAAACAATTTGTGTGCGACATTTAAAAATTCCTCCTTCTATTTTGAGTGTAAACAGAAACACACTGTAATAATGAAATTCCAAAGGAGCAGCAGAGGAGACCACTGTTACTGCTAAGCTGCTGGCTGCAGAACAAAGAGGACACATAATCCTCCTGTGTTTGGGGTTCTGTGTGTGCTTGTGTATGTGTTTGTGAGTGCATGTAGTATATACTCCCACCTCCAAAAGTATTGGAACAACAAGGCAAGTTCTTCTGTTTTTGGTACACACAAATCATGAGTATGAGAAGATTGATCAGAATTTCAGTTATTTCCTGATATTTACATCTATATGTGTTAAACATATATAAAAAAACATGGCACCTTGTTTGAACCCACCCATTTTTCAAATGAGCAGAAATACTGGAACATGTGACTGAAAGGTGTTTCTTGTTGTCCAGGTGAGCCCTGTTAGATTGATTGTTTAAATAATTCATAGCTCTGAATGTCTACTCATGGTTTGAGCTCAGGGGTTCTCCTGTGAAGACTGTATGTATTGTTAAAAAGTATAAACCAACATGAGGACCAGAGAGCTGTCTGAGGGAGAAAAGCAAACCATTATGAAGCTGAGAAAGGAGGGAAAATCAATCGGAGTCATTGTACAAGCATTTGCCATAGCCAGTAAAACAATTTAGAATATCCTGAAAAAGAAAGACAGCACTGGTGTACTAACAACCAGACATCGAAGAGGCCGGCCAAGTAGAATAACAGCAGCTGATGACAAAAACATTGTGAGAGTTGTGATATCACCAACAACCTCCACAGGGCAGGAGTGAAGGTATCACAATCCCCTGGTTGAGTAAAACTTTAAAAGCAGACATATAGAAGCCATACCACAAGATGCAAACAGCTCATCAGCAGTAAGAATCAAAAAGCCAGATTGGGATCCACAAAGAAATGCAAAGATAGTTCAGGAACAGTGTTTTATGGACTGAAGAATAGACCAAGATTGATCTCTATCAAAGTGATGGAAAGGCCAAAGTGTGGAGAAAGAAGGGATCTGCTCATAATCCAAAACATACACTGATCAGGCATGACATTATAATGACCACCTCCTTGTTTCTACGCTCATTGTCCATTTTATCAGCTCCACTTACTATATAGGTGCACTTTGTAGTTCTACAGTTACAGACTGTAGTCCATCTGTTTCTCTGCATACTTTGTTAGCCCACTTTTACCCTGTTCTTCAGTGGTCAAGACCCCCATGGACCCTCACAGAGCAGGTACTATTTGGGTGGTGGATCATTCTCAGCACTGCAATAACACATGGTGGTTGTGTGTTAGTGTGTGTTGCACTGGTCTGAGTGGATCAGACACAGCAGTGCTGCTGGAGGTAAAAGCCCAGAAAAGCATCACAAAAGAGGAATAAAACATTTGGTGATGTCAGTGGGCTTTATTCAGTTCTGTAAGCAAGGTACATGTAAACAAATATCAAGTGTTATTTACTTTATTTTACTTTAAGACCATGTATTTCTATATTTATGCTCACCTAAAAATTGGGAGTTCTGCCCCCAAAGGCGCCATGTTTTAAGTTGTTTAACATGTCTAGATGTAAATATCAGAAAAATAAGAGCTGACATTTTGAGCCAAATGTATTCAGTGCACAGCAAAAAAGAATTGGCCTGCTGTTTCAATCATTTGGAGGAGACTTATGTGTTTGTAATTGAGTGTGGTGTGTATATATATATCATAGCACTGTTGTCTGAAGAAAACCTTGTATCTCCAAAATGGTAACTTTACAGGAGAAGGTAAAAACCTACTTTACTTTTAATGTAAGTCAATGGAACCAGACATTTTTCACAAGTCGTTTTGGGCTGTTTCTTTTAGTCCATCTATCATGAAATTTACACACAATGTAAAGGGTATCAAGCATTTTCAAATTATGTCAAAACAGACAAATGTCAAAAATGGAAATGTGTGTGTGTGTGTGTGTGTAATACTGTATAGCTCTGAAGGTAAGTTTACATAGAGAGAAAGTGCTGCAGGTTTAATTAGATGTTGAAATAATGTTGTAAGTCCAGAGATACTAAAGAGCACTTAGCACTTCAGAGTGTAGGAGGAACATTCCTCAAATAGAGCACAGACCTTATTATAGTTGTAAAGTGCTTATTCTCTTTATTTATGTTTTACTACATTTTAAAATGTACTTGAAGTGCATTACTTACATGTCATGATATATTAAAAGTATACGTATGTTTACTACTTTACATATGATCAGTGTACTGGTTCTATACTTGCTATGAACAGAACTGCGACTAGAAGTATACTTGTAAGTTAACTTTTGTTTACAGCAGATATATATATAATTTCATGATAGCATATAGTTTCACAGGAGAAAAATACATCACTCATTCTCAAAGAAGTCATATAGACCTACGTTAAGCCTGTAGAGCACAACAGATGCATTTTGTTATTTATTTATGCTCTAGACTTCTCTGAGTTTAATGAGACAGCTAAATATGTGGAATATGTGAAAGTGACCAGCAAAGCCCAAGAACTGTGTTCCACATAGAGCTGCACAGAGGAGGAAAAATGTAACAATGAATCGGTGGATAAATAAACAGATAATTACCAACATTAATACATAAAGACTAGCTAATGTAAATAGCTTATTGGCAGCTATAAGCAGCAATTATTTAAACAATAGGCAGCAATTACACTGTTAAGGAGCAGATAAGCTATGAGCTATTGTCAAATTATTAATGAATTATTTTTAATTATTATTATTAATTATTTTATTTATATGAATTATTATATTAATATATAAAATAATTAATATTTATTTATTTATTTTTTTATTAAATATTTGCTATTGATTAATAGTTCAAATATTTACATTAATCCTTTATGTAAAGTATACCAGTAAATGTATTTGAAAATCCATGGCAGAAATTGCTATGATAGTAATGTTGCCTGTTGACTCCAATGATCCTTGTCAAATTGTTTCTTGGATCATTACTGCACTAAACTATCCTCATCTTTATCATCATTGGCATTATAACTATATCATAGGAGTACAAAGTAATACTGTTCCACACCTCAGGCTGGTTGCATTGTGTATCTTGACGGCATGCAGCGGACTTGGCTGGCTCAGGTTGATTGACACTAGGTTACTCTGAAGGTCTTGTTCAATGTTGGAGAGAGGGAGAGAACCAGACTGCACAAAGCTGAAAGAGGCAGGGAAAGAAGAAAAACAATTTGTCAAAGGACACAGCATGACAGCCTGCCTGGGTAAATATTGTTCCTAAGGGGAACGGCTAAAGAAAAACAGAAGAGATATCACATCACTGATAGAGCAGGGTGATATTTCTCATCTGGAATCTTGATCCTGGAAAAACATGATCAGTCATTTTAAATGTGATACTTTCCCGTTGATTCAGGGGATTTCACAGCTGCACAGATGCACTCACCCTTCACTGTACACTATTGGAAATAAAGGTTCTGTGCAGGTACATTTTTTGTTCATCGAGGTACAAACAGTGTAAATGTTCCCTCAAAGGTGCAACAGTGGTTTTAGGGTCCAATTGTGCACCTTAAATAAGTTTTTCCCAGGTGAAAAGTTCATATTTGTACCTTTTCATAACCTAATGTTTTAAAACAGATCAATAAAATAAAAAGCCTGGAGAGAGACAGGGTGTGTGGAGTCAATACAACTTTTCCTCAGTAAAGGTACTGAGATGTACCCTTGAGGGGACCCCCCAGTGACAGTTTCATACCTTTATTTCTGAGAGTGTATTAGAAACACCTATGTTGTACTTCCACTGATTAACTGTAAAAAAAAATGTAATGTTTTAACTTAACAAGTAAGTAACCTGTAGTTTATTGAACCTCAAATAAGAGATTTACAGAATGTAAAACACATTATTGTTCGGTTACCGTACTATTAGAAGTTTATTAAGCTCAAAATTTCAAGGTAACCATTTTACCTCCTTTTTTTAAGTTTAAACATTGGCTACTTTATGAGCTCAATATACTGTATAGGCTGCACTGTAATTTAGTCCAATTTAGTTATTGCCAGTTCCCGCCTACAGACTACAACCTCCCAATACACACTGAAGGTTTTCTCCTCTCAGACTTTTGGCCGTTGAAATTGCTGGAATTGCTGGCTAATCCACCAGCAATTTCAGCCAAATAAGGAGACAAACATACGCTCTGTTTTTTCTGAGTAAGCTGACTTTAAAGTGGATTTTATAGACTTTACTCAGTGGTAGTACTAACATGTAAATTAGGACAACTTTTGACCAAACTAAGTTTAGAAAATACAAAAAGAAAGCCATCCGCAAGACTGACTTAAACTTTCAAGTTGACTTGACCACATTTTTTTTACAGTGTATTATTTCAGTCTGTGGACTGTAGCTCTGTTGTGTTAGTCACCATTCACCATTGGTTTCTGACCACAGGGCCATAGTTGACCAGATATTATTTAGGTGGTGGTTTCTAACAAAGTGAATGGTTCCTAACCCTGATACAGTGGTTATGCACATTTTGGCATTTTCCTGCTCTAATATGTGTGATCCAACAAAGCAGCTAACCGGTGAGCCTTTCCTGAGTTGAAGGTGTTTTAGAACAGAGAAAACACTAAACCTAGTCTTTTGAACTAGTCTTTGCAAGTAATTAATCTAACTCAAGGAAAACCCTCCTCCCAAACTACACAGCACTTCAGAACCTTACCTAGAGTATCCGAGCTGTTTGCAGGCAGATAAACCCAGTTCAGGGTCCCAGTCCTCTGAACACACTGTGCTCCACACTCCCCCACTCAGCACCTGGAGAACTGAACTCTTCCCACTCACACGCACTACACACAACAAGGAAAGGCCTGTCAGCATGAAAAGGTCAGTGGAGCATTCATTTTAGGCTTACACAAGAAGAGTGCACATTGACCAGTTTTATGCATTAATCATGCGGAAAAGGCTTGTCAAATTTCTTAAAAGCACCAAGGTGAACTAAAAACATCACAAAAAAAGCATGAGGTATGCAGTGTAATGCCAGACATGACAAATAACATGCATGAACAGATGTGATGAACACAGCTGCAGTATTCACACAGGGTCGTACTGCACGCACCACAGCTAAGCTCATCCTCGCCGTGCTCACAGTCCACATGTCCATCACACTGAGCAGAGCTACTGATACAGTGAGATGAGCCACACTGGAACTTCCCCATACAGCTCAGACCCACTGCAACAGGACAAACAGGTGTGTAAGCATGGGTTTATGTCTCTCTGCCTGTCTGTCTATCTATCTATCAATCTATCATTTGTTTTATGCAAAGGTTTGGGCACTCCTGGCCAAATTACATATTTTCGTGGTTTTTTAAATGAAAAGACGTAAACACAAACTGTGCAGCGTATCTAAAAAATATGTTGTTCTGCAAATGTTAATACACAGTTACATTTTACATGATTAACTTAAAAAACAATAGAAAAAAATTAAATAGTAATCATGGCATGTACAAATGTTTGCATTGGAAGTTTTCCAGAGGTAAAGTCTCAGAACTTAATTGAGTTGTCAGGAGTGGTTAGAAAGGTCAATAATTGTCACCAGGAATTGTAAACTGATGACATTTTCAGAACGTAATGAATTCTTTGACTATTCAAACCTTATGCAAACACTCAACAACCATGGGTTCCTCTAAGCAGCTCACTGAGTATGTGAAAATTAAATTAATTGATGCCTACAAAGCAGGAGAAGGCTATAAAAAGATATCAAAGCACTTTCGGCTTGCACTGTCTGTAACATCATAAAAAAAGACAGTTAGGGGGAACTGTGGAAGTCAAGGCAAGATTTAGAAGACCAAGAAAACTCTCAAATAAAACTGCTTATATTTTGGCCAGAAAGTAAAAGCAAAACCACCATATGACAGCAAAGGACCTGCAGGAAGGCTTAGCTGACACAAGAGTAGTGGTACACCATTCTACTGCACAGTGTCACTTGCACAAATATTATCCACACGGAAGAGTCATCAAACCTTACCTGAGATCTCATCACAAAAGTCAGCATCTGAAGTATACAAAACAACATCTAGATAAGCCAGAGACATTTTGGTAACAAATGCTGTGGAATGATGAAGTAAAAATGGAGCCCAATCACCAAAGGTATATTTGGTGAAAAAAGGAACAGCATTTGATGAAAAGGACACCTTGCTAGTTGTTAAGCATAGGGGTGGATCTATTATGCTTTGAGGTTATGTGACAGCTGTTGGCAGAGGAAACATTGCACAGGTAGATGAAGGAATGGATTCAACTAAATACCAGCAAATTCTGGAAACAAATGCAACATAATCAGTCAATAAACTGAAGTCTGGCTTCATTAGCAGGACAATGATCCCAAACATACCTCAAAATCCACCATGGAATACTTTCAACACACACAAGCTGAAGCTTTTGGAATGAACCTAACCGTCCTCTGACTCGAACATCATTGAAGATATGTGAGTAGATTTTGAACATGCTGGGCATGAAAATGGCCCAGGAATGTTGCAGAGCTGGAAGGAAAGTGGGGCGTCCACATGCTTTTACATGCCACAATAAGTATTTTTTAAAAAGTTGCTGCAAAGGTTATCTTCAGTTTTTTTAAAAAAATCAATAATTTGGCCAGGGATGCCCAAGTTTTCACATACTGTATCTTTGTTATGCTGATGATGCTAGTTAAACATATCAACTCAGCCAGTCATTATCACAGCTTTACATAAAATAAGACTGTGTTGAAGACATAACTCGGTTTAGAGCCAACATCACAACTATACATTACATTACTAATCCTAAATTACTAACTACAAGTCAGTTTTTCACAGTTAAGCAATAAATGCACAATGATTTAATAGAAGGAAAGTTATTGTATTATTTACTGACATCCATACACCACTAATCAGACAGTATAGGAATCTGACACTATACAGAATTTAATCAGACTCTGCAACCGGAGTTCAAGACATCTCCCGGTATTGGGCTGGTGGGCCCCACATTCTGCAATATAATCATGGTGATTAATTATTCATGCTGGCTGGGGCCACAACGTGCCACCATGAGGCTACTCTAGCCCATAGCACATTATGGGCAGTGTGTCACCCACTCACCTCCCAGCCCAATGCCAAGCACAAGGATAACCATGAGTAATGCACATGCGCCAATTAACAGCTCCATCCGTCGTGCAAACAAACGGCCTCGGAGTGTCTTCTCCTCTGCTAAATCATCTGAGTGATGAAGAGCAGATGACAAAACAAATTGAATGAAACATCTGTGCTTGTAGTGCATGTGTGCACTACACTCCTTTAAGAATTTAAGAGTGGCTTAAAAAAGTATGTTCATTTGTCATACAACCATGTAGTAGGTCATTCAAAAACATTTTTAGTTAGGCTCAGTGCTAATACAGTTCCTATTTTCATGACATTTTGAGACAGGCTTCATCAGGTAATGTGCTTCCAATGACGTGTGAGAAAATTAAGCTGATATAAACAGCCTTTACTCATAGTGATGCAACACTGACAATAAAATACAACTGCTCTTATGAAATCCAGCTGTAGTCATTACTACTTTAAAGGTTTCCACATAACACCAGAATCTGCAGCCTTCCAGTACAAAGCCAACATGTTATCTTGCCTCAGTGATTTGAACCAGCTACACAGCGAAATCACCAATGCTTAGCATTAATAACTGATCACATTGATTTATCAGTCTACTCACATTTTAGCTGAGCTCAGTAAACCTGAGATCAATAACTAATCATCACATTGCTTTATCAGTCTACTCAGGCTTTAGCAGAGCTCAGTATCACTGCAATTCATAACTGATGATCACATTGATTTATCGGTCTACTCACATTTTAACTGAGCTCAGTAAACCTGAGATTTATAATTAATCATCACATTAATTTATCAGTCTACTCAGGCTTTAGCAGAGCTCAGTAACACTGAGATTTATCACTGATCATCACATTAAACAGGTCATTTTGCCCTCACAGAGTTCACAAAGGTTAAATTCAGTTCATTTCATTAAGTAAGATATTAGAATCTCAGAATGTCAAATTGTTACACTATTGTAATATTGTTACACTCTAGTTTTGTACCAATCCATTGTCCTTGAAAATACTCTTTCTTTGTGTTTTCTCTTACCTGATAGGAAAGGCTGGACTTTAGTTACCGGCATTGCTGGACAGGGCTGTGCTTGGATATTGTTGGGGGCTTCAGACTGACACTCCGTGTTTTCTGTGGTCTCAGAGGCCAGTTTATTGGTACTGTTTTCAGCTGCCAGACTGCCATTGTGGGTATCAAGGGCACTGACATTGAGAGTGGATGGGGTGTCAGAGGCTGGAAGGTCCTCATCTCCAACAGAAACCACTTCTATCTTTTCAGGGCTTGTCTGTTCTGTCCCTGCAGGCTGTGGAGAGAATTTGCATTTTCATAGAAAAGGATGAAATGACCTCTTCCTTAAATGGCTGATTACACTGAGTTGTCAGTTTATCAGGTACTCCTGCCACTTGCAGGTATACAATTACTGCAGAGAAGTCCTAATGATTTCTGGAAAGTAAACAATACAAATGTGTAATTGTAGTTAATGCTTGTATTTAAACTCTGTGAGCATTGTTCTACTACTCTTTCTTTCACTGTTAAGTTTTAATTGGAAGGGCTAATTCTTGAAACACCAAGTGAAAAATCATCCAATCAATTTTTTTTTCTCTGCAGAAAAATAAGTAGAGACAGCCAATCAACTAATCACACTTTGATTTACAATGGGAGGAACCTATTTTGTGAGAAAAACACCATTCGAGTCTAGTTCCAACCACAATCTGCCACACCTGGTCCAGCTAATCAACTTCTTCAGAAGTACTTGATTTGCTGAATCAGATGCATTAGTATAAGATAAGGAGGGAGGGACAAGTTAGATACAGGTTGGTATTAAACTCTGCAAGAAAGTACTCCAAGAGGAGGGTTGGTGACCTCTGCTTTAGATGTTTGGCCCTTTTACTATGGACTAAATGAATACCAACCCACTATAGCTCAGCCAGCATGAGAGAAAAGGTCCTCACCTGACCACATACTAACCACTATGTGTGCAGCTACAGTCTCTCCTTCACCTGCCGGAGACTCCACACCTCCATTCTGAAGCCCAGCTCCAGTAGCTACACCCACGGCAGCCTCCTGCTCTTCCGGGTTAGACATGACCACCTTCACACAGTCATTATGGCTATGATTAAAGAGAGAACATGAAAAGAATGAGTTAGACAGGACAAATCCATGGTAAAAAAAAGACTGATGTGAAGATGTACCAGTCGAATGAATGGAGTAGTATACTTTTGCTTTCTTCATTGCTTATTTATCTGTTACCTTTTTAGCTTCATTATGAAGTTGAAACATTAAAAGCAATGTCGTTATATTACATGCACTAAGACAAAAGCCATAGGACAGTGTAATTTTAATCTACTACTTTTGTAATCATATATTAGTTACATAGTCATGACTAAATACTTCATAGTAATTACTGATTGACCATGCCCATGTCAATTGACCATGTAGCTATAAAGCAGTGTATTCTGCTATTCTGTATTGTATCTATATTGTATCTATATTATTAGCCATAGGACAGTCCAATTGTAACCTGCATTTCAGTTCTGCACGCTCATAACTACATAACTATATATTAGTTACATAGTAGTTAATGAGCAATTCATAATACTAATTCACCAATTCCATGTTAATTAACCAAGTAACAGTAACTATAAAGCAGTACTTTCTGAGAATATAGTGTATTCCTTTCTTACCTAGAGGTCTCATTTCTTAAAAAAAAAGATAGGACTGTGTAATTTTAACCTACACTTCAGTGCCACATTCTTATAACTACATAACTACATATTAGTTACATAGTACTTACTGAACATTTTATAGTAGTTTTTGATTGACCGTGTTCCTGTGTATTGACATTGTAAATGCATCTATAACTAGCAAACATACTGAGAGTAAATTGTGTCTCTTACTTACCCAGAGTTGTTATAGTATCCTCATGCTTTGTTTATCCACAAGTGTACAAGTGCCATGGGCTCTATGTCTTTCAAAATAACTGGACATCTCTCTCTCTCTCTTTTTCTCTCTCTTTATCTCTCTCTCTTTTTTTCTCTCTCTTTATCTCTCTCTCTCTCTCTGTCTGGGTACAGAGGGATACCTGAGCAGGGGTTTACTGAGAAGTTGTGTCACTCTAAGAGAAGATCAAGTGACCTCAGCGTCTCCCTGGATACATGATCGGGTTACAGGTGGACCTGCGTACCTTTTCAGAGGCACTGGAGCATTGGGCAAATGGGCAGACAGAAAAACGTCAGCTTTTGCTGGACAGCTCCAGACTGCTTGGGATGGTAGGGTAGGACAGAGGAGTAATTAACAATGGATTTAAGATGGGAGGATGGAGGGATGATGGAGAAAAAGATACAAGGGATGAAGTAGATCATCAGTGATGATGTAAACTCATAGGGCTATGGATTGTGCCATTATATTAACTATAATGTACTTTGTAATTATACTGACATGGTCAATTAACTCATCCTAATTTTATAGTTTTAGTTCATTTTTGATGTAAAAGTCAGTAAACCTTCATTTATTTCATGTCTAGGTTAAACAGTCCTTAAGTAAGTTATTCATTTATCAGCGTAAGGGAAAAAAGCAGAAAATTATTTAATAGGAAATTACACAGAAGCAAATATCTCAGTACTAAGTGTATCCATTCACTGCCTTTATTACAGCTTCCATTCTTTTTAGGAGGCTTGCTTTCAGTTTTTCCAAAAAACCTGCACAAATATTTTTCCATGACTCCAAAGTTCAGTCTTATAAGTTGGTTAAATTTTCTGCAATCCAAATATTCCCAAAGCCATTCAGTGATGTTGAGGTCTGGGGTGGTCAGTCCATTGTTCTGAGTCACATTTTTTCTGTATATTTTCTTATTTGTCTCCTGTTTTAGATATTCTTGCCTTTTCATTTTTCTTTCACCTTCCCCTTCCTTATGCAAGTGGATTATCTTATATTTCTCTTCAGAAATATGAATAGAAAAATGAATAACTTGTATTTAATAGATGTTTTGACTGGAATGTAAATAAATGAAGGGTGGTCTCTGACACAGTAGTGTATTTTAGATGGGTTAGATAAACCTTTTGTCCAAATTAGACTAAATTCATCATTTACAGCCCTGTGTAAGGTGAATGATTGTCTGTGTTGCCTGAGCTGCAGTCATAGGAGAAGCCTGTGGGTGGCTAACATATCTGTCTACACCAAGCCTTCCTGTCATGTCTTATTTAGATGGGGCTGTATTCAACTTTCTCCATACAGGTGTGTCTATTTTTGTGCTGCTAAATCACATTTTAATTAAGATAGATTAACCACAAAAAAGGAATGAGTCATTCCAAATAAAACATTTATTATTTTAAAGTGTATAAAGAAATATCAAAATTAAATACATAAATATGCATATGAAATAACATCATATTAAACAGAGTACTGAGGCCAAAATAAATAAGGGGACCACATTTACATTCATAAGTTCATCAAAGATGCACTGTATGTGTACATAAAATTGGGTATATTAATGGTCAGTTCATACTTCTTTGCTGCAATAACAGCGTCTACTCTTCTGGGAAGGCTTTACACAAGATATTGGAACATTGCTGTGAGGATTTGATTGTATTCTGCCACAAGAGCATTAGTGACGTCAGGTACTGATGTTGGATGATCAGTTCTGGAAAGGTATTGTATGGAGCTCCATCCCTCCAGAGAACACTGTCTCACTGCTCCACAGCCCAATGGTGGGGGGCTTTATACCCCTCTAGCTGATGCTTGGCATTGTGTATGATGACTTTTGGCTCATGTATAGCTGCTCCAGAGTACCACATTCTATTGGCAATACTTTTCTATGGAGTTTATTCTGGTTATGTGTGCACAATTGAGAGCCTGTCTCAGCAATGAATGCACCGTAAAGTAGCTGAACTCTCTAATTAGAAGAGGTGTCTGGATACTTTTAGGCATATGGTGTATAGGCCAGCTTTTCATGTTCATTATTTTTTCAGTATTAAAGTCTCTGTGTACACTATATGTGCTGACTTTGTGAGTAGGTAAAGTGCTTTAATGGTTTAGTTTGTTTGGGCCTTGCGTGGCAAAAAGTGGGTGCAGGCCTGCTGTGGGCCCACCGTATTTCCTCTCCTGAGCTGGCCTCGCTGAGACAGAGCCAGGTACAGTCCTGGGTAAACTGCAGATGAGTAGGTTGTGTAATTGTTCTCTTCCAGGTTCTCTTTAAACAGGCAGTCAGGTGAAAATTGCTTCTGTGGGTGAGAAATGTTTCAATGTTCACTTGTTCACTTGTTACATTTGAAAGCACTGTGTTTCAGTACACTATAGACCTCTGAGGTCATGTCATCATTCTGTAATTGGCATCATGCCCATATTAGGAACACTGAGTCAAAGCTGAATTCTCCATGGGAATTCTCTATGGGAAAAATAAATTCCATTTTCAGAAATTGCTACTATTGCACCCTGTGGAAAACAAATATTTTCCAAAGCCAATATGTTTCGCCACACATACACTGTTCCTCTGAATATCACTGGATTGCTTTGAATTATAAGGTCATTGAGGAGTCGATATGCAAAAATTGCTACATGCAAGCTAACAGTGCTGTGCATTGAACTGACATCATAAGATTGGAAACCTTATCAAAATGTTGGTGTTAATATAAAATAGTGTATAAATAGTGTTTAAGGTTACTTAGTGTGATGTCATATCAATGTGCAGAAGGGGTAGCTTGCGTGTGGTATATATGTAGCTTTACCTCATATTTCGACTGCTGTCCACCTTCAGAGGATCCAGTGATATTTGGGGGAAAAATGTACGTAAGACAAAATATGCAGGACTTGGAACATTTTTTTGACCACAGTGCTGTGATTTTCAAAAACTCCACACCATTAAAGTTAAAAAGCAAAATTTTACTATAAAGAGTCTAACTTTTTTTTAAGTTTAAGTTTTTGTTGCCTGAATTGGGTAAAAATGTTCATTTTAGTTATTTCACCACAGTCTGCTTCAGTACTATGAACACAATTGCTAGTTAGAAAAACTTCAGAGTTTCATTTAATTTAAAAATAAGTTTAAAATATTTGTGGCTCACCTAAAATCTTGAGTTGATTGAACAGTTGGTCAACTATGTTACTTTATCACATTAAAAATAAATGTTTTTTACAATTTTGCAATTTCAGGAGCTCCCAAATGGTGCAACCATATAAGCATTCACCACAACCTGAGGACATTATGAGTCTGAACCCCAGCGATGCGTCAGCCATCCATAACTGGGAGCCCAGAAGAAGAAAAGGATTGGTGGGGTTAATGTGATGGAAGGAGTCCCAGAGCTAGTGGGAAAACTGAGTAAAAAAAATCTTTATCGTTTACCTCACTGATATACAGAACTAAAATTGTAGGTTAGGAGAACTTTGACTAAGCGACAAAGCTAAGATGTTTGATTTGGTTAACTCTAGTGTCCTCAAGCTTTACAGTTTTTTTTTATTTTACCATAATGAAACCAACTAGAACCCTGAGTTCCTAATGTGGGCATGACCACAGAATGATACACTACTTCAGAGTCTATAAAAGCAAGAATTTAGAGCAATAATCAAATGGAAATCACTGCTCTACTGCACAGGTAGGTTATGGGCTATGGAGGCATGCTGGAAATGTTGCTTACCATTCCCTGTGCAATTCCTTCTTTATTCATACATAAATACAGTTCGCTTTTTACGCCACGTATGCCCACAACGCCGTGCTTCATGGCAAACACCTTCAACCAACCTGAGAGAGAACGAGAGAGAGTGAAGAGTGGTTACATTTTGAGTAACGAAAGAAAAGAGTCAACAACACAAAATAAACTAATCTACAAAAGTGTTAAACACAGTCTCTACCACTGACTTCGGTCAAGCATAATCTGTACTCTTGACCACCTGTGCTTGAGTTTGGACACAACTGGCTTATCACTGATCAGCCAGTCTACCTCATTTTACCCACTTAATTCCTCTGGTCTGTCAAACATACTGCGGTTCATGAACACCCCCTACACTCCCATTGGTTTAAGGTTATTTTTGTGTGATCTCATATCAATGTGCAGTAGCTTGTTGTCAAACTTACTGTGTTCAGTGGGTTCATGAACCCCCCGTACACTCCCATTGGTCAGGATCTGTAGATGGTAGCCAATCCCAACACGGCAGTACAGAAGCTGATGCACGCTGGCTGTTCTGTCTGGAGGAGATTGTGATAGAGTTGTTGAGAGATATTAAAGGTGCCCTTTAAATTCAATGTGCGTAAAGAAGAAGGTTATAGATAGAATATGCACTTAGTCTTAGTCTTAGTCTTAGTAGTACTTAGTCTGCTCAATTATTTCTTGCTAAGATGTGTTTTTGCGTTATTAGTTTATGCACGAGACACAATAAAGTGAACCATACTACTATGGAGACTGACCAAATGAACTACACAAGACCCTTTAAAGAGTTCTTTAAGGGTTCTTTACTAAAGGAAACTTAAAACATCTGAATGGTCTTTGTATCCAAGATGGAGATTGGATGTTGTATGTGGCTCTTTAAAGAAACTTTGCTGTAAATATCACCAAAAAAGGTTTCATTATTGAGAGAAGTCCTAGAATTGTTTTGGTACTGTATATTTGTATATGCATTTCAATTTAGTCAAGTGCCTCAAATGAGCAGGACCTGAAAGTGGCTGTATTATAGGCCAAGAAGAGCATCACCAGAGAGGATAACCAGCATCTGGTAAAGTCACATACTTCAGACAGTGCACTGATTACAAAGGGTTAGCAACCCACAAATGATGACAGTTTTATTTCAGCATATGTTGATCGGTCTGATTACTCATCCTCACCTGTACTGTACATAAAGGGGCTGTGATTTGTATAAGGTTTGCTCTGGGTAGATGTGAATACTCTCAAATTAAAGATGACATTCTGCACTTCACATAATGCTGGAAGACAAAGGCAAAAAAATTCTGCCACTGTCCAATTACTTAAACACAGCACATTGCACATTGACCAGAAGTAACCTATTTTGAGGTCAAACCTCTCCATATCCTATCCACATTTGGTCCTTTGCAACTCCCAGCAGGTCATTCTGTTAGTTTGCCCTTGACCTGCCTCAGTGTAGTTTGGCTGGGGGGTCTTTTCAAGGGCTTGAGTTGGAACATCTGACCTGGAACATTGTGCAAAAGCCTGAAGCTTTGCTGGGGTACATAAACATCTGATGCCTTTTGCTTTACAGAGATGTGAAAAGGGACAGTCATGATTCCTTGTGATAACTGATTACCAATCAATGTTTGTTACTATTAAGGTTTGTAGTATAATGCATATAATAAGAGCCCATAGATTAATAACGGGCAGTGTTGCTGTCTCTGCTACAGCCCAGGCCAGTCTAAATGTCAATCACAATGGGATATGGAAAGTTGCACCTGCAATAACAATGAAAAGTGTGAGGAAATGAGGCTCTCAAGTTGCAGTGCTGAGTAACAGACCATGACACAGTGAGACTATTAACTCTTAAAGAGTGACCTGTCTATGCCTGGAGTTAAATATCAACAGTATATTTCTGTTTTCCTTTATTTATCCTGTCCCTTCTGCAACGGGATGGAATTACACTTTCACTCTGTTTCATAACAACATTTTAAAGATGCAGATCTTGTTAACAATATTATTGCTAATAATGAATGAAAACTAGTTGGGGACAATTAGAATCATGCAAAGGGTCCCATTGACATCCATTCATTATTAGCTACATTAGCATTTTTCAGTGAATTATTCCATCTAAGTCTGTTTCAATGTGGGCCATGACTCATTCATTATCGCTCTAGTCAAATGCTAAGCTAAACAAACAAACGCCACTCACGCACTCTCTTTTGCTATCAGTCGATGGTTTGAGGAAAACGTCATGGGTCTGTCCTTGTGTTGCTGATTATTATTATTATATAAAACAGAATGAGGTTGAATTCACATTACATGGTGAATAGAATACAATGCAGTGAATTAATGCCCTACTAAAATTATTGGGATGCTTTCTCTTATCACAGACAAAAAACAAACAAAAAAATATAAAGCTCTATTTTGTCAGTTTTTAAATTTCTATGTCACTTGAACATGGCAGATGCCCTTTACCTTGTGTGAAGATTTCATGATTAATGGACTTATTACTCAGAAAAACACCTCTTTCTATTAACTTACATTGGAGGTTCAGAATGTTTTTGCTCTCTTCTGTAAAGTTACATTTTAATAAATACATGTTATTGCAAATTACATTTATTTTTACAATAGATCAACTAGGAAATATGAAAAAAATAGCCAACATTTTTTTTTGTTATTAACGATGACGTACATTGTTCATGGTTTAATTAATAAAGGAATAATGGCTATCCCATCTTTATCTAGTAGATGACTGGCCTAAAATATCTGTTTGATATTAATATCTGTCACAGTGCAAAAAGGCTGAAGACTGTCCTGCTGTCACATTGACATGACTAAAAGGCAGTATAATGAAATTCCAGGCTCTTTCACCCCCTCTAGAATTAGAAAAGTGTTAAAAGAACAGTAATGTAATGTTTAATTTAGTATGTTTCTAAGACAGTGCACACTGTAGAGGGTGGATGTGTAAATTGTACAGCAGAAATTGTAAACCTATCATGTACAACTGATAAATGTGAACTAAGCATACCTTGCTCTTTCAGCTTTGACTCCTTGATGGACAGCAGCCACATGTGTCTCAGTTGGTTTGCCTGATCCAGAGTGGGGCCTACATCTGTGTCCACCCCATTACAGCTCGCACACAAACAAAGCAGGAGTAGCAAAGACGCAAGTGTCCAGTGTACATCCATGACAGCAGCATCAGTCCCATACAAACACATAGGTGAGCCACCATGACATGATTCTGGTCCAATTTCAGGAAGCTCACGAGTTATTCAGCCCTTTTGGCTTTGCCCTGTTATAGCAGTGCTATAGATGGCTATGTGCTCTAGTTGCTTGAAATACCATGGAGTGCATCACAGTTCCAAAGTAGAAACTGTGAAAAGTGAACAATTTGTCCTTTAGCTGACTATGACAGGGTCAGTATGCCATCTCTCTCTCTCTCAATCTCTCTCTGCATAGTGTATCGTGTTCTATCCTTCATCTGCTCTTATATCTCCTCTCGGTCAGCTCTGATGCCTCCATGACTAAAAGTACATCCAGAATACATGCACAGTACAAGTGCGCCCACACAGATAGACATTTACGTCTATGTATACACCTCTGACTACCCCATTTCCTTTGTTGCTGTTATCTCTGCTGCTGTATCACTGTACCAGCAGCAACTCACAAACAAACCGTGAGGTGTTATCTGAATCATTACAGAAACAGTAGATCCTATTATGCTTCCTCAAGCAGTAGTACGCTGAGTCGCAGGTGGAAGGCCTGACTGCAGGTGAGAGTGAGGGGAACCATATCATTTTGAATTACAGCTTGCATGCAAATGCAAAGGCAAATGTAAGTGATGTGAAGTTGTGGTTGTGTAAGCTGACTCAGAAATGCTTATCAGCTGTACTAGAGAATTATGACACAGTCTTTTGTCTGCCTGTTTGACAGACGGCAACAGAGAGAGAGAGAGAGAGAGAGAGAGAGAGAGAGAGAGAGAGAGAAAGAGAGAGAGAGAGATAAATGCTTAATAAGATAAGAAGAAGAATAGGGCCTATTTTACTAGCACCTATTTTTACTGAATTTGGTTGAATTGAACCAAACTAAATAGAGCTAGGCTAAGCTCAGTACAACTGAATTGAACTGAATTGAACTAAACAGAATTGAACAGTATTGAACTGAAGTGAACCTAATAGAACTGAACTGTGCTGAACAGAACCAAGCTAATCTGAATTGAACAGGCTAAACTTAATAGAATTGAATGGAATAAAAACTACATAGTCCTGAATTCAGTAGAACGGAACCAAATCGAACTGAATAAAACTAAACAAAAATGAATAGAACTACTCAGAACTTGCCTTAGCCGAACTGTTGTGCTGAATTTAATTAACCTGAATAGAAATAGACTGAACCCAAAAGGACTCAACTAAACTGAATAGAATTTAGTTGAACTAAACTGAACTCAGTACAACTGGTGTACACTAAATTGACCTGAATTGAACTAATAAAACTGAAATGAGTAAAACACTAAATATATCTGAACGAACTGAACTAAACTAAATTGAATAAAACTAAACTGAATAGAACTCACCTCAAGTGAAATGAATTTAAGCAAACTGAATAGAAATAAACTGAACTCAGGAGAACTAAACAGAACTGAACTAAACTGATCTAAACTAAACTGAACCTAATACATTAGAACCGAATAAAAATGAATTGATCTGAATTGAAAAGAAACTTTGAATGCTTCTGATTGAACTGAATAAAACAGGATTCAGCTGAACCGAAAATGAAATAGGAGACGTGCCCTAAATGCACAGATGGCATTTTATTTTAGAATCATATCTTGAATTTTGGTTTGCAAGCATCAACAAAGTATCTTGTGACATTCGTCCATTCGTGGAGTAATTTTACTCACATCATCACCCACTATACAGCGCATTACTCATGAGAGCTGACGGATGCAAGCGAGAGTGCCAAATGACTTCTGCCTGTGTCTATCACAGGCTGAGATTACAGCCCATATGGATAAGTACAGTGAGGACAATTTCTTTGTTTATGAACTTTCTGAGAACAGAGCACTGACATCTATGTGTTTGTTCCTATGAACAAAACATTAGACACATGATGTTTGGAATTTGATGAAAGAGAAAATGATATAAGTCATATATCAGAGTGAGGACAGTGCTGCTACAGAAGGCTGCTACAGGCTGCTAGGAGCTTTAGGGTTCTTGGATCAACCTTCAGTGTGATGTTCACTCTACTTAACTGTTCAGCATTAAAACAAACCAACGTAAATCACACATTTTTTGAGACGGCTGCTCCAACTGTTTAGAATTATTTAGTGTACTGATTTGTGCATTTTTAGGTAGCATATGTCACAGGATGCCAGAAATCGCAGCAACGTGTAATGTTGTTACTTAGCAACTGAACACAATGACTTAGACAGGCAGTTTTCACAGTGCTAATGGGAATAAGCTTGGCATAGCGCCAATGCAAAAGTAGAGAAGCAAATATCAGGCCTCAAACATGTCTCGGGTGATTAATCACATTGGGTTACTTGTGCAAATTAAATGTTTGGCTACACCATTGCTTTAAGTATTTTATTGGTTGTTCTTCAGTCAGTCCCGGTGCTTGTTGTTTCAAATACCAGATATAGGCCTGCTTACATTCACAACTTCATTCATTCATTTGTACCACTTTCTTGCTGCTGCCTTACGACAGTCGATGCTTTTCCAGAATAAGGAATAAGGAAAAAAATATAACCGTGTCTAAATGAAAGGGAGGAGGAGGTGAGCGAGTGTGTGAGGGAATAAGTGAAGGACTGAATGAGTAAAGAAATAGTGAGTGCATGAAAGAGTGAGAGAGAAAATGAGTTACAAGCCAGGTCCATGAGGCTCAACTAACCATAAAAAATTCTAGATGGATGAGAAACATGCTTATACATACTAATACTTATGTACAAAAGTCAGCACATAAACTGTAGTCCATTAGTAACTGATACCAGGAATGGAAAAAGCATAGAAAGAACTATGCTAATATGAAAGTATGCATACATTATCAAAATGTTACTCCATTAGTCAAAAGCAGTGGTGGACAGTAACTAAGTAAAAGTAATTTGTTACAGTACTTGAGTATTTTTTTGTGTATCTGTACTTTACTGAAGTATTTCCATTTTGGATGACTTTTTACTTTCACTCCACTACATTTCAAAGTCAAATATCTTACTTTTTACTGTCGTTCCTTTTGGCTTATGTGTGCATAAAAACGTAGCATGTCAAAACGAGAGAAGCGTGAAGCAAGAACACCAGTCAGGGTACAGCACACAGTTTGTTTTGAGCTTGTTTTTACCTGTTGGACATACCGACCCAGTGCAAGTATACGGTTCAACGACAATGCAGCAGCGTAAAATTTTGGGATACCTATTTGATACCTATTGGGATACCTACAGATGCAATATAGTAAAGGAAAACTCTGTGAACCTGAGTTTAAAGCAAGTTTTTATTAAACTTAAACTTGTAACTAAGTTGCAAATAAATCTTAAACTGAAACTTTTCATAGCCACTCGGCTCTACCTAATGGAAATTGTTTGCCTTCAGTGTTTTGTGCTTATGATATTTAGACATCAGTGTTAGACTAATTAATGACATTCTATTAAAAAGATTGGTTTACCAAGAGTGACACTGGAGTATTTTCACCTAAAATGAGTTGATAAAGCAAGAGTCTTCCTACAAAAATGATAATAGGACATTAGAGTCATAATTAGTGTTTTAGTACTTTTACTTTCGATACTTAAGTACATTTGAAGGCAAATCCTTTTGTACTTTTACTCAAGTGGGGGACTAAAGGGAGGAACTTCTACTGGAGTAATATTTTACCTTCGGTATCTCTACTTTAACTCAAGTACATGATTTGTGTACTTCGTCCACCACTGGTCAAAAGTGAAAGAATACTGACAAAATATACTCACAATTTAACTGACAAAAGTACAGATTAGGACTGTCGTAAAACAGTGTTTCAGGCTTCAGGCAACGTGTTCATTACAATTTCATGTACGAACTTTGAGTTGTGAGGGAGCTTTTAGAGGCATAAACACCTCAGACGTCTGGTTCTATCACTACCACTGCGACAGTAAGTGTCTCTAGAACAGAGCATTCCACACCAAATCACTCTGAATGACTTTACGTCCATTTGAATTATGCAGAAATTTTGAAAAATTGGTGGGATTGCCCTTTAAATCTTACAGACACAAGATGACTTTGCAGCCGAAAACGGATGTTAGCTTTCAAACGACACCCTCAGGGCCGGCTCTGAGTGAGAGAGGCGGTGAGTATTCGGGTGGACTTTCCCCTGAAGGCGTCTGGCCGGTGTTGTAACACGTGGTAAACCATTATCCACATGAATAACATAGGTATCCGCCCCGAGTGCCTGAAGATTAATCCGTCCCACACGCCGTAAGGAGGGAGGAAGTGCTCGCGCTGGTTTCGCTGCCGACTTTCCTTCTTGTTTCGTTTGCTGCTGCTTCTTCCTCGCTCTCCTCTCCGCCGGCGCGTGTATGAGGACGAGCCTGAGAGGGTTTGCGTGGTAAACAGGCGGAAGACAAACGTGCGGAGAGTTTAGAGTCAGAGCCTCAGCGCTAATCCCTCCAGTATGGACTGCAGAGTGCTGTCCATTCAAAGCCATGTTGTGAGGGGCTATGTAGGAAACAAGTCGGCGACGTTTCCTTTACAGGTAAGAAAGAGAAGAAGTTAGTTATCCTGCTTAATCGACAGACCTAGACTAGTACACTCGCTTCCCGAGTCATTTCCTCTGAAAGGCTGTCTCGATTATGTCCAAACGTGCAAGCGGTGCTCATGGTTTTAGTCCTAAAACTGCACATACACACACGTTATGTGTCCAAAAGTTTGTGGACACCTGCTTATTTAGCGTTTCTCCAGAATCTCAAGAAATCAAGGGTGTTCATAGGGAGTTTTTGCTGCAGTAACAGCCTCCACTCTTCTGGGATAAGACTGTAGTCGTATCCAAATGGAGGAATAAACATACATACATTTGCTCATATTAAAATATATGTGTAACATATATAGTTTTAAAATGTTTGTGCTAGTACTGTCTGTTTAACTGTGCCAATTTTGAGCATGTCAACATAGTGAAATATATGTAATGGTGTCAATTTGCTGTTGAGACCAGTGTATGGAAATATTACAAAATTGACACGTTTTGGAAAATACTTATGGGAATATATTTCTTTTGCATAGGAGTACACAAAAGCTTGAGTGGTCAAATGACATGTTTCATGATTTTCTAAGCGAAAAAATAAGTTAACACATCCTGTACAGAGAACACGCCTTAAAATAACAGCTTTTAGTGCACAGCATCCTTTCGCTGAGCTCAACACACTAGAAAAAAGTAGAATGTAAAGGGGGCCATAACTTTTGCACAGCACCGTTTTCTGGTTTATTTTTCCAGTATGTTAAATTCAGTAAATAAATAGTAACTGTTCAGAAAAATATGTCCTCAGTACTTACAATTAGAAAATCAACAAAACATGTAATTTGGGGGTGCCCAAACTTTTGCATACGACTGCATGCTGGAATATTGCTGTGATGATTTGATTGCATTCTGCCACAGGAGCATTAATGTGGGTTAGGTACTGGTGTTGGATGATCAGTTCTGGATCACTCCAATTCATCCCAAAGGTATTGTATGGAGCTCCATCACTCCAGAAAACACAGCAACACAGCTCCACAGCCCAGTGCTGGGGGGCTTTATACCCCTCTAGCTGATGCTTGGCATTGGACTTCGTGACCTTAGGCTCAAGTGCGGCTGTTCTTAGAGTGTGAGACAGTGCTTTTTTGTAGCAGTTTATATAAGCTGTGTGCACAATTGAACAATTGAATGTCAATGATGCGTGTACCTTAACTAATCTTAACTCACTAAGTTTAAGTAAGTAAGTAGCTGAATTCATCTACTTTTGCACATGCAGTGCAGAAACTGTATTGACGTTGGAAGTTAAAGTGGTCAGTGAAGCAAATGTGTTTTGATTTTTAACAGGTACTGGGATTTGAAGTGGACTCCATAAACTCAGTGCAGTTCTCCAATCATACAGGTAACTATAATTAATCTGTTTATAGTGAATAAATGCATGCTGTAATTTCAGTAATATTGTAAAGGGTTGCATTGCAAAAGGGACACACAAAGACAAGCCCTGCATTTCAATACTGGTTTTAACAAGCCCTCGTCCGTTTGGAATCATCATTTCCCTGTGGTGGGAAACCCCAGTGTCATCTTAAGAGCTGTTCCATTACTTTATTGGGTAAACTGAAGGGTGTTAGATGAGCCCTCGGAGGGGTGAGGGATCAAATGAACACTAATGCTGACTTTAGCAGCAGAACTTGCCCAGAAGTCATTGTGACCTGATGGATTTCCCTTTTCAGACCCCGAAATAATGGCAGACAAAGCTGCTTATAAGCTATAGCAATACATTACTTTAAAATGCTTAACACATATGATTTTGAATGATTTGCTTGGCTTTAAGTTACCAACTGCTCCATCTGTTATACATGACTGCTGATACAACTTCATCATTTTACTCTCTACACTTTAAAGGCTACATGGCTAACAAGAACAAAAAGAAAGGCATTTCACCACAGTTTTACTCCAAGGTTAAAGCCAGACAAAGCAATTACACATGTTATGTACGTTATGCTCAAACTTCTTTATAAACGTTGCATTGCAAAGTTTGCATAGCTAGCTGATTAGCTCCCTGAGGCTGGTCTGCTGAGAGCGAGTCTGTTCCATTTGAGTAATCTGCCCTTCACGGTCCCCTCCTCCCTTTCTGCTGCGAGGGGCCATTTGTATAACATAGTGAGTTGAAGTGGGCGAGGGTAAGTTTAATAAGAAAATTGAAACAGGGCTAAAGTATACAAGTTTGTATTCCAGTCTTTGTGGGGTATATTCCATTGGTTATAGGCACTAAGTGCCCACGGCCCCTGCTGATGTGCTCACACTGGGCATAATGAGGCAGCAAAATAATAAAATTCCCTTGTTGGATCAACATAACATTTTATTTTCCATCATCCCGGGCACTGGGTCTCCTTTTCATATATATACACATTTGGTGGATCTTGGCTCTGTTCATAATTACTTGAACAAGATTTTTGTAGACATTTGACTACAATGTGAGGCTGTTATATTCTCTTCTTTGTGAACATGCAGTCATAACAGGGTGACATCTACTTGACAAAAGGATTCAGTGTGAATGCTTAATGGATGAAAAATAGAAAGCACAATAGAGTAGGTATGTGTTGTATCTGTGTGAGTGTTTGTTTTAACCCCAGAGATAAAAGTCGTCACTGTTTGACCCAAGTAATGTCACATGACAGTGGGAAAAGGTGGAGTGTTTCTGAAACCCATTCCCCACACATGGGTCAAAGCTCAATGCTTTCTGGGTCACTAGCCTTTTAGAAAAACTGCATGTTAACTTGATCTACAGCAAGGCTACAAAAGAGAATTTGACAGATTTTTCAAAGTCTTTGCATAATTCTATAAGTAAGAGGTAAACAAGGGCATTTTGATGTGAAATGTTCTGTTCTGCAGAAACTTAATGAGTCATTTTCATGAGACTTTTCATGGGAATGACAGGGGGGGGGGCTTCTGCTAGTGGTCTCATGGTCTGTGCCAGCACCCTGTAATGTAGGCCCCTAACACACAGCATGGGCCTGTTTTCCTCTCCTCTGTGGTTCTCATAGTAACTCTGTGTGTCCTCGCATATCCTCACCTCCCTCTCTTCTGTTTTTAATCACTTTTTCTCAAGCTGTGGCATCTCTCTCTTTCTCTCACCCCCTCCTCTTCTTCCCCTTTCTCTGTTCCTGTGTTCTGGGCTGTATGCCAGGAGGTTTGAGCACTTTAAATCTTTTTTGCTGTTAATACCGTCTCTGTGCTCACTCAGTCGCCCTTTCACTGTGTTAAACCCATTCATACCACAATTCCTGCTCTGTTAGCTTCTTCTGCTTCTTTTGCAACCGCACACACTTACTTATACATGAGCAGGAGCAGTTAGCCTATTAAATGGCTCGTATTATGGCTCGCCGCCTGGGTGCAAAAGGGGGTGGTGCTATATGCAGAATATAAAGGGGAGAGCAGAAAGAGAGGAATATTATAATTATAAGTAAATATAAGTTTGCCGTAGGGACGGTTCCATATTTAGCTGTAGCTGAACTAATTAAGGTTAAGTTGCTCCTCTGAAAATGTCATAAATGTGTTAAATGTACTATATACCATATATGGCACTGGCTAGTTGGAGCTCTAGCTAGTTAACATTATTTATTTAGTTTAAATGCTATTAACTACAAACCTGGAAGGCTGACATGAGCAGACACCTGCTTACGTTTCAAAGGTTTTTGTGTTATGTGACAATTCCTTATGCGCAGATTCTGATTAAATTAGGAATTCATCAATGAATCCACCAGATACAACTACTGCTCTGGAGAGGAGAGAGTGCAGAAGTACACCACCTGCTGTTGCATTCAAAACATTTTGAATTGCCTTCCATTTTGTCATAGGGAAATTTTGATAATTGGTTAAAAATCACAACAAGCTGGAATAGTGAAACTGTCATTTTGCAAACGTACAAGCACAACAGATATGAATACAACTATACAACTGCGAGGGTTTAAAATAAATTTGAGCTACATCCCTTTTTTGTAGTCCTTTATGCATTTGTAGTCTGTTTCGGTGTAATGCTCGTAAAATTGTATCTCCATCTTTTTCTGTCAGTTACACATTTGCAACATTGCCATAGTGTTCAGTATATTTGAATATAGATACACCATGGCTTGCTATGCTCTACAACCTGTAAGGTGCATCACCTTTAATTCATTGTGAACATATGTTTGGAACACATATGGCAGGGGGTGGTCTGACCACTTTCTTTCCCTGTTTCATATGCTTGGATTCACCTGTAGAAAGAGAGGAAACTTGAACTTGAATTTAAAATTTGACCATATGTGCAAATAAGCTGCAAAAACAGCCTGTTTTGAATTTATCATCCGTGTGATTTCACCACCATGAACACGTTTACATGTGACAGATTTTCATAAGCAGATATTTTGCTGGCCTTGATAGTACATTCAGCCTAGAGCAGTTTAGTCCGTCCGTTCACGTTGATGTGATGCTGAGTGTTGTTACTGTGGACAATTTTTCGAGTGGATAATATGAAGAAAACGGCAAAGGATCCACACATCCAAAGACATGGCGAAGTTTTTTGCGTTGTCCTTTAAGTCCAGTTTATAGTCCAAGCGAGGAGCGTCAGTGAACAAAAATGACGCAAAAGAGACAAAATTTGTTGGTGTCTGAGACAGCGTTGCATACATCAAAATATCTGAAGGGGCACTGACCCTGACGCACACTCTGATTAGAAAGAAACTCAAAGTTTTACGCTCTGGATTGTTTCTGTGGTCACAGTGTGCAGCTGTGTTTACTTTCTTGCTGCTCTCGATTATGCTGCATTCAGAAAAACAGAACAGGTTGCCAGCTATTCAGAACTAGGATCAGTATACGAAAGGCAGGTTGTTTTTTCATTTTCAAACCTTTTTCCGCTGAGAGTAATCCAAGCAGAGAACACAACCCACAACGGAGTAATTTCTTCCAGCACTGCACTTTCAGACTAACCAGAATTTTGGGAAAAACTGTGAATCTGGCAACCCCGCGTGACTGAGAAAGAACTCATGAGTGAAACATGCGTGTGGAAAAACAAGTAATATTTCTGGTTGCTGTAGCAACCCTGCAGCCTAAAATCCGACTGTTAATGCAGTTTCATTGTAGCAGCTGTTCTGTGCTGTTTCACTGCAGCTGTTGGCCACGGTGTTTTGTTGATCAACACTTGTCACCTAGACTATAAATTGACCTTCAGGATTTGAGTCCAAACGTAACATACTTTTTGAATAAGGCTAAGTGCTGGATAACCAGTTGGGGAAAAAAGACATATCAATATTAAAGGCACTGTAACAGAAGCAGCATGTTTAATTCTAAAGGATAAACAGAGATTGGAAATTGGTTGTGTTTTAAAAATTAAAGCAACCACCACACAAATGGTCTTGGACTTTGGGAGAAGAAAGAATGTAGAATATATAGGACTCTTCAAGATCTTTTACTGTGTGAGCCAATGGCCTGCACAGAGTATATTTATGGGTATGAAACAAGGCACAGAGGCTTTTTCTGGGAGATGTATGATGTGGGAGCATGCTTGGTGCAGACAAGCTGTGCTGGAACACTGAGTTCAGGCATCAGCCTGTGGATGAACTTTTGTGAAAGACTGATTAACTAGAGTTTAGTGAAGGGAATACGAGAGAAAGAGATACAGGATATTTATGGAGCATCATCTTCTGTCCAGGGCAACCTTGAGGCTAAATTTTCAAATTCTGCAGTGAAGGTTACGTGTACACTAACATCCACAGAGACCTTAACCTTAAAGCAGCTGCACCATTGTTGCCATCTGTGTATGATTTACTGTGTCCTCCGGTTTCCTTTGAGGGTGCAAAGTGTGACTCTTTGTGTCTGGGTGTATTAGACACACACACCCACACACAGTAGAAACAAAGAATCAGCAAAATCTCATTCTTCAAATTCTTTTCTCTAAGTCCCAACCTCTGCACACCAGGTTGCTCATTAAAACAAGTTTAACGTGACCGCTTTAGCACTAATTTCTCATGCCTTTGGGATTCGACTGGTCTCCTTTCAGTGCAGGGAGAGGATTAATCCTCGTGAATTCTTCATATATTCATATTTGGCTGAGCTGTTGCCAACAGTGATCATGCAATCAGTGGACTTTCTTATTGAGATAACGAGTGGGTTTTGCAACAGTGATGCAACATAGGATAACAGAACTTGTAGGGGAGAGCACAGCACCAGCTAACATAGGTTAAAATGTAACATGGATAATTAATATAGTTAAATGGTTTTATGTTGAATGTGCTTTTAGTCATGTTCTCATGTTCCCATAGCAACATCATCTGGGAATTCTGACAGATTCACCAAGATTCACTATAAAAGTAGCTTTTTTTCCCATCATAAGTGTATTTTTATTACTGAGTTGTGTGTATAAGTCACATAATTCACACCTGTATTATTTTATTATTTTAGTCTTGGAGACTGTAATGTAGCTTTTTTTTTAAAGAATGTAAGCAACTCACAGTGAGAGCTTGCCAGGCTAAAGTACAGCCTCCGCACAGCAGGGTTAGTTTAAACTAACTTTGTGTTCTAAGTAAGCCTCTTAAAGTAAACATTGTCCCATAAAATTCAAAAATACCTTTTTTTTAAAATGTGTTATGCACATATACATGAAAACTATGCTGTAGACATCATATTAAGTTCACTGTGTTTTGCATCGATTTATCTTTTTAATAACTGTTATCACAAGCTCCCTTATCTGTTACACCTATGGGGTTAGTTGTAACCTTTGCACTCTTACTGCTTTAGGCTGAATTGTTCATAAACATTAGATGCAGAAAACACAGTTTGTTTTTATTTGTAGCAAGATTATGTGGTTTGATTTAAAAAAAAAATGTTTAAATACTTTTTTAAATTTTTAGACAAAAATCCAAATGTTTTGCTCTTGAATACACTTTTACATTTATTACTATATTATTTTTAAAACTGATTGTAAAGCTCTACAAGTGCACTTTTCCCTCAGTTTGATTTTCTCAGTTATTTCACAAAAACTCCATGTGGTAATAGAATCAGGTGCACATGCTTTTGCTTGGGTAGAGCCAATAAATGTCTTAAATATAATAATTTGGGAATAATTTACCCCAAAAGTACATCCCATGCCCACTAACATTACCCTCCTTTGGATAAGAAGTGCTGCGAGTGCTGACTTCCGTCTGTCTGTTTGCTTCTCTCTTTGTGTCTCCGTGTCTCTGTCTGTCTGTCTGTTCGCTAGGTTATGAGCACTGGAAAGGCCAGGTGCTGACTGCAGATGAGCTACATGTCCTTTATGAGGGGATCAAACTCAACAAACTCAACCATTATGACTACGTGCTTACAGGTATATAAACTTGCAGGCACACTTGATATCCGTCAGGTGATTTTGATCACTCAATACAGTTTCTGTGTTAAAACATTAAAGGGCCCATATTATAGAAAAACATTTTTCCTGCACTTTTTTGAGAAGAGTTTGATGATGTATGTAATTATTGTTAAGGTTTTAAAAATATGTTTTCATTCTCCAGTCCGTATGGTCAGTTGAAGTCATAAGCTTAAATACACTTAAGTTGAAGTTTGTATACGATGCAAACAATTTTCCAACAAGTGTTTAGTAATATTATTTCACTTATAATTCACTGTATCTATTTCCAGTGAGTCAGAAGTTTACATACACCAAGTTGCCTGTGCCTTTAAATAGCTCCAAGGCCTAGTTGCCTCTTTGCTTGACGTCATGGGAAAATCAAAAGAAATCAGCCGAGACATCTGAAAAAAATTGTGGACCTCCATAAGTCTGGTACATCCAGCAATTTGCAAACACCTGAAGGTACCACGTTCATCGGTTCAAACGATAATATGCAAGAGTAAGCACCATGATACCAAATACTACCATGTGTACGTGAACTTCTGAGCCACTGGGAATGTAATGACAGAGATAAAAGCTGAAATAAATTATTGTCTCTAGTGTTATTCTGACATTTCACGTTCTCAAAATATAGTAATGATTCTTACTGACCAAAGAGAGGGAATGTGTACTTGGATTAAATGTCAGTTTAAATTCATGTGGCTAAGGTGCCTTTAAACTTGACTTCGAGTGTGTATCTGGCTCTTCAGCCTGCAGTAGTTTAGCTCTGCCCAGTCACACTGAAGTCTATGAATGAGGTGCAGTTTAAGGTTGATCTATAAAAGAGGGGTTAAGCTTAGTCCTGGACCACATTTTGCTTTCAATTCAGAATCTTCATTCATAATGCTGTGTAGTCTGAGACTAGGCTTAATCCTTTTCTGTGAAACTGATTCTTAAAGACCCAGTAACAGACAGAGTAAACAGTCTGTTTAATTCTAAGAGCTAAAAAGGAAGGTAAGAGAATGGTCATTGAAAGTAACATTGAATGCCTGCTGTTTGCAAAGCCTTCATTCCTTTAATGTTCTCTCGTTTTTTAAGGGTACTCTAGAGATGTGTCTTTTCTGGAGATGGTAGTGGACATGGTGGAGGAGCTGAAGGGAGCCAATCCTAGTCTTGTGTATGGTAGGCCACAATTCTCTGTAGTTGTCTAATAGCACTGACTAAGCAAAGGCTAGGCAAAATCGGACAAGGCCTTCCTCTGTTTATAGAATTTTGTACTGCTTTTCCTTGTTTTTTTCTCTAGTTTTATAGTATTTTACCTGCTTTCATAGGTTAGTTGTGATTAGTCTTCTGAATCATTTGTTGGTCTTCTTGAAGTCTTCAGCAGTTATTCAGATATATCTGTGTACCTGAATATGACAGAGGTTTTAAATATGCGTGTTTCTGTTGTTCTTCTAGTGTGTGATCCAGTAATGGGTGATAACGGGGCAATGGTGAGTAATTTGTAGCAGCCACATCCTTCGTTTCACTGTTTACTTTTACATAAATATCATGTGCTTGATTGAAATGATAATTATACAGTTGTGTGCAAAAGTTTGGACACCCCTGGTCAAATTACATATTTTGTTGATTTTTCTAAGTGAAAAGTTAACAAATCCTCTGCAGGAAGCAAACTTGAATATGGCGTTTATCTGCAAATTTTAGTGCACTTTTTTTTTTTTTTATAAATAATGTGCTTATTTTGCACAGGACACATTTATTGTTTTACAAATGTCAAATTCAGCAAGTAAACACTAATTGTTTTAACTTAGAAAATCAACAAACCATGTCATTTGGCTAGCGGGGCCCAGACTTTTCCATACAGCTGTAAGTGGCTGAAGCAAATTTCAGTTTTATGTTGCTTTTATATAGTCTGTCATATTTAAAAATACTGTGTCAATCAGTTGTTCAAAGACTGCAAAGACATGATATTCGTTTACAGTAAGAGTTCACATTTCCACTCCACAGTCCAGATAAGTGTTCTCCTAGTCTCCATTCCCAGTTGACTGCATTGCCTGGTCACACAGCAACACTGAGTTTTGGGTGTGGCAGAGTTTTGAGCTCATTCGAAATACTACAGTTGTTATTCTAGTAAAAGCTTTGAGGCATTAAGGCTGATATTATGGCTTTCTTTCTTCACTTTTGGTGCACACGACCAGTCGAAATCCCCTTCAGCTTTATAGTTGTCTTTAATTATATAATTTAATTGTAATAAAGGCTGGATTTATATAGACAGTTGTTCCATGTTTAACTTATTAGCAAGTTGTCAAGCCCTTCCTGACTTTAATCAAGTTAATTGGAGCAGACAAGCAATGTGGCCCCTTTAGGTTTGGAGTTGCACTCTTGGTTTACTCTGTCACCTATACCACACTGTCTGTTCTGTGTTACTAGTATGTTCCAGAAGCCTTGCTGCCTGTGTATAAAGAAAAAGTGGTTCCAGTTGCTGACATCATTACACCCAACCAGTTTGAGGCAGAGTGAGTGTACTTGCCTGATTTTGTGATTTGTGTATGTTTTCATCCTTGTGTGATGTCCTTGTCTCCACATGCATTGTAGTTTCCACACTATATGTCTAAAGGTTTGTAGATACTTGCTCATCTGACACTTCTTCTGAAATCAAAGGTATTAACAGGGAGTTTGTCCTCCTTTGCTGCAGTAACAGCCTCTAGTGTTCTGGGAAGGTTTTACACTAGATGTTGGAACATTGCTGTGAGGATTTGGCTGCATTCAGCCACAAGAGCATTAGTGAGGTCAGGTACTGATGTTAATTCTGATGATGATTAATTCTGAATCACAAATGCCACTCCAACTCATCCCAAAGGTATTGGATGGAGCTCCATTACTTTCAGAGAATGCAGATCCACTGCTCCACAGCCCAGTGCTGCTCCAGAGAATCCCATTCTATTAACAATGTTTTACTATGGAGATTGTCAGCTGTGTGTATGCAACTGAACACCTGTGCATCTTGACTCATCATAGGCAGTGTCTAGATACTTTTGGACATATAGTACAAGTCTAGTTGTTGAGCTTCTTGAGCCAGTACAGTTTTTGTACTGTACAATGGTTAGTACAGTGGTTTTTGTATCATCTGTCAACACACTTGAACCAATTAATCAACCAGCCGAAAACTGATTAGATGTGTTGTGAACCGGAATATAACACTTTATTGGCCTGTGGTGTCATTTTTACCATCCAGAGATGTCATTATTTATAAATGAACATGTAATCATTACAGTCTAAGTTGAAGTCATGAAAAAGTGTGAAACATTGCCACCCAGAGGTGGAAGTTGGAGTTGCAGTCTCTAAAACTGACCAATGTTTTCTTCCCCCTCTGAAAGATTGCTGACAGGCAGAAAGATCGGTACGGAAAAAGATGCAGTTGAGGTGAGTCTCCACGCTTTTCATGCTGTGAGGTATTTTGGAAAACCTTCCAAACTGTATTTAAACCAACACAAAACAGTACCAGTCCAGCGGGCATTCAGGTGGAGCATAGTGTACCTCAAGCCTCGAGTTGTCTTATGAAATTCATATTGCCAAGGATTGTAATACTGTGATACAGGAACTAGCTTTATGTTGGACTTGCAGATAAATTATTATTAAAACTTTTAGCAGAATACTTTAATAAGGATCTTCAGCCGTGTCTCACAATTGTAGTATACATTATTGCACTGTTATAATATGCTGTCTGAACGCATGTGTCTGATTGTGTCCTCAGGTGATGGACCTGCTGCATGGGATGGGTCCTGACACTGTGGTCATCACCAGCTCTGACCTACTCTCTCCTCTGGGGGATCAGTACCTGGTGGCTCTGGGGAGCCAGATCACTGGTACAGCCTATTCACGTCACTATTCATAATAGCTAGTGAGAAACAAAACAGAGTTTTAATGTTAGTGTGGTGGTCTCATGTCAAGGTCCTAATTGGTTGTAATTGCGAATGATGCTTTAAGCAAAAAACATAAACTATTTCTTATTAGTGCTAAGCATTAATAGCTCAGCATAGATTATGCCCAGTCTTTGCTTGTGCTTCTTGTTTATACTCCAGAATTCATCACACCTGCAGCTGACTGAATGCTTACTCTCTGAAGGCAACGTGTGTTTAAGGCAGGACCCAAATTCACAAAGCTTTTTAGAGTCTGAGATCAGATTTCTGTCTTATTTATGGTCTCACTGACAGGAACACTCCTAATCTGAGACGCTTTGTGATCACAGGCCCAGAAAATATTTATTCATAGTAGGGGAAGCAATATGACCATATTTATTGTTATTGTGATGAATTGCGTCACATTATGTCAAGTTTAACCTCTTATTCTCCAGGGTATTTTTAGTTTGTCCACCTGAATTTACATGACCAAATTGTAAGGCAAATTATTCAGTAACTGCATGAAATAAATGTCATTTTTTATTTTATTTTATTTATTTTTTTGTAAAAGCTCCCCTCAAATTAACAGAACATCCGTTTTATGATCATACACATTGCTATATGCTTAAAATGCTCTTTGTATTATTTTATAAAAATAATTTTTACAGAGCAGATCACTGAAGAGACATCATGTGTTTATAGTTTATAGCCCAGATTTGTGGAAAAATTGTGAGTTCAGCTTCTTTCATTATAAAGGTTTAAAAGTACATTACCTGTCTATTAGACTGGAAAGTAGACAGTTACAGCTCTCATATGATACCCACTTTTTGAATGTAGCTTATGAATATGAAATATGAAAGTTTTGAAGAATATGACGAAGTGCGTTTTGTAACCACCGGTGGTCTCAAGGAGTTAAAGAGGTTAAAGAACACCAAACAACTGCATTATGTGACATGTTTAATAAAAATTATCGTCTTTGGTGTTTTTTTTAAGTGTGGTTCTTTTTGTCTTTTCCAACTTAACATCACAAAAACAAAATATTATGATGTTTCTTGTGCATCTGAAAATGTTTTGATCTACCATGTTATATTTTTTATCACCAACCCCTAATTCACCCACCTCTAAAGTAATTATAGATACATGCTCTGTATTTAGACTTTATTATTCACTGGTTTGTAGTTTGTCAGTAACTCTGTTTGCTTATCTCTGCTTGTGTTTCAGTGAAGGCAGATGGCACTAAGGGAAAGCAGCGGATCAGAATGGACATCCCCAGGGTGGATGCTGTGTTTGTGGGCACAGGTGACCTGTTTGCTGCTATGCTGCTGGCCTGGACACACCACCACCCAAACAACCTCAAGGTATGATGGAGTAGAAAAGCACTGGGAGGTAAACAAGTAGTTTTTGTGACTGTGACAAAATCATGGTGGTTTGTACATGTAATATTTTGATGTGGTCAATAGAGGCTAATTTATAATCAAGTAAGCCACAGAAACCTACTATTAAATATATTGCTTCCTTGTTTTTGTTTTAGTGTCCTGAAACAGACATGCATTTATGGCCATTTTACCTGTTTTTCAAAGTATGTGATTTAACCCACGAAAATTAGTAAAATTTATTTTTCAAGCGAAGTTCACATGGATATTTAAAAAGTCTCAAACTCTTAAAATAGATTTAACAATTTTAGGTCATAAAATGTCTGAACACTGTGGTTTGTTTATTGTTATTAAACTAAGATGATGCCTAAAGGACTACCTTGATAAGTCATTGTGTAGATCAGGGGTGTCCAGTTTTATCCACAAAGGGCTGGTGTCGTTCCAGAGTTTCATTCTATCAAAGCAGGAATTCAGAAAAAGTTGTTCAAAGAAAAGAGAGAGAAGTTAGTGGGGCTAAATGGGGAAATAGAGAAGAAGGCTAATAAATGTAGTGTATGTATATCTCAAAGCATAGATACTGCAAATGTTTGCTTTGTTCTTGTGTGGTGGAAATGGTCTTAAACAGACACATGAGGCTTAATATATATGTGAATATGAATAGGAGAGACTCATTCTGTGGTATTTCAGTGTAATCTAGGCTTCACTTATTGATATGTGACAAATGGGAGTGTGTCCATCAGATTAGAAAGCTTCCTCATTTTGCTTTTACACTTTGTGGCTCACAAATTATTATTGTTTGTGGGATTTTGACAGGCTGCCTGTGAGAAGACTGTTTCTGTGATGCAGCATGTCATTAAAAGGACTATCAACTATGCCAAAGGTAAGTGCCAGCATAAAATGAGGGCAGAAGGAAGTGGGCTGTAGAAACTGGGTATCAGAGACTGTTTAAGTATGTTTACCTGTCTTTTACTTCCGCCAGTCTAATCTAAAAGTGAAAAATCCTCAGGTATGTCACAGTCAGTAGAAAATCTGCTCTACTCTAGCCTTATAGCCATGCTGCTAACTTCCGAAGCTCCTCTCTTTGTGTTTTTGTTAGAGGTAGCTGGGCCTGACCGAAGGCCGAGTCCAGCGCAGCTGGAGCTGCGGATGGTTCAGAGTAAAGGAGACATTGAAGATCCCACCATAACTGTGGAGGCCGTCCTACTGTAGGACTTCACCCCGTCCTCCTCCAACCTGCCTGGACACTGCCAGTGTGGCTTCAGAAGACTAAACGAGTGGTCAGGTGGTTCCACATAGTACCATGTTAAATATGTAGTGCACTATTTCTAACTGTAAAACACGTTAATGTGTAGAACAGGTCTGGCTGAACCGTAAATGACTGTGACTCTGAGCACGCAGCCTTCAGAATGCTGGTGCCTTTGGGCCGTCCAAATACTAACACCACGAGTTCCTTAAATCAGTGTTAGTGTTTGTGTTATGCTCACATTCCAGATGTACTGTGTATAAAACCATCCGGCCTCATTGTTTTTAATATTTTAGGAAAAGAACGTTAGTGTCTCTGTTTCAAGGCCCGATCCAGAATCGCTGAACTGATTAGTTTTGGTGACTACAGATGCTTTGGAATAATAACATGCCCATTAAAATATATTCACAATATTCTCAGATAATGATGACTGCGGTGGCTTTGTGCCAATTCTGATTGGTGTTTTAAAATAAATATGATTTACTAATGCACATCCTGTGACGCACACTACTTCTGAACTACTGTTCAAAAGATTGGATTCAATTGTCATATTACCAAATATTTTACATACAAAACCAACTTATACGTGTTGATTTACATATTACAAAATACGAAAGCTGTTTTAGATGTTTTATTCAATATTTCAAGACTTCTGTGAACAAGAAGCAAATAAAATGACAACATACGTAAATTATTTGTTATTCTTTTGTCACTTTAAATTAATTCTCCATGAGATCCAGCTTCCTCAGTCATTTTAGAATCTGCAGCTCTGTTTATCATTCTGGACACATTAAACATATCTTAATTTTTATTTACAGCTTCATACTGTCCTGCAAATCACATTGAAACCTGTGAAGTAGTATAGGAATAGCATACTAGCGTCATTGTTTATCAAAACTAAATTAGTTTTATATTGTTGAAAACATTGATTCCAGGCATTTGAACTGTAGTGTTTTTTGTTGTCATTTTTTTTTTAAGCATTCTGTACCAGTTTTGTATCCTCCGTTCAGTCCAATCAGTGTCTTAACATTTCTCCCATAGTACTGTTTTATCCAGATCCAGTGCCCTCACTCTGCCATACTCATAAGACATATCCATTTCTGAATGTTGCTCTTAGACTTCACTTGATTGTAATGATTTCTCTTTTGTAAAAAGGTCCAAAAGCCTCTGAAGTTGTGTAACAGCCATTGTTATTACCACACAGGCTGAAGTAAGACCGTTGGCTCTCACCACAACCTGTAAGTTTGAGTAGTTTAATCACAGAGTTACAGAGCCTGGAGACTTACAGAACCATTCTTACTCTAACATGAACAGCATAAACAGCGTTCTGTGATCTGTCAGTCCAGTAATGGTATGTAATCTGTGTTAACATTCAGTGATTTGTCCTTTTGTTTTCATGGTCTTGTGATTCATCTTCTCAAAACCCTTTGCATTCCCAGACTGACAGAATGACTATTTGTAGGTTTGTTAATCTGAAGAATGTTTGTCTGCCAAGTGCCAATCCTGAAAATGCTGCTCTGTATTAAAATAATCAAATAAGGGCATTTAACCATGTATGATTATCAACTAGATCTTTATCTACAATTTAGTAGTAATAATTACAAGAATAAACCTGTTTAAATCGTATTGTTAAATGTTTTCATTATTCCTTTTTTTATTTATGTGCAGTAACTCTGTTGAACCAGTAGAGGGAGACTTCACAAAAATAATGGCACAAAAGTTTTATTGAACTCCTGGATGAAAAAAGGAGCTGTGTAAGTGCTTTAAAGTGGTTGGTCAGAGTGGTTGGAGTAAAATCTTTCACATGCGTGAGAAGACAAGCCAACAGTGCACCTTTTTCACTGCTTAGTTCATGAAGATGCTTAAACATACAAAGGGAAATGTGCGGACTTCTCTCGTGCTTTGTGGATGATGTTGTTTAATAATTTGCCTGCAATCCACCAAAACAAAAGACATCATTTCAGGTTAAGCTGCAGATGAAGTACTTATATAGCAGGCTGATCAGGAAGTGCATAATCTCCTGTAACCTGTGGGCAAAAAATGCTGCTGCTGTCAAGCTTGTTTTCATTTTGAACCGTTTGGATGTTCTTTTCATTCAACCTTTGTACGGTTAAACTGGTTTTACTTGTATTTTTTAAACATCAGGAGTAGTTGTTAAAAAAGGCATTTGTTGAACAGTTGTTTGAGCCGTCACACATTTACAGAAAATCCATAAAATCTTTAAAGGTTTACGCCCCAATGAGCAAACCAAGGGCTACAGTGGAAGGGAAAAGCTCCACAAGAGCAAGAGGGAGACAACTTGAAAGGAGCCAGAATTCAAAAGAGGAAACCATTCTCCACTGGTCGAAACCAGAGAGCAAAACAAAAACATGACATAAGCAATATGAATATAGGAAAAAAAGCCTGTCATTGGACATAAAGTATTTAGATTAACCAACAAAAGCCTCTAACAGTAGTCATCGGTTAATGAGAGTGACCATGGAAATCATCTGTCATTTATGAAAATCAGTCACTGTTACCAGTAAAAACAAGTGGCTACTTTTAGAAGCCTGTCATGATGATCTGTTAGTATGAATATATGAAGAGCTCAATGTATTATGAGACATGTGACAATGTCTGTGTAGGCAGTAGTACCACCAGGAGGGTGAGTGTGGCATGCAGGTGAGGCTTTTTGCACAGCATAGGACAACAGGAAGCTCCATAGAGGTCAAACTGGTCCAGAAGGCGGATGAAGCAACAGCATTAGATCGCAAACAATGGGCAGTTGTTCAGCTTAGCAAAGAAAGACACATCCCAGATCTGCACCTTTTATCTAACAGGGAAAACTAATTCCCAAAGGCTTGACTACACAAGTAGGTTTTTAGCCTAGACTTAAATACTGAGGCTATGTCTAAATCCTGAACGCTGACTGGACGATAATTCCAAAGCTGAGGGGCTTTGTGTGAAGAGGCTCTACCCCCTGACGTAACTTTATTAATTCTAGGTACTAATAGTGGGCCAGCACTTTGTGATCTAAGTAGGTATGACAGTTCATAGTAAGAGTTCTGTTCTGCTCAGGTACTGAGAGGTGAGGCCGTTTAAAGCTTTTTATAGGTCAGTAGCAGAGTTTTGAACTCGACGTGGAACTTAACTGGCAACCAGTGTAGTGTTAATAAAACTTGGCTGATCTGGTCAAACTTTCTACTTCTTGCAAGGACTCTGACTGCAGCATTCTGGAATAGCTTGTTTAGGCTTTTGCTGAAACATCCAGAGAGCAGGTCATTACAGTAATCCAACCTTGTGAACTAACTTTTCCGCATTCAGTAGGGACAGTACATTTCTTAACTTGGCAATATTTCAAAGATGAAGGAAAGCTGTTGTAGTAATATTGCTTATGTGCATTGAACAACAGATCAGGCTTGATCATGATACTAAGGTTTTTTACAGATATACCTAATGCAACTGAGAAGCTGTTAAAATTTAGCATTAAATTAGTTTGTTTCTAGCAGCTTTTGGATCAAGAAGAAGAACCTCTGTTTTATCCAAGTTAAGTAGGAGAAAGTTACTTGACATCCAGTCTTTAATGTCTTTTACAGTCCTCAGTCTTATTATGTTGAAATTTGTCAGGTGTGGCTGACATATACAATTGCGCATCATCACATATCAGTGGAAATGTATTCCATTTGAAATGTATGCCATTTACTGCCAACACTACCCAGTGGTAGCATATTTAATGTGAATATTAGAGGTCCTAAAACAGAGCCTTGTGGAACACTATACTTTAGTTTTGTAGAAACAAATGGGTCACTGAGTTCATTCACAAACGGATTGTGATCAGTCAGGTCAGATCCTAACCAAGAAGAGTTATTCCTGTTACCCTACAAGATTTTCTACTCTGTCTAGTACGATGGCATGGTCTATCGTATCACGTTGCACTAAGATCAAGCAGAACCGGTAAAGATACATTTCCTTCATCAAAGATCATTTTGACAATTTTCATGATGCCTAAATCCAAACGGAAAATTTACATGTATGTTGACTCCTGTGCAAGTGTGAACTTAGTTGTTGCACTATGACTTTCTCTAAAATCTTTGATGTAAAGGGAAGATTTGAGATAGGTCTATAATTTGATGGCTCATAGGGATCAAGATTTGGTTTCTTAAACAGAAGTTTAATCACTGTCAATATCAAGCGTTTTTGGTATATACCAAAGCTAAAAGAAGTTTTTTTATTGTTAATAAAAGAGGCTTGGTTATTTATAATTAACTCGTTATCTCAAGATAACAACTTTTGTTATCTTGAAATCACAACATAGTAAACTCCAAAACATTACCACTACCTCATGGCCTCTCCAAACCTCTGTAGAAAACAAATCAAATTTCACTGTCCTTAAAAATGCAGCATAATAAATATTCTGTCTTCATTTGATTGGGTGGGCCTGTGAGGACTGCGCCCCTGAGTAGTCTGCCGCATTATCGAAATGGTACTGTTTCATCGTTTAATCTCAGAAATGAAGAAAAGTGAAGAACCCTTCTGAAACTACCAAGGTCCAGACCACTGTGTTCTCACAGCAACTCACAGCCATCGTTACGTTCAGCAAATAAACTGTAATTGTGCGTTAAAGTGTGAGAAGTGTGTTCTCTGTAGTGGATGTGTTAATTTATTTACACTTAGAAACACAATATAATCTGACCAGCAGTGCCCAAACTTTGGCAGATGATTGTAAACAATAGAAATTGGTCTTAGAAAACAACAATAGCTCCATAAACAGTGTTTAGAAACATCAGATGAATTGTTTTATTGACTTTGATCAACAGGACAATTGCATGCCAGTTTAATTTTGAAAAGGACATATCATTAACCAGTGTAGCTTTTAGTACTTCTGAGTGAGAAAACCTTACCTGTAACAGTACAATCACCTCTCTGAGAAGCGACAAGATTAATTAATGCACACTGTGTGGTACTTTTGTTACATATTACATATAATCACTCCCTGTCTGCATAGCAGCACTGAACGGCCAATCGAGATACAGAATAATGATGGCAGGGTTCTCTTCATTTGCTGTCATCAGGTCAGTAACAAAATGATGGGGATCTACATAAATATCTCTTTGAACAGACGTTTGCTCTCCTGTGTCCTTGGCCATAGTTTCTCTGGTCCCTGGCTCTGCTGACCACATTCCTCTAGTCCCTCTGAGGCCAGCTTACAACTACATTGAGTCCTGGTTCCTCTGTTGGTGACACTGTGCCTGGTGAATGAGGGTTTGATGCATCTGCTCACTGCTTTCCTCGAGGTTTTGGTGTCCATTACATGTAGGTCTGTCTGAATCAGTAGCCACAGGAGCATGCTCAGAATGCCTGGAGTGGCAGCATTCAAATGAACATTTATTAGTTGCAATAACCATTTTGGGGGGTGTTTTAGTAATATTACCAAAAAAACTGTGGTCCTCATTTTAGGTTAGCAGGGTGAAAAAAGGAATGCAATTATTATCCCAGAGATCAAAATAACTTAATACAAATATTTTGACTATAAAAATAAACTTTATTAAATGAAATACTTATATTCAAAGTGAACAAGCTCACCAAATTCTTTCTGTCAGGTTTGAAGTAAATTTGATTAATTCTCTAATTAAACAAAATTTCCATATTAAATAAATTGCAGTCACACCAAGGAGGAGAAGGAGAATGATGAACAACATCCAACAGACAGTAGTGCATTCTACATGGAGAGAGGAAGAAAGTAAAGAAGGAAAAGAGTGAGATAGTTTTATTTTTTACCCTTTATAAACAGATGATAGTATAATCAGTATAGGTTGGCTTATGAACTCTCAAAATTCAAAGTCAGTGAGACCCTAATTTTTACATTTCTAATTTGAATTAATTTAATATAATTTCAGGCTTCCCATGTTTACAATATGCAGCAAGTTCTGAGTCCACTAAATGGTGCACTACTTTGTCTGGTTGGTCTAGCCACTACAACTTAAGAAGCTTGCTGTGCATTACTAATCTGCTGTTATGCTGGGCACTTTGCCTGATTGTAAAAATATCTCTTATCTTGCTTTTGCCATGACTGATAGGTCATATTACACATCTGTATATGTTCAAATGAGACTCACCTCTGAAAATGTGCACATAAAGGGTACCTGTGCCATTTCCATACTGGTTTGATGCATTACACATATACAAGCCATTACTATCAGAGGTCAGTGGGATTATCAGCCTGTCAGCATCAACATAGCTGGAAAGAGGCTTGTTTGCCCTGTTATTACAACAAGTAATAATGTGTTAACATGTATTAAAATAGTATGTAAGCAATGTTAATGCAAATATAAGTAGATAAATTGAATTGTTTTTGCTTTGAAATGTCCAATAACACCTTAGAACTGAGTATAATAATTGTGTTTGTAGGCACTGAATGACAATGATGGCACTCTTAACATGAAAAAGTGAAACATGAAAATGATCCTTTCATTCATTAACCAAAAACCAGAAGAATGTTTTAGATGTAGACCTGTAAGCAGTTGCTTTTGCCTTAAATGATAAACTGATATTCTATAAAAGACATCTGCTGCAGCTGCATCTATCCATTTCTTTAGGGTGTTAAGAAGACTCAGATTGATTACCTGCTCCAGGTGAACGTTGGTTGTGGATTGGCATCAGCTACGCACTGAAATTCTTGAGATGTTGTTGAAACAACTGACCTAATATACACAACCCCAGGAGGATCTGAGAGAAAAGGAGCAAAAAAAATGAGTAACTACTAAAAATATCAATGTAAGAAACAGTCTGAAGGCTTTACACAGTAAAAGGGCATTCTAAATTGAAATAGAATAATGACCAGTGATTATAGTTGACAGTGATGGTGATGGTGACAGGAGCCAGGAACCAATATCAAATTGTACACAGTCAGCTGCACAAATTAAATGCAGTGGAGAACGTCTTGCTTGCCAAGCTGAACTTCTTCTGGTGTTTTTAAGCCTAGAAGATTTCGTGCGATTAAATGACACTTGTTTGTTGCAGACCTCTCTTAGTTATAGTGTCTTACACTGTCTATATCTCTAGAGTGTGTGACAATCAGGCTGCTGACAGTGACTTACAATGGATGACTAGAGTGTGGTCCAGTATCAGCTCCTTATTCAGGCTGGTGTGGTTCACCAAACACTGAACCTTCTGCTGGTTTAGATCTTTGGATGCTACACCAATCAGGTAACTTTGGACAGTGAAGGATCCATCAGGTTCTGGAGAAATGTTAGTCTGTACTTTTACAGAGTCGCTCAGAGCACCCAGACTCCAGGACACAACTGCTGCAGGTTGTGCTTTAGCAGCAGTGCAAGTGGCCAAGGTCACTTCAGACTCACCAACAACAGGAATCACATCAGTGGTCACATCGACAACAGGAGGAACTAGATATGAAGACAAAATATGTCAGGACATTGTAGAATGAAACTAACAAGTGGTTCTCAAATCTAATCCTGGAGACCCCTGCACTGAACGTTTTAGTGTTATCACTGCTCTGACAGACTTGGTTCCATTCATCAACTACAAACCCATCTCCAAAAAAGTTGGGGCAGTGTGCAAAATGCTAATAAAAACAGAAAGCAGTGATTAGTACATTTTGTTTGACATGATTAAATTTAAACCAGTACAAACACACAATATTTGGTGTTTTACCTTTCTTACGAATTCATTGTTTTTCGTAAATATACCATACTCGTTCCAAATTTGATGCCTACAACACATTCCAGTAACGTTGGTACAGGAACATGTTTACCACTCTGTTACCTCACCTGTCAACACTTAATGCTATCTATTTGGGGACCAGTTGTGAAAGCAGAATTTTTTGCCATACATGTTGTATACAACCCCATTTCCAAACAAATGGGACATAATAGATAAATGTAAATAAGAACAGAGTGCAATAATGTGCAAACCATTTAAACTCTATATTTAATAAATAGTACAAAGATAACATGTCAAACACTGAAACTAAGAAATTTGATTGTTTTTTTGAAAAATATATGCCCAGATTGGGGTTCAGCACTTTGTGAAAGACTGCACAGGCAAATAAAGCAATAATTCAAGAATAACGTTTCTCCACATAAAATGGCAAAGATGTTGGGGATTTCATCATCTACGGTATATCATTAAAAGATTCAGAGAATCCAGAGAAATCTCTGTATACAAGGGACAAGGCCAAAAACTCATATTGTCTGGCCATTATTTTTGGGCCATCAGGCGGTGCTGCACTAAAAACAGATACAATTCTGTAGTGAATATCACTGCATGGGCTCAGGAACACTTCCAAAAACCACTGTCTGGGACCACAGTTTGTGAATGCATCCACAAATGCAAGTTAAAACACGCAAAGAAGAAACCATATATAAACAGGATCCAGAAACACCACCGTCTTCTCTGGGCCTGAGCTCATTCAAGATGGACTGAGGCAAAGTGCATCTTTCTGGCTAAAGAGGAGAGGGACCATCTGGCTTGTTATCAGCACACAGTTCAAAAGCCAGCACCCATGAAGGGGGTGCATCAGTGCACATGGCATCAGTGACTTGCACATCTGTGAAGGCACCATTAATGCTGAACGATATGTCCAGATTTTGGAGTAACATATGCTGCCATCCAGATGACCTTTTTTTCAGGGAAGGCCTTGCTTATTCCAGCACCACATTCAACCACATTTTGCACATATTACAACAGCATGGCTCTGTAGTAAACTGACCTGCCTGCAGTCCTGACCTGTCACCCATTGAAAATATTTGACCCTGAACTGTTGAACAGCTGAAATCCTATATCAAGCAAGAATAGGAAAACGGTTTACTTAAAAACTATAGCAATTGGTATCCTCAGATCCCAAACACTTACAGAGTGTTTTAAAAGGAGAAGTGATGCAGCGCAGTGGTAAACATGCCCCTGTCCCAACATTTTTGAAATGCAACGATGGAATCAAATTCAAAATAAGCAATTATTTTTCAGAAAACAATAAAAATGTTCAGTTTCAACATGATATGCTATCTTTCTACTATTTTCAATTAAATATAGCGTTTAAATAATTAGCATCTTTGCTTTCTGTTTTTATTTATATTTTGCACAATGTCCCAACTTTTTTGGAAACAGGGTTGTACAAGTCTTCAACTGTGCAATCTTCAATATTTGAGCTTAATAATGCACCACACATAATGCACCACACTCATTACACAGCGATGCTGTTGTAAAGCATGCAGAATAGACGTCCCTGAAAAACATGCTGTCCAGAGGGCAGGATTTCTTGCTCCAAAATGTGTTTAATGTTAAGGGTGCTTTTACAGATGCGCACATTACCCACTTATACCCCCCATACCATCACAGACCCTGGCTTTTGAATAAACTGTAACTGTCTGAAGTGAGCAGCCCATTGCAGTAGTCCAATTTGCTGGAGATAAACGCATTGATCAGCTTCTCTAGATCTATTTAACTATCTTGCTCTGTAATAATAATAATAATAATAATAATAATAATAATACATACATACATACATTTGCAAGCGGCAGTTTATAGGTCCAAACACAGATATGTCCAACTTAACATTCACACTTACAATCCTACAGTAAAATGACATGACTTTATCTTTGGTGAGTGCATAATATGACAGACTTTAAACTGATATCTGTAGGTTTTTTAAACTATGTATTGAAAAAAAAAATGTTTCAGAGGAAAAATGTGCAAATTTTTCACACGTAAAACTGTTTTGGTGCCCCCTATTGACATATGTCCACCAATATTTGTGACCTTATTCAGTATTAGGTACGTTCTTTTTTTGGTTGCTCTACTGTTTTGAAAATACAACAATCAAAACAAAATAATCAAAAATGTAGTGAAACATGTATCATTTATACATAGAAATATAAATCTTACCTTGTACATTGAGATGAATCTCTGTTTCGAATGGTCCACTTGGGAATATGTTGAAGATGCAAGTGTAAACTCCTTCATCCAATAACAGAACATTTCTCAGAAGAATTGATCCAATGATTTCTTGGGTGTTCCCAATAAATTCAGTTCTGTCTCCTAATCCATTTATATTTTCTGTTTTGCCCTCTGGTGTAATGACAAAAAAGTTCTTATTTGTGAGCGTTTGTCGTGTCCGTTTTTGCCACGTAATCCGTGTTAGTTTCTCATTTGCCTCAATCAGCTGACAGAACATCCTGGCATTGTCCCCGACTATAACAGTTGTACTCCGACCAATGACCCTTATAGCTGCAAATAAATAAATAAATACATTTTAATAAGTATTACAGTGCAACAAAGTTAAATAAACACTGAAAATAAAAGGGTAAGCAAAGTGTGACTTCTAACAAAGACCTACTAAACTAAAAATGCTAAATATTTCACAGTAACTTTCACAGGCACTTCACAGTAAACAAAACTACAGATGTGACACTTTGTTCACACTGCATTGCAAACCACATCTGTTTTTTAGACTTACTATTCAGATTTTAAGTTACAAGTGACCAAATCTTATTTTCCTATGGTCAGACTGTAGTGGAATTTGCTGCAGTAGTAATGACACACTGGTACATGCACTTACAATGTAAAGGCAAAACTTAGCAAAGCCTAAAAATTATAACTAGCTAACAACATCATCATGTTGTGTCCATGCAGCATTTTCACTTGTTATTAACTAAAGATGAACAGAACATGACATTAGTGTATGTCGACCTGGTCAGCAGAGTGCTAACAAGGCTGTAACAGTTATAATCAGAGACAGGCTTTAAGTTCAAATGTTTTAGTGAAGCAGTCATTGTAAGCTGCAACATGCAAAGTAAAAATGTTACCAAAATGTCAGTTAAAAGCTTCTACTCTCCACACTTAAGCTGTAATGTATGAAATTCACTGCTGATTTTCTTGTCACACATTGTGATGTCATTAACTGCAGCGGCACAAATGGCGAAAAACACATGAACTTTATCTGAGCAGTCAAACTAAGATAATATGAGATTATTAATTTCAGATTTGAAACCACCTACAAGTGTGGCTTAAACCCGACTGGGATAGTCAGATTTCATTTGGCTTTTTTGCTGTATAAACTGCAAGAAAATGTATCCTGCTCATATCAGATATCGTTTTTGAGATGCCTGTCTGAATAAGGCAATAGAGATTAAGCTAATGTGCATGGGTTTTCTTTCAAAAAAACATACATTAAAAGTTCTTTAGGGTTCCTCCATGGCATTACTCCATAGAACCCATTGGCACCTTTACTTTTAAGAAGAATTGATGGATTGTTTGACTGATTTTATTTGATGATTTAAAAATAAACATAATGCTGCACAGCAGTCATTACACACTTTACATCATTGAGGATTAAAACACAACAAAGTCCTAAAGCTTATTTCCATTGTGGTCCTCTTTACATAAAACAAACCGAACATCACAGAACAGTAAGCACAAAGCAACACAATGCTCGCCACAGTGATAGACAACAGTGTGGCTTTCCAGATTAAATCATTTGTTGGGTACTCTCAAAACGTTAAAACATGATGAAAACTAAAACTGCGTGCTAGATATCCTTTTAAACCCAATTTAAACTTTCTGATGGGCTGCATTTTATGTCTATAGGCAGTTTGTTCCAAAGCAAAGCTGCACAATGTAAAACAGTATACTTTCTCGATTGTGCCTTAAACACGAATGGAACACAATTTGCAAAGCTTCCTCATATATAATGCGCATGAGTGTCTCTAACCATAGAAAAGTCATTTGTTAAGTATTTTGGGGCTCTATTTTTAATGACTTTGCATGTGAGCAGCATTGTTACATATGCAAATCTCCCTTAAAAAGAGTTCATTCTAAATATGCGTGTGAATGTAATATTAAAACAAATCATAATTTATTTTGAGCTTTTTGTAATTTGTTCTTGAGTTTCTGAGTTAAATCAGTATATTACGAGGTGACCGCATAATCAAAGTAACACTGAACTAGAGTTCCAGCCAACATCTGCAAAGTTGACATATCCAAAAAAACACCTTTTCTATCTATAATTATTGTCTTTAAATTTATTTAGCAAGGACTTCTAAGGCCATACCTTCACCTTCTCAAAACATCTAATTCACAGCCAAGAGAATTTACACTTCTTCTTATGGTAATGCTATCTACACCTGCTTTTACAGTCAGCCCAGACGATTTACCCAGCTTTATTGTTTTCTTGGTAACACTTTATTTGAAGGGTGTCTACATAACACATTCATATCACCTTACATAAACACTTCATAACATGTTTATGAATGCTTAAATCAACATTGGTAAACTATACGTTTGACATGATATTAATATGGACTACAGTGTCATTTTACCGAAAGATGTTTTTCAAAATAAAAGTCTTTATTTTTTATTTTGAATAACTTTATTATTTTCAGTGAAACTCCTTATTTCACATAAAAATGACCTGGCTTTATCCTTTTGGACAGAAAGTGCTTTGACACTTTTTGCCTAGACTTTCAACTTTTTTTTAAATTATTTTTTTTCTCAAGCATTTGTATTTTGCACTATGCTATTCTTTCTTCTTTTTACTCTAATTCTTCTTTAAATGTACTGTTAATTCAACAGCCTATACATAGTTGTGAAACTGTTATTTAAATTAAGTTTAACTTTCTTGGGGTAAATGCTAACACTGTTATCCCAATTACTTTGGAAGTTTATTTTTAGTGATGTTCTTCCTCATTTATGGTTTTGGAGTAGGCACAAGTATAACTGTGCATTGGCTATCCTGTGTAACTGACACTTTGAGGTTAAATGTAACATGCACTGATATCCCAAGGAATGGTTCCTTTTTTTGCATTACTTCAAAGTACAATCAAGTGGTAAAAACAGACAAAGAAGATCGTGTACCCTGCCTGGGAGAGGGTCACCGGGACCTACCCCTGGAGCCAGGCCTGGGGGTAGCATCCCTCAGCGAGCGCCTGGTGGCCAGGCAGCCCACGTAACCCGGCCGGGCTCAGCCCGAAGAGGCAACGTGGGGGGACCATGTGGGCCCACCACCCACAAGGTCCAGCATGGGGGAACGGTGCAGTGCCATACAGGCAGTGGGAGATTGCAGGGGGACCCTTGGTGGCCTAGGCCCCTGCGACAGAAACTGGCTCTTGGTACGTGGAATGTAACCTCACTGGGGGGGGAAGGAGCCAGAGCTTGTGCGGGAGGTTGAGAGGTACCAACTAAATATAGTTGGGCTCACCTCCACCCACACAGTGTTGGCTCTGGAACCAAAATCCTGGATAGGGGTTGGTCCCTCTCCTACTCCGGGGGTGCACAAGGTGAGAGGCGCCGGGCAGGTGTGGGGATACTCATGAGTCCCTGGCTGGCGGCGGTGCGGTTGGAGTTTGTCCTGGTGGACGAGAGGGTCGCCTCAATGTGAATTAAAATCGCAGAGAGGAAAACTCTGACTGTTGTGTGTGCTTATGTACCAAACAACAGGTCGAAGTATTCTGCCTTCTTGGAGCAAGTGGGCGGGTTTCTGGAAAGGGTCCCGCCTACAGACTCCATAGTCTTACTGGGAGACTTCAATGCTCATGTTGGCAATGACTGGGAGACCTGGAGAGGTGTGATTGGGAAGAACGGCCTGCCCCATCTAAACCCGAATGGTGAGTTGTTATTGGACTTGTGTGCTAGGCATGGATGGTCCATAACGAACACCAAGTTCCAACCCAAGGATGTTCATAAGTGTACGTGGTACCAGAGCTCCTTGGCTGAAAGGTCAATGATCGACTTTGTTGTCGTTTCATCTACTCGGGACCGTATGTTCTGGACACTCGGGTGAAGAGGGGTGCTGAGCTGTCGACTGATCACCACCTGGTGGTGAGTTGGATCAGATGGCAGGGAAGACTAATGGTCAGACCCGGTAGGCCCAAGCGAATAGCGAGGGTGTGCTGGGAATGACTGCCGGAGGCCCCTGTTCGGAATGATTTAAACTCCCACCTCCGGGAGAGCTCTCTCATGTCCGGCAGGAGGTAGGAGACATGGAGTCTGAATGGACCCTGTTCAAAACCTCCATTGTGGAAGCTGCCAGGCATGGCTGTGGCCAAAAGCTTGTGGGTGCCTGTCAGGGCGGTAACCCAAGAACCACCTGGTGGACACCGGTGGTGAGGGAGGCCGTCAAGCTGAAGAAAGAGGCCTTTAGGGACTGGATGGCCCGGAGGACTCCCGACTCAGCAGATAGGTACCGACCGGCAAAAAAGGTGGCAGAAGCAAAATCCAGGGCATGGGACGAGTTTGGTGAAGCCATGGAAAAAGACTTTTGGTCAGCCTCGAGGAGGTTCTGGACAACTGTCCGGCGACTCAGGAGCGGTCAGGGTGGCTGCGCCCGAGCTGTATTTGGCAGGGGTGGAGAAACTCTGACTTCAAATGAGGATATTGTCGGTCGGTGGAAAGGGCACTTTGAGGAACTCCTTAATCCGGGAGACATGCCTCACAGGAGTCAGAGCCAGAGGCCTCTGGCGTGTCAAGCTCCATTTCCCTGGTGGAGGTCACTGAGGTAGTTGGCAAGCTCCTCAGTGGCAAGGCACCGGGGGTGGATGAGATTCGTCCGGAGATGCTTAAGGCTCTGGATATTGTGGGGCTGTCATGGCTGACACGCCTCTGCAATAGTGCATGGACCTTGGGAACAGTACTCTTGGACTGGCAGACCGGGGTGGTGGTCCCTATTTTCAAGAAAGGGGACCGGAGGGTGTGTGCCAACTATCGGGGTATCACACTGCTCAGCCTCCCAGGGAAAGTCTATGTCAAGGTGCTGGAAAGGAGACTTTGACCGATAGTTAAACCTCAGATTAAGGAGGAACAATGCGGATTCCGTCCTGGCCGTAGAACAATGGACCAGCTTTTCACCCCCCCCGGATTGTTGAGGGGGCACGGGAGTTTGCCAGTCTACATGTGTTTTGTGGATTTGGAGAAGGGGGCACGGGAACACATGCCCAGTCTACATGTGTTTTGTGGATTTGGAGAAGGCTTACGACCGTGTTCCCCGAGATATCTTGTGGGAGGTCCTCCGGGAGTATGGGGTGCCGGGGTTACTACTCGGGGCCATTCAATTTCTGTACGCTCGGAGTGAGAGCTGTGTTTGTATACTCGGCATTAAGTTGGACTCTTTCAGTGTTAGCGTTGGACTCCGCCAGGGTTGTGCCCTCCTGTTCGTGATATTCATGGACAGGGTGTTAAGACATAGCCGGGGACAGGAGGGTATTATGTGTGGAGGCCGGAGGGTGGTGTCTCTG